AAAGAGTGTTGAGACTGTTTGGTTGAAAGTTACACTATCAAACAGGCATGGTTTACCCTACCTTCCTTGTTTCTGTTTTTATTTTTGGATTATTAGGCTATACAGTGCAGTCGAGGTTGTCACTTAGTCACGCGCGTGAGTCAATGCTCGCCGTTGCGATTGGTCCACGTATTGAAATCGTATCGCGATTGGGTCCGAGCTGTCAGGCGCAATGATTATCAGGAACATTGTAGAGACATCTGGACCACACACTTTCCCAAAAAAATCTTCCGCCATCGTGCTACTGTCCATGGATCATGGATGTAGCCGCGTGTTAGAATACTAGCGTGAATTAAGAGCCATGGCTAGTGAGTGTCGAGAGAATTTTAGGTGAGGAAAGTCGAGAAGGAAGAATGAGAGGTTTCACTATAGAAAGTTGGGATACAAATAGCAAATCCTAAATTGGGTTGTACTCACTACAGAGTACCCCACTGCAGGCTAAACAGCAAATACATTCTGACACACCTCCATAGTCAAAGTGGGGTATAATCAGCAGAGCAAGCAGTCATAGTGCAGGTTCACCAGTACAAGCAAAGCTAGAGTCATTCACAAATGGCAAGTGAGGAGGAGGAGGCTGGACTGTGAGAGGAGAGGAGATAGGAGGCGACGGCTGATGCTGCAGACACACAGGCAACAGGAGCGGCGCGCACTGTGGCTACCGGAGCCGTATCCCCGGACTACAGGAGTAACTGGCTCTGCGGCTAACTCTGAGCGGCAGGAGCAACGGACCCACAGGCGACAGGCGCAGCAGGCTCTCTGAGCTACCAGAAGCAGAGCCCCGGACTACAGGTGCTGCGGACGACAAGACGGCAGCCTCCGCTCAACCTCCCCCAACTGTCCCACCCCCTTTTCACACACCCCTTGCTGCACCCCTAGCTCCACTCCCACGTCACCCCCCTAGCACCACTCCTTCGGCTCCCACACACCCACCCCCCTCAGCGGCAGCTGCAGCAGTGGGAGACGGAGGAGGAGGAGGAGGAGCAGGGGGGGTTCACACACCCGCCACCCCCATACCCGCCACCCCGCAGTTGCACCCACACCCGCCGCCCCCACACCCTCCCCCACTGCTGCACCTGCAGCAGGGGATGGAGGAGAAGGGGGAGGGGGGGGGCGGGGGGGGGCTGGTGCTGCAGATCCCCTCCCCCCCACTGCTGCACCCGCAGCAGGGGGAGGTAGGAGAAGGGAGGGGGGGTGGGGCGGGGGGGGGGGGCTGGTGCTGCAGATCCCCTCCCCCCCACTGCTGTAACCGCAGCAGGGGGAGGTAGGAGAAGGGGGGGGGAGAGGGCTGGTGCCGCAGATCCCCTCCCCCCCCACTGCTGCACCCGCAGCAGGGGGGAGGTAGGAGAAGGGGCGGTGCAGGAGCCGCTCGGGCGACAGCAGGTTGGCCACACCCGCCACCCCCATACCCTCCCCCCACTGCTGCACCCGCAGCAGAGAGATGGAGGAGAAGGGGGGGGGGGGGGGGGGGGGCGGGGGGGGGGGGCTGGTGTTGCAGGTCCCCTCCCCCAACTGCCGCATCCGCAGCAGGGGGATGGCAGATCGCTTCCCCCCCATTGCTGCACCCGCAGCAGGGGGAGGTAGGAGAAGGATGAGGGGGGGAGGAGGGGGGGAGGGGGGGGGGGGGGGGGGGTCGGTGCTGCAGATCCCCTCCCCCCTTCTGCTGCACCCGCAGCAGGGGGAGGTAGGAGAAGGGTGGGGGGGGGCTGGTGCTGCAGATCCCCTCCTACCTCCCCCTGAACCTCCAAGCTTCCCCCCCTCTCCCAACACAAGGTGCGGCAGGGAGAGAGAGAGGAGGAGGCGTGGCGGCAGCTGCTGCTGCTGAGGCACATCCGCCACCCCCTCACACCCTCTCCCCGCCATCCCCATGGAGGGGGGGGAGGGGGGCGGGGGCGGAGCTGCGCTTGCGACTGTAGGGCACGCGGGCAGGAGGAACCCCCTCTTGCCACCCCCTCACCCACCATGTTGCAACAGGGCACCGGGGCCGCGGTTAGGGGCGGCAGGTCGCGAGGGGCCATGGCTAGGGGCGACAGGGCCATGGCTAGGGGCGACGGGGCCATGGCTAGGAACGGGGCCGGGCGCTGGGCAGATACGGGGCCGGGCGCTGGGCAGGTACAGGGCCGGGCGCTGGGCAGGTGCGGGGCCGGGCGCTGGGCAGGTACGGGGCCGGGCTCTGGGCAGGTACGGGGCCGGGCGTTGGGCAGGTACGGGGCCGGGCGCTGGGCAGGTACGGGGCCGGGGCGCGGGCTAAGTACGGGGCCGGGCGCGGGCGTTATACGGGCCGGGCGCGGGCTAGGTACGGGGCCAGGTGCTGGCGACAGACGGGGCCGGGCGCGGGCTAGGTACGGGCCGGGCGCGGGCAAGAGACGGGGCCGGGCGCAGGCGTAAGACGTGGCCGGGCGCGGGCTAGGTACGGGCCTGTCGCGGGCTAGGTACGGGCCGGGCGCGGGGCTAGGAACGGGCCGATCACGGGCTAGGTACGGGCCGGGCGCGGGCGCGAGACGGGGCCGGGCGCGGGCTAGGTACGGGCCAATCGCGGGCTAGGTACGGGCCGGGCGCGGGCGACGGAATCGACGGGGCCAGCGGGGCCGAGGGGCCGAGCTAGGGGCGATGGGGCCAAGGGGCCGAGCCTAGGGGCTAGGGGCGACGCCAAGGAGCGACGGGCCGGGGCCTAGGCTAGCAGGGCATTAGGTGGTGGGCCCATTAATGTGAGGTCCTAGGAACTATTGCTCTTAATACCATGTTAGAATACTAGCGTGACTTAAGAGCCATGGCTAGTGAGTGTCGAGAGAATTTTAGGTGAGGAAAGTCGAGAAGGAAGAATGAGAGGTTTCACTATAGAAAGTTGGGATACAAATAGCAAATCCTAAATTGGGTTGTACTCACTACAGAGTACCCCACTGCAGGCTAAACAGCAAATACATTCTGACACCGCGCAAATAGACAACTATGCTGGGTTTGCAATCATTGCAGCGGGATTGCGTCCGATGCGATTTCTCGCAAATGTGCAGCCTGCTAGGGTCCCCCTAAACTCGAGAACAACGAATACGCAGGAAAACAGCTTTGTGTTGGAGGGTGTAGCAACAAGTGGCATTCCATGGGATTGATAGATATTAAAAAACGTGGAGGGCGGCGCGAGGCTAGTCCACAGGATTGAGCAAAAGTTGAAAATCGTCGCGTCGCGTAATTATTTCGTCGTCCACCACTCCTTGCGAGCGGTACTTACAGCCTGTCAACTTACGACGACACTGGTTGGACAATGACTCGACAGGAGATCACAGACGACACATTGCGAGGAGGATAAGATCCCAAACAACTCGTTTTGGTCCACAAACACCACACAACCGAGGCGCGTTTTCTGACGACGGTTCAAATTTGGTGGACAGAAGTGCGGGAAAGGGGAGGTTCAAACTTTCAAAGGCTATGTGTTGACGTCACTGCACAAACGCCGCCGAAGGAGGAATCATTCTCAACGTCTTGCGAAGCTGCTTTGATGGATGGCAACGACACGGTAGCCCCTAAGCGGCTTAAAGGCCACACCCCGAATTACACAACGAAGTCAACGAAAAAATTGTAGGTTCGGGAAACCCCAGAGACAGGTTCGGTGGGGAAATCGAGAACCAATCGCGTCAAAAACCCACTCAAAACCCTTGACCAATCACACGAAAGTGGTGACAGTTTTGGGGCCGACACGGTAATTCTGGATGTGTCCTTTAAGCTTCTGTCGCCTTGGCACACACATGTGGGCACGTGTCGGTGGGTGCTTCCCTTCTCCTCCTGTAAGTTTCCCAACTCCGAGGGGTGATCGGCACGCCCTCGAAACTCCGCTTAGGGAAGTTGCGAGTGTCGTGAGCGCGATTTCCCTCAACGCACTGTTGCGGCCGGCCCAGAATGCCCCACTCGTGACCAAGAAAACGAATTCCCTCAAAGGGGTAACTTATCCAGAAAATGACAACATCAAGAACCACTGGGAGTTGGGGGAATGAAAAAATTTGAAGATATTTGAAGGCTTCCCTGAAAACAAAAAAGTAAAATTTGCGGTTCTGTTGGGTTCACCCTTCGCGGGCTTAAAGCCCGAGGTCAGCATGGTATTTTTTCAAGTTATGTGGGGTTGAAACAGTTAGGCGAAAACCTGAAAATCGTGAATTTCGAAAATGTGTGTGGGGCGAAACCGAATTCAGGAGGCGGGAAAAACAGTCTTCGCCACGATACTATGCGACAGCTGTCCCCGAGGATATGGGAGGGCCGAACGACCCAGTGTGCGACAGAGCACTGCTCCCGCCCCAGCACTGGTGGGGCACACTGCGCTTCTCTTGGGGTTGAAATGGTGGGGAACGCGAAACTCACGCGAGTAAGAGTGAGGCAGTACACTGAACAATATTTCCTGTGATTACTAATCGACTAAAATATTTGGATAAGTTTGAGACTTCACTTCAGAATAACATAAAAAATTCAAGTGCTGAATTGGCATAGAAAAGCAAATTGTGAATCATGAAAATTACATATCAAGAAACACATTAGCAATACATTTCCAAGCGTACACTCTCAAGCTCAGATACCGCAACTCATAAGGGTCTCGGCCGGCCACATAGGAACATGTCGTGCCTTTCCCTGCACCAATCTGCACTCCCCCGGCCCACCGCAGCGCAGACCAGCCTTGCCCCACCGCACATGCCCTGACGTGCGCTGCCGCCAGCATCCTGCCGCACATCCTGCTGACACTGCCAATCTCCATATTTTTGCCACGGCCCCTGCCTGCCTTCACCCTGTGCTTGCCATTTTGCCTCCCTCCCACGCCACTCCGCACTGACCATGCCGCACAACACACTCCCTTACCCTTGCCCCATGATCCACCAGTTCGAATCCTTGCCTGCACAGTGCTGGCTGCTAGGCAAAGCGGCTCCCAATCCCTCCGTACATGCAGGGGCGGGGAACAGAGAGGGCACGGCCTCATAGGGCGCAGATCAGCAGAGGGCATGGGCCAGCAGGGGAGGCACATATAGAAAAAGACGTGGTTTGGGAGAGGTGGGATGGAAGGCGTGGACAGCAAGCGGCAGGCACAAGGCAGCACGTGCACCTTTCGCCACACCTGCGCGCGGATGAGAAGGGAAGGATTTGAGGTGGTAAGGTGGGCAGGCGGTAAGGTCAGCAGGCGGTAAGGTATGCGAGGGTGAAGGAATAAGAACAGAGGTTGGGGAGACACAGGGAAAAGGGACAAGGAAACGGGTAACACGGAGACAGGGAAGGGGATGGGGGGAAGCAGGGAAGGGGATGGGGGGAAGCAGGGAAGGGGATGGGGGGAAGCAGGGAAGGGGATGGGGAAAAGCAGGGAAGGGGATGGGGGGAAGCAGGGAAGGGGATGGGGGGGAGCAGGGAAGGGGATGGGGGGAAGCAGGGAAGTGGATGGGGGGAAGCAGGGAAGGGGATGGGGGGAAGCAGGGAAGGGGATGGGGGGAAGCAGGGAAGGGGATGGGGGGAAGCAGGGAAGGGGATGGGGAGAAGCAGGGCAGGGGGTGGGGAGAAGCAGGGAATGGGATGAGGGGAAGCAGGGCAGAGGGTGGGGGGGAGCAGGGAAGGGGATGGGGGGGAGCAGGGCAGAGGGTGGGGGGAAGCAGGGAACGGGATGGGGGGAGAAGGGCAGAGGGTGGGGGGAAGCAGGGAAGGGGATGGGGGGGAGCAGGGCAGAGGGTGGAAGGAATCAGGGCAAAGGGGGAAGCAGGGCTGGTGGGAGAACGGGTGGTTGGGAAAAACAGAGACAGGGGGCAACAATTTGGGGGAAGTGAGGGCGATGAGGGGAAGCGCGTGGGGGAAAAGAACATCTGCATACCCTTCTGTCCTATCCCCTCTGTGTCTCTCATTCAGTCCCTTCCCCTCAGGAGGAAGAAGGGTGGAAGAAAGGGTGAGAGAGAGGTTCGAAGAAAGAGAGATAGAGAGAGGGAGAGGGAGGGAGGGAGAGATGGAAGGGAGGAAGAGGAGAAGAGCGTATGACAAGCGGAATAGAATGTGGGGAGGAAGGCGGGTGGTATGTGGGGGAGATGGAGGCGGGTATGTGGGGAGGCGAGGGCGACGGGCAGAAGCGAGGGCGTTATGGCGGGAAAGCAAGGGCGGGTGACGGGGAAGCAAGGGCGACGACGGGAAGCGCGGGTGACGGGAGAGCAAGGGCGACGACGGGAAGCACGGGTGACGGGGAAGCAAGAGCGACGACGGGAAGCGCGGGCGACAAGCAGAGGCGAGGGTCGGCGAGGGAGATGAGGGAAATTGCGGGCGACGAGGAAAGGGGTATGACGTGGGAAAGAGCGGCCGACGAGGGGGAACATATGAGACTAACGGCAGCGCGCGTCTGGCGAACCTGTACGGCATTCGCGTGAGCGACCCGTGCCTAAAACGGTACGATTGGGACGCGAGGCTGAACCGCAGCAAGTGTGAAAAGAGCATCTTGTGCGACGCGAGCTTGAAAGCAAGGCGCGAGTAACGCGACGATTGTTCACTAACGTAAGTGCTGCGGGTGAACGGGTTGTAACACGAGACCGGCGACGTGAGGGGGAAATCGGAGCGTGCACTGACTAAGATGGTTGAGGTGGATACCTATTTTTTTTTCCGCACAAAAAAAAAGCCCTAACAACGACTCGCTTTTGCCAACTAGCGCTAGTTTTTGCCTTTGGAGCCTCCTAGTCTATGAGTACGACTTGGTAAGCAAGTTATGTGAGCGGTGAACAGTGCATATGGTTGGCGATCATCGCGTCAGTTCTGTTTTTGGGCACTCGGGTTCCGTTGTCGCAGGACGATTGCCTGGGGTTGCGAGAGTTTCTTCAAAACAAGTAGGGTAACCCTGTTTTTTGCGATTTCAAGTTCAAGAATCTTGAACTTGAAAATTACCATACTGTACCCGGGCTTTAATCCGAGTAAGCTAGGCTACTCTCCCAAAAAGCCAGGGTTAGTGGAGTTCCGCCGCGGAGCTAAGTTTGCCTGTGAAGGAACCTTCTTGAAAGGCAACTTCGAGTCGTACTCCGAGTAGGGTGTTCGGGCGATCGTTTGCCCGTTCTGACTCACACGGAGTAAGCCACGTCGGACTGAGTAAACTTCCGTCACACGTGCAAAGCGGGACTTAGGGAACTGCCTAGAAGCTCACTAACCCCAAGGGTGCTACCGATCAGGCACCAGCGACCACGTACTGTATATCGGCCGTAGTTCCGCGCCAAAAATATTGACACGCTGGCCAAATCACGGTGCTGTTTCGCACTGATAAGATTCGCCACATCACCAAATTGGAGACACCTCGACCCTCCATGCACATCCGCTGTACACACCAACCTAACCAGAACAGACCAACCGATTGAATGCTACCCGATATGAATGGTTTAGCTCTATATATGGATGCATTCCAGCAGAGCGCATTTCTTGGAGTTGCAGACTACATAAAGAATATATCCCAACTGAATGTACATGTTCTGGATGTAACAAGGCTAAGTGAACAAAACCCATCATCTCATGCATCCATCCAGGGAAGGAAGTGTGAGTCACCAAGTTTCAACATGTGAAACCAAAAACCTGCCTACAGTTTAGTCCTCTATGACCTTCAATTGCAGTATCGATACTGCAATGCCCATGCAAGGGTCGTTACTGGAACCTCAAAAGGATTTCAGGACTTTTTACCTTGTAATCACAGGCCCTAGTCCAGGGTAACAGTGGCTCGTGTGCTACGTATAAGCAACACCTGTGGGCGGGTGCAGCAGCACCCAGAAGGCAGCATCGGCAAATAAGGAATGCACTCCACCTGCGCAGCACGTGCGGTGGGCGTGTGGCATGTGTGGCATGTGTGGCATTTGTGGCATTTGTGGCGTGTGTGTGGGTGGCAGTGTGGCGCGTGTGCAGTCCAGTCAAGGCAGCGCTGCTGTTCCAATGCAGGATCAACCTGGCAGCACCATGTGCCACCTCTGCTGTGGGCAGCCATGCCATCACGACCCTACAGGCTGCTCCACGCCTCTCACAACTCCCTCCATCGCACCTCCTGTCCTCACCTCCCCTCCCTCTGCTGCTTCCCTCGCTTCCCCCGCTCCCCCGCTGCCAGCAACCACGGGCCTGCCGCCTCTCCTCGACCGCTGGCGCTTCAACCCCCAAAGCTCGCCCGCTGATCCCCCCTTCCTGCCATCCGCACGCTCCTCATCGCCCTCCAACCCCGCTTCTGCTTCCTCCTCCATCTCGCGCCCTCTCTTCTCTGCACCTCTCTTGACCGCTTTCAACTCCAGGCCAGCACCACCACCCAAGTCACCACTCACAACTGTTTCCCCACCCTTGTCACCGCTCCCCAGCATTCCACCTCCCAAGTCACCACTCCCAACCGTTCCACCACTGCTGCCAGCAGCAGCAACAGCAGGGGGGGCAAGAGCGGAGCACCCTCTGCTTGGGTCGTCAGAGGCGTCCTGGCAAGGCGCACCGGCAGCAGCAGAAGCAGCAGCCAAGGCAGCAGCTGCAGCGGGCACAGAAATGCCTTCCAGTGCGCCTGCCTGCCCCACCACAGCAGCACCAGCAACGTCCTTCACCAGACGTGTCCTCTCCCTCCGCTTGCCCCTCTCCTCACCACGCCGCTGCTCACCCCCTCTCTCCTCTGTACCCTCCTCGCCCGCCAGCACCGCAGCGGGCGAGGCACACGAGGAGAGCGGGGCGTCAAGCAGCGGGTGCGGGGAGAAGGTGGTGCTGCCCACGGGGCTGGCGCCCATGCCGGGGCTGTAGGGTAGGTACGGGCTCGTGAACCGCGGGCTTGCGTTAAGGTACGGGATGGCGAGCAGGTGAGGGCTGGCAGTGACGTATGTGGTGCAGTGCAGGTGGGGGCTGGCAGCGAGGTGTGGCAGGGGTGTGGCGGCGGAGGCAGGGCTGCTGGTGGCCAGACACGCGCTGCCTGCCTGCCCCGCCCTGCTCGCCCCTCCCCCTCCCTCCTGCTCACCTCCATGTTCCCCTCCCCTCCCCCTGCCGCCCTGCTGCCAGCCTTCCATGCCAGACTCCTTGCCACCACCGCTGCCAGAAGCACCACTGCCATCCTGTGACGCACTCCTCTCTGTTCCACCCCCTCCTGCCGCGTGCCCCTCCAGGTTTGGCCCATCCACCTCTATGTCCTCGCCCCCTCCCTGGCCCCCACTCTCCTCCTCACTCTCCTCCTCTCGAAACAGGCTTGAGAAGCTGTCACTCTCACTCTCACTCGCACTCTCCTCGTCCCCCTCACTCCCACCACCTCCCACACTTCTCCCCCCGTGCCCGTGCATCCCCTCACTGCTCCCACCAGACCACAGCCCGTCCGTCTCCTGCTTACCACCGCTGCCCTTCGCCCCACCCACTGCACCCACCGCCCCCACCTGCCCCTCGCGGCATCGAGACAGTGCCGACCCGCCCCCTCCCCTGCCACCGCCTCGTTTCCTCTCACTGGTCCGTGCCTCACTCCGCCTTGTACCATCCTCCCTTGCACCCTCCTTCACCTGCTTCTGCATCTGCTCTTCATTCTCTTGCGCCCTCCCTCCCTCCCTCTCTCTGCCATCCGCACCACTTACCCTCGCTGCACCCTCCTCCTTGCCCTCCGTCCTCACCGCCCTCCTCCCCCCTCCCCCCTTCATGCCACCGCGCTTGCCCCCATGCCTCCATCGCCCCCGCCTGTCGCGCTGCTGCTGCATGCTCCTCTGCTTCTCCCCCTGCTGCGCTGCCCTATCTCGCTCGCCTGCATTCCCATTCGCCGCCCCTCTCTTTCTTCCTCTGCCCTTCCCTCCCCCTCTTCCCACCACCCCTCCCCTCCTCCAATCTCCATCCAACGCCCCTTTCCCTTTTACACCCTTCTCCTCCGCCCCATATCCCTCCTCTGCCCCCTCCTCTCCCCCCACTCTGCTCTTTCCCCTTTCTCCCCGCTCTCCCTCTTCTCCCCCTTCACCAGCTGCTCCTTCCCTCCGCTGTCTCTTAATGTCGATCCCTTGTTGCTCCTCCCTCTCCCGCTTCCCCCTGTGCGCCACAGCCTTTGCACCCACTCCCCTTCCCGCCTCCTCCTCCTCACCATCTGCTCCAGCCCTCTCTCCCTCGGCCCGTGCACGCTGTCTCTCCTTCGCCCTCCACTCACCACTGCTGCCAACCCCAGCCCCATTCTCACCACCACCGCCAACACCACCACCACCACCACCACCAGCACCAGCAGCACCCGCACCTACCTCAAATTCCTCCTCCTTCAGGCCTGCTTGGTCCTTGTGCCCCTCCACCTTCCCTGCCGTACCACCGGCCTTGTCACTTCCAGCCTCTGCCGCCCCACTGCCCGCCCCCCCCCCAACCTCCGCAGTCTCCACACTGCCGCCTGCCCGCCTGCCTGGTGGCATGGCCTTGCGGGATGCGCTGGGGGGGGCACTGGGGCGGGGGGTGCGCGGAGTGGGGGGGATCAGTGGGGGGGGAAGGGCAGGGAGGGCGGGGAGGGCGAGGGGTGGGAAGGAGAGGCGGCGGCGGGGCACGGTGCGCTGAGTGCGCTCCTTCTTGGGCGAGGGGAAGGGTGGTTGGGCGAGGGCGTGCAGGGGCAGGGGGGCAGGTGGCAGTCGCACAGTGCTGGTGGTGGCAGCATTGGGGAGAATTCTCACTGCACATGCCGGCTTCTCTTCTCCATCCCCCACCCACTCTTCCTCCTCGTCCTCCGGCTTCGCACCCTTCACTCCACCGTCACCATTGCCTTCACCACTACCACCACCTCCACCACAATCGCCAGTAACCAGCCCCACCATATCAACCGCTTTGTTCACCTCTCCATCGCTTTGCACCTGCGGCCCCCTGCCTGTCCCATCCGCACCCCTGGCCACGTGAATCGAGGGAACAGCCTCTCCCGCTGGCAGCACACATGGAGTGCTCACCTGTCCACTCCGTTTCCCCACCGCCTCACCCACACTCGCCGCACCCCCCTCGCTGCCCTCCCTCCCACTCTTTCTCCCGTCACCAACCTCCTCCTCGTCCTCACCTGCGTCGTCCCCACCCGCCAGCTGCGAGTGGTGGTGAGCACCCAGGTCCCAGCTGCCACTCGCGCCCTCACTTCTCCCACCCAAGCTCTCACTCTCGCTGTCGTCGCTGCTGCTGCTGTCCGTCTCGCGGCCCATCCCTGCCTCACCATCCCCATCTGCACTGCCGCTACCACTGCCAGCGCCAGCACCGCTGCTGCAGGCACGGGTGCAGGAGAGCGGCAGGGGGGTGCCGGTGTGGGAGCAGCGCCACTGCCGCATGAGTCCTGCCAGCTGCCCGCCGCCCTCCTGCTGCACGCACCACTGCCACCCACCGCGCTCAGCGCTGTCATCCCCCTTGCCGCCCCCATGGCCCCCCTGTCCCTCTTGCTCCCCCTGCTCCCCTCGCTGTTCCTGTTGCGGGGAGGCCGAGAGGTTGAGGGCGGGTGCAGCAGGCGGCAGGGTGCCCCCCTGTGCGTGAGCAAGAGGCTGCCATGTGTGTGAGGCGGGCAGCAGCGAGGCCGGGATGTCACAGCGCACGCTCACAGCACAGCCCGCCCCCGTGCAGGCGACACCAGCATTGCAGGCCAGGGGGAGAGCGGGGCTGGCGAGGCGGGCAGGGGGTAGAAACCAGGCTGTGCGGTGGTGGGCAGGGAGAGGTGCACACGGCACGTCAGCCCAGTGCAGTGGGAGAGTGCGGGCACTGGGGAGAGTTCCCGTGTCAGTCCGTGCGACTGTAACGGTGCTACAGTCTGCGGGAGTCACTGTGTCAGTTCCTGTGGCTGTATCTGTGTCAGTCCCTGTGTGTGTCTCATTGGGTGCAGCAGTGGGGCACGAGAGCACGGGCAGCAGCCCCACAGCCACGCGCGGCACCACCACTCTCTCCAGTGCCGCCAACAGCCCCACCGACAAACCCACCCTGCCTGCTGCTGCTGCCGCCGCTGCTGAAGCTGCCGCTACACCGGCAGGTCCCACCCCTCTGCTGCCACTTGTCATGGCGCCATTGCCCTGTGCGGGTGGAACAGCAGCAGGAAGGGGGCCGTCCAGCTTGCGGCGCTTGATGGCAGGCAGCAGGGCGTGCGGGGGAATGACCACCCCCCACTCGTTGATCACCACCTTCACCCGCGCCTTTGCCTTCCCTGCCCCTCCCTCCCTCTCCTCCCCCCCCAGCCCTACCCCTCGCCCCCTCTCCTCACTGCCGCCCGCTCCCATGCTTGCTGGCGGCAACACAGCAGCGCCACCCACAACCCCTGGCCCTGCTGCCACAGCACCAGCAGCAGCTGAAACAGCACAGTCAGCGGCAGTGGCAGCGAGCTGCTGACCACTGCTCAAGGCAGGTCTGCTCACACCCAGGGTCCCCCAGGTCGCTGCTCCTGTGCCATGGGCGGTGGGCGGCGCAGAGGGGGCAGCAGGGGGGGGCAGTGGGAGTAGGGGGTGGAGCAGGGAGGGGGGTGTGCCGGCAGGAGGGGCACCCAGCAAGGAGGGCGAGATGGATGGGGACGGCAACAGCACCCCTGGCGTTGTCAGCAGCCCTGCCCCTCCCTTCCCAGGCGAACCCCCCAGCTGCTGTTGTTGCTGGCGTGGGCTCTCAGAGCGGGGGTGGGAGGAGGTGGGCGTGTGCTGCGCCTCATCTGCACGGGTGGGCTCGCGGGGAGAGGGCGCGCGTGCATGGGGAGGCTGCAGCGGGCGGGGGCGCGCGGGGTGCAGGAGCAGGCGGCGCTGAATCACCCAGGAGGCGGGCTGCATGGCGTCTGTAGGCAGCTCGCCCCGCTGGTAGAAGTGCTCCTCCTGGTGGGGCGCACATGGGGGCGGGTAGAGAAGCCCGGAGGGGGGGGGGGGGAGGAGGGTTGGTTGTAAGCCGAATCGAAGGGGAGGGATGGAGAGAGAGAGAGAGGGCACACGATACTCTTGTGCACAACGGGGGCCATGGGATGAGAGGAGGTGCGTGTGCCATGCAGCAGGTGCGGACACGGTGAGCATGGGAGGAGAGGTGGCGCGCTGACCTGAGCGGGGGAGAGGTGGTGGCGGAAGCAGCGGGCGGAGGGCAGGGGGCAGCGCCCTGCCACGTGGTCCAAACACAGGGATGTCGCCCTGTCCCGCGTGCGCCTGGTGGGGGGGTGGAGGAGGGAGGACGGGGGGTGGAAGTGCGGAATGGGAAGAGGTGACGTGGAGCGAGAGGAGGGTGTGCAGGCAGCAAGGAGGGCGTGCAGGCAGCAAGGAGGGCGTGCAGGCAGCAAGGAGGGCGTGCAGGCAGCAAGGAGGGCGTGCAGGCAGCAAGAAGGGCGTGCAGGCAGCAAGGAGGGCGTGCAGGCAGCAAGGAAGGCGTGCAGGCAGCAAGGAGGGCGTGCAGGCAGCAAGGAGGGCGTGCAGGCAGCAAGGAAGGCGTGCAGGCAGCAAGGAGGGCGTGCAGGCAGCAAGGAGGGCGTGCAGGCAGCAAGGAGGGCGTGCAGGCAGCAAGGAGGGCGTGCAGGCAGCAAGGAAGGCGTGCAGGCAGCAAGGAGGGCGTGCAGGCAGCAAGGAGGGCGTGCAGGCAGCAAGGAAGGCGTGCAGGCAGCAAGGAGGGCGTGCAGGCAGCAAGGAGGGCGTGCAGGCAGCAAGGAGGGCGTGCAGGCAGCAAGGAGGGCGTGCAGGCAGCAAGGAGGGCGTGCAGGCAGCAAGGAGGGCGTGCAGGCAGCAAGGAGGGCGTGCAGGCAGCAAGGAGGGCGTTCAGGCTATGGGGTGGCACCGCTTGGGGTGGTGGCGGGAGCAGGAGGCGGGGTTCTTGCAGGCGCCGTATCTCAGCGCGTCCACACACAGCCGCAGCCTCCTCGCCCTTGCCTCCCCCTCCCCTGCGCCCCTTCCGGCATTAACAGGGGCAGCAGCAGTGGAGGGCGAGAGTGGGTCACAGACGGAGTGAGGTGATGCAGCAGGCGAGGGCGTGGGTCTGCCTTGCTGGTGGCGGGGCGAGCTCAGGGGGCGAGGGAGAGCGCGCGAGTGGGAGTGGGAGTGAGAGAGGGTGCGGGGGTGCTGCTGGGGCTCCTGCACACTGTGACCACCGCTGCCAGCACCCTCGTTGCTGCCCTTCTCCCTCTCCTTCTCCTTCTCTTCTCTTTCCCGGTACCTCTCCTTCCCCCTCTCCCGCTCCCTCTCCTTCTCCCTCTCCCATTCCCTCTTCTCCCGCTCCCTCGCCTTCTCCCTCTCCCTCTCCCTCTCCCATTCCCTCTCCTTCTCCCTCCCCCTTTCCCTCTCCCTCCCCCTTCCTGTCTCCCTCTCCTCCCTTTCCCTCTCCTTCTCCCTCTCCCTCTCATTCTCCCTCTCCCTTTCCTTCTCATTCTCCCTCTCCCTTTCCTTCCCCTTCTCCCCCTCCCTCTCCCTCTCTCTCTCCCGCTCCCCCTCCCTTTCCCGCTCCCTCTCCTTCTCCCTCTCCTTCTCCATTTCCCTCTCCTTTTCCCTCTCCCACTCCTCCCCCTCTCTCACCCCCCCTTTCTCGTTGTCCCTCCCCTCCCTGCCCCTCACCCCACACCGTTCCATCACTGCGCCCCTGTCCCCTGGCGCCCCATCTGTTGCTTCCTGACTAGCCCCCAAGCCGTTGCCACCATCGACACCCCTCCCCGGCGCCTCATCTCGCTCCTCTACAGACAACACGCGCTCGCCCTCCCTCGCACTCCCATGCTCACGCCCGCTACCCTGTCTGCTCACCTCTGCTCTCTCTGGCCCCTGCCCCCTCCCCTCCGCTGAAGCTGCTTCTGTGTGCTCGTGCCTGCCCTTGAGCCTCTCATTCGACCAGCCCCTCTCCCTGGATCTGCTGCCATCCCACCGCTCACCCCTCTCGCTCTCCTTGAACTCATGTCTTCTCCTCGCGTCCTTCTCCCTCTCCTCATCCCTGTCCCTCCCCCTCGTCTCCCTCTCTGCCTTCCTCTCCCGCATTCTGTCGTCACCCCGCTCCCAGCCTCCATCCCTATCTCTGTTCCTTCCCCTCTCGCCTCTCTCTGCCTTTTCGTCCCCCTCCCACGTCCCTCTGTGTCTCTCTTTAGGCTTCAAGCCAGCGGAGCTCCCATTCCACACGTCCCTCCGCCTCTCCACCATGCCCTGCTTCTCGTTTCTTTCCTCATAACCCCCCCCACCACTGCTGCCCCTCCCCCTCCCACCCTGCCTCTCACTGCCCCAACCCTGGTGCCTCTCCCCTCTTCGCCTCTCCCCATCCCTCTCGTGCACCGGTGCTCTCTTGTTGTCCCTCTCCCTCTCATATTCCCTTGCCTTCTCTCTCCCCCTCACGCTCTCTCTTTCTCGATCCTTCTCTTGTTCGCTCTTGCCCTCTCTTCCCTTCTCTGTCCTCTTTTCCCTATCCCTCCCCAACTCACACATCCGCTCCCTTTCTTTCTCCTCCGCCTCTATCTCCCTCTCCTCCCGCTTATCCTTATGCCTCCGTTCCCACTGCATTTTTCTGGCTGCTTCCTGACCTTTCCCCTCCTTCCCCTCCTCCTCCTCCTCCACCACCACATTGTTGGAACCTGTATTTCTTGCCCCTGCATCTGCTGTGTGCGTCGTGTAACCAACTCTCACACATGCTTTCTCATTGTCGCCTTCAACTTCACCTCCTCTCGCCCTCGCCTCCTCGGCTACCCGCTCCTGTCCCTCAGAGTGACTGCCTTCCTTCCCTCGTCCCCATCCTCCACCTTTACCGCTTGTCTCCCTCTCCCTCTCCTCCCTTTTCCATCTCCCCTTCCTCTCCCTTTCCCGTTGCCACCGCCCCTCCCTGTGTGCCCACTCACCATCCCTATCCCGCTCTCCTCCCGTCCCTCTCTCCCTTTCTTGCCTTACTCTCACCACACATCCCTCACCGCCCCTGCTCCATTCCTCTTTCCGCTGCTGCCTGCCCTCGTCCCCCCTCGCCTGCTGCTCCTTGTCCTCCTCTCCGCCCCTTCCCCCCGTCGTCCCGCCACTGCCGCTCGCCCGAAGCCCTTGCGTGGGCGGTTCCTCTCGGCCTCGCGCGGTTACTTCCCCAGCCCCACTCATCACTCGGCTCGCCCTGCTGCCTTCCTCCTCACCGCTCCCACTCACTCGCTGCTCCCTCCACTCCAGCTTCCCACTGCCCCCCTCCTTGCTCTCCCCATCAGCCCCCTGATCGTCTGCCCGCCCACCCTCCTTCCCTCGCCCGCCCCCCGCCTCACGCTCTGCCTGTGCCTGCCCCATGCTGCGCCTCCCCTCCTCTGCTTCCCACGCTGCGCCATGCACGTCCCTGCCCTGTGCGCCTCTTCTCCTCTCGCCTGGCCCCCACAGGTGTGTGTCGCGCATGGGCACGGCCTCTAGCGCCAGAACCACCGGCATCGTCCCCTGCGCCATCACACCGCCCCCCTCACGCCCTACCGCCCTGCCACCCGCCTCCTTCCCTCCTTCTCGTCTCCTCATGCCTCTGCTCCTCCGCCCCCCGCCCCCACCTTTAGAATTCTGCCCTTGAGCTACACTACACCGCACTGCACCACCCGTTTTTCCTTTCCTCCGCCTGTGCCTGCCTGGGCTGCCCCAGGAGGGGTCGTCCTCGCCGCTGCTAGCGCCACTGGCATCGCTCCTCACCTCCCCACTCGCCTCACCATCGCTCCCATCGCTCCCACTGCTGCTGCTGCACGTGCTGCTGCTGTCACTGCTCTGGCTGTCACTGCTGCTGCTACTGCTGCTGCTGCTGCTACTGCAAGGTGCCCGGCGAGTTAGAGACGCATAACCATTTCCCTGTGGACCCCTGCGCCCCCCTGCCACACGCCTGCCACATGAACCCTCACGAGCCACAGCAGCAGCAGCAACAGCAGCAGTGCCTCTTTCACTAACGCGCTCGCTGCCCTGCCCACCGCCAGCCAACAACTGCTGCCCTGCCTTGCCACCTCCCTCATCTCCCTGCCGCCTCTCTGCACCTCCACCGCCCTCTCTCATTCGTCCCCTCTGCGGAGCATCACAGCTATCATTCCCCCTGCTGCCCCGCTCCTGTGATGTATGCTGTGTGCCCATGCTCTTCCCACGCCCTCTCCCCCCTCCTGCCACATGCCCATGCCCATCTCGCCTCCTCACTGGCCCCATCCGCCCACCTGCCCTCGCCCCTCGCTGCTCCCTCCTGCCCTCACCGTCGCTGCTACTGCTGCCACCGCTACTGCTGATGGAGCTGCTGCCGCTGCTGTCGCTGTGGCTCACGCTTGACGTTGTGCTGCCCCCACTGCCCCCCTCACTACCCCCGTCACAAGCGCCCTGCCCCCTGGTTGCACGCACCCCTTCACCCATCCTTTTCCCTGCTCTGCCCTGCCTGCCCGCCTCTGTGCCCTGCATTTCGCGCTCGCCCAGATCGCCCTCCCACTCCTTCCCTGCTGGCCGCACACAGGGGCTTGCCACGCCACCCCCACCAGCGCTGCTGCCCACAGGGGCGGTGCCTGGGTCTGGCAGCAGCGGAGGGGCAGCAGACAGCGACGCAGCACGCACCACGTCAGGAGCATGAGACGCAGCGGCGGCGGGAGGGGAAGCAGCGGCAGGAGAAGCAGGGTGGGCGGTATTGCTGTCCTCCCGTGGGACGCCAGTGCTGTGCGCGGTGGGGCTTGAAGTGGTGGGGGTGCGAGGGGTAGGGCTGGATGGGGTAGCGCTGGGAGCAGTAGAGGTGGGAGGCGTTGGTGCAGCGAGGGCAGAGGCAGGGGGAGGAGGGGCGGAGCGCGGTGTAGGTGTGGATGGGCTGCCACCAGCGGGTGCAGCAGCAACTGCTCCTGCGCCTGCCGCTGCCGCCTCTGCTGCTGCCGCCCGTGCCACTGAGGGTGAGGGTGCAGGCAGCACGGGAGTCCCACTGACCGCAGCGATGGCAGGTGGTGGTGCGCAGTGCAGTACAGATGGCAGGGCAGGCGAGGCGACGGGTGAGGTGACGGGCGTGCCATGCACCCCGTTGCCAAGGGCAGCAGCAGCGGGTGTGGTTGCGGCAGGGTGCAGCATGGGGGGCGAGTCGTGAGAGGCATGGCGCGCTGGGGCAGAGTGAGAGTGGCCGTTGGCCGTGGCAGGGGGTGGGGGAGGCGGTGGCAGCGCAGCGTGTGCGGCATCGGCAGCACCTTGGGCATCCTGCCACACCACACAAACCACACGGTGTGAGCGTGGACACAACTCTAAGCATCAACAAGGAAACAAAGACAGCTGTGATCAGATAATGAAGTGGAAGCGTGTGGGTGCTGACCTGGGGGGGGGAGGCGCCGCCACAGCGGGCGTTCCAGGCAGTGAGGAGGTTGAGCAGGTAGGCGTAGTCGGGCTTGTCGGCGTACTGCAGCACCTGCAGGTGATCCGCGAACGCCTGAGGGGCCAAGGGGGGGTGGGGCAGAGCGGCATAAGACAGCAGTTGGCGGAAGGGCTTGGATGAGGAGATGCAAGGAGCGCGATAGGTGGAAGTGTAGGTAGGAAAGGTGAGAGCAGTGCAGAAGAGTGGGGTGGTGTGGCAAGGGTGGCAATGGATGCAGCGCGAGGGACTCACAGAGAGCTCCTCTGGGAAGGCAACGGACTTGGTCATCTGCTCCGGGTGGTCAAAGAAATACAGCTTCATCTCCTTCACCCTCTCCTGTTGCCGTTAACACACACACACACATGCATGCACACGCGCGCACGCACACATGCACACATGCACGCACACACACACCCTCCCTCCCACCACGTGTACGCACATCATTGCACACACAGCAGGGCGAGGGAACACAGTGGGTGGGGAGAACACATTAGTGAGAGGTCCAGGCATGGCAGCGACGTGCATGCAGTGATGAGCCGAAAGCAGCAGTGCAAAACATGCACTCTCTTGCTACGAGCACACTGCTCACCTTCTCCTGCACGTGGCGCCAAGGGAGCTCCCCGTCAAGAAACTCCACGAGCACATAGAAGAGCGACCACAGGTCGTCCCTCCGCCCCAGGTCCTGCCACCCACCACACACGGCAGGTGCGAGTGCACGGAGGCATACCATGAGCAGGTGCGAGTGCACGGAGGCATACCATGAGCAGGTGCGAGTGCACGGAGGCATACCATGAGCAGGTGCGAGTGCACGGAGGCATACCATGAGCAGGTGCGAGTGCACGGAGGCATACCATGAGCAGGTGCGAGTGCACGGAGGCATACCATGAGCAGGTGCGAGTGCACGGAGGCATACCATGAGCAGGTGCGAGTGCACGGAGGCGTAGGCAGTGGAGCCGCGGAACTCGGCCACCTGGCGAGCGGGGTGCACGCCGTAGGAGGAGCGGAATCGCTTGCTTATGCCAAAGTCAATCACGAAACACTGCTGCTGCCGTGAGCCCACGCCCATCGCGAAGTTGGACTGCTCACACGCGCCATGAGGGGTTTGGTAGGGGGTAGGTGAGCGGGTGTGCATGGAGGGGCGCGCTGAGGACGATGATTGGCGCATGGGGGAGGCTTGGGTGCCGGAATGGTGCAAGGAGCGGGTGATGCAGATGGCGAGGGACGTCGGTGATACAGGTAGACATGGCAAGGCAAGGCGATGCAGAGAGGAGGGGGTGGGGAGGGCACTGACGGGTTTGACGTCGCGGTGCAGGAAGCCGTGGTCGTGCATGGTCCTCAGCGCCCTCAGCATCTGCTCGCAGGGGGCGGGTGGGGGAGGGGGGAGGGGGGAGGGGGGAGAGGGGAGGGGGTGGGGTGCGGTGATGGGCAGGGGTGGGGCAGGAGCGGCAGTGGGATGGACATGCAACCTGAGGCCATCAGCAGCTGAATGCACCATGTCATGCAACACCCATTCGGCCCTCAACCCCCCTTGCCACCAGTCCCACGCAAGCCACCCTGCTGCTGCCAAGCAAGCACCCACACGCCCCCGTAGCCCCCCAGCACACTGACCTGCAGGGCGAGGGGTACGAGGGTGGCGACGGGGAAGCGCGCGTGGGGGTGCGTGCGGCGCAGGTCGGAGAGGCTGGGCCCCAGCAGCTCCATCGCCACGTACGCGCGCCCCCCCGCCTGCCCCGCGTGCACATACTCGCACACCGCCCCGCACCCTGGGGGGGACACGCGGGGTGGGGAGGGGGGAGGTCGTATAGTGAGGGGGAGGGACGAGTGCTGGTCATGCGCCAGAAGGTTGACGAGAGGGGGGAGCGATACAAGAAGGGGTGGAGGAGAGAGGTGGGAAGGGGAGTGGGGTTGGGGGATTTGATTGGGAAACAGATGCGAGGAAGGTGTACAGGCGCAGGTGTATACGGGGGAGGCGGTAGGTACCTTGCAGGCGCTTGAGCACCCAGACCTCCCACTTGAGCACCGACTCCTCCTTCTCCACCTTCAGTGCCACCTGCCGCCCCGTCACCGTGTCGCGCGCCCGGTAGATCTCGCCTGCACACAACCGATTGCGCACAGATGGTTGAGGAAGGTTCAGGGCCGGGGAGCAGCAAGCGAGAAGGAGAGGCTTGGCGGCGAAGGTAGTGGAGGGGGGAGGAAGGGAGCGGCGTGGACGGGTTGATGAATGACGAGGGGTGTTCGGGTAGCGCGGGACACATGATGAGTGGCGAAACAGTGAAGGTCCTTAAGTTAGAGGACGCACAAAAGAAGCGAATTGCGAAACCATTCAACGACCAGCTTAGAGGGTGAGGGGAAGAAAAGGGGGTAAGAGTGGAAGATTGGGAAGAGAGAAGCGGAAAGGGAGAGAAAGGGGTTCCAGGGAGTGCGGGAAGTACTGAAGGTGCCTTCGCCGATCTTCTTCTCCACTTCGAACCGCGACTCCAGCACCGCGCCTCGCGACAACAACGGCGCGTGCGGAGGCAGCCGCGACGACGCCATGATGGCAGTGCAGGCAGCACCGTCACGGGCTGACGGCGGAAACCCCGGACCGTCACGCGTCGATCCTGCTCATCTGGAAGTAGCAGCACCACCCATTGCTGTCCATTAACGTCCTTCTTAACGTCCACCACGAAGCTCCGGTCCAGCCAGGCCACGAACGCAACGGCGGAAATTCGATGACTAACGCCTCACCTCAAGAGTTCCGTGTACAAGTACGGAGAGGACGGAAAGGGCCTGGGAACCAATGTACAGGAGGGCTAGATTCGAAGGACCTAGCCAGTGAATTTAACAATATAGTCGACATAAGAAGGGTTTCACGAGCTGCACACGTGACCTGAAGTGAGCTAGATTCAGAATCTTGGGCGCAAAAGGCTGAGAGACTGGGCCTACTAAAGCATCTAAGATGCAATGGACGGCTTCACTGCTGAAGGGTGGAAGGGATGAGCCTTGGAGTTGTCATGGCAGTCACATGGCTGTCCGTCGCCAGTCTCGGTGATATCATGCCCGCCGTCCAATCACTGACAGCGCACAGGCTCGCACCAAACCCTGCGACTGTTCCCAAATGAACACTGCAGCAGCCCCAACACGCCTTCCCCCTCAAAGGGTCGTTTCAGCTTTGTATTGAAAAACGATGCAATCAAAAGTCAACCACAGTTCTACCTTATCTTAGCCAAGCAGCAGAAGTGTCAATGATTAGCTATAACTTACCCATTGACAGCAGACATTTGCCATACAATGAACGTGAATAATGAGCGTGCATAATCATCATTGATTCCCCACTTCATTATTTGAATGTTCACAAATATTTTGAATTTGTTTAGTATTTCTTATTGACGTAATTGATACCCGCAATTACAATGAAAACCACTAATCAGCACCTTAAGATCAATGCTTACCGTAAAAAGTGTTTTTCATAACGAACATCACCAAATTTGGGTGTCATATTATATAATGTTCTGAATGCAACAAGAGGATGTCGCATGCTAGTGCGTTTCACTTTTGTGATCTAATTGTCTAGGGTTAAAATACAAGTTCAAATATTGTGGCATGTCTATAAGCTTTCAGGTGATTCTGAATATTTCTACTAATCTACTATGAAAATTCACCTGTCATGTACCTTATATTAAAGAGTCCTCCTGTTCTGTACTACTGGATGAATTATGGTTGAGTGAAAAACTATTTCCACATAATGGGCTGGACTGCTGCTGACCTTGAGAGCTGCTTGAGTGTGTGATTGGAGCAGCACCGCCCCACTCCAGCATTCGTGGCACAGCTGCCCCGTCAGCGATCGCCTCTTGACGGTCATTTGCCACAGCGTGCCACCTGCTCTACCTTCGTTCCCCCCCTCCCTGACCACCTGTCGAAGTGTCGTTGCCCGCATCCCCTTCGCCTCCCCTCGCCGCCGTCCCTTCCAAGCAGCAATCACACCACCACACCCATGCTCCCCGCCCCGCACAACCCGCTTGTGCGCACCAGAATTGACTTGAAAGCATAAATCTTGTCCCCCGCCCATACCTAACAGACCTCGCCAACTAAGACCATTACCCCTTCCCCTCCGTCCCGTTGTCCGCGTCAACTATGGCTGCCGCGGTATCTGTCCCTTCCCCCGCATTGCGCGGCACCGTAACTTCTGCGCGCCATGCCGCCTTGCCAAAAGCCAGCGGCTCCGCGTCGCCAGCGGGGCCTGCGCCACAAGTAACTCTCAGATCGTCCTTCACGCAATCGCGCGCCGCCGTCACCGGCAGAAGCCGGTCGAGTAGCTGCCGTCAAATTGCTGCTTCTAGGCGGCGATCGGCTGTCAGAGCGTCTGTGGCAGCGTCGGCGCCGAATGCGCAGGCGGCGGCGGCGGAGGCGGAGTGGGCGAAGCTGTCGAAGGTGTGCGCGGTGCTGGGCACGCAGTGGGGCGACGAGGGCAAGGGCAAGCTCGTCGACATCCTCGCGCAGCGATACGACGTCGTCGCGCGCTGCCAGGTGAGACGCCGTGAGGCGGCACGGAGAGGCGAGAGCGAGAGCGAGAGATGCGGGGAGGCGATCGCAGGGATTGGCGCAGGAGGGAGACACACTTGGGGCTAAACGGACGAGGGCCCCGCACCTTGCTGGATCGCGTTAGGCGCACAATGAGGCGGTTAGTGCGAGGCCAGCTGGCAGAGACCGAGCATGGGACGCTTGTTGTGAGACGTACCAAAAGCTAATTCAACTTCCACATGGCATTTGGACCCTCAATTTGAATCCCGTGGTTAAAAAATTGTCACTTTGACGAGCGAAATCATGATCAGCCCGTGTTCGAAGCACCTTCGTATGTCTGCACCGCCGATGCCCTCGCGAGTAATTTGGTTAATTATCAGCCCAGCCGCTGCATGAATGGCTGAACAAACAAGGAATTCACGTCGCTCTCATTCTCGCGGAAATAAGACGAAATTGTCGACGTCAAGGCACCATTCCGCTCCCCACCCCCCGCGCGCCGTGGTGCAGGGCGGCGCGAACGCGGGGCACACGATATACGACAGCACGGGGCGGCGGTTCGCGCTGCACCTGGTTCCGTCGGGCATCCTGCACCCGAACGCGACGTGCGTGGTGGGCAACGGGCCCGTGATCCACCTGCCGGGCTTCTTCAAAGAGCTCGACGGACTCGAGGCGAGCGGCGTGACCGTGGACGGGCGCATCCTCGTGAGCGACCGCGCGCACCTGCTCTTCGACCTCCACCAGACCGTCGACGCGCTCCGCGAGGCGGAGCTGGCGGGCGACAAGATCGGCACCACGAAGCGCGGCATCGGGCCGTGCTACGCCAGTAAGGTGCGCGCACCGTGGGTGTGACGGGGACGGGAGGTGTGGGATTTTTGCCCGGGGCTTGTGGGGGAAGGATGTGTGAGAGGGGAGGGTGTGTGTGAGAGAGGAGGTGGTATGTGATGGGCAGGCGAGCGTGTCTGAGGAGGAGCGGAGTGTGTGTGAAAGGGTGTGTGAGGGAGAGGGGAGGGTGAGTGTGAGAGAATGGGGAAGCGGAGCTGAAGAGGGTGCCCGGACGAGTTAGGGCAAGGTGGGAGAGAGCACAAGGGGCTGTTGCTGCTGCTGGCCATGCTGACTGGCATGGGAGCGATTGATAGTGGGTGGGTGGTTGGGCTGGGATCCCATGTGCCATGCTGCTCTCATCTTTGGCACATCACTTCACCAACGCAACTGTTCCCCGTGCTCGCCCCCCTGCATTCCCCCTCTCCCTCCACCCTTTCCCCCCCGGTCAGGCGATCCGCAACGGGGTGAGGGTGTGCGACCTGCGCCGCATGGACACGTTCCGCGCCAAGCTGGAGACGCTGTACCGCGACTCCAGCCAGCGCTTCCCCGCCTTCCAGTACACTGAAGCCGACCTCGACGCTGAGGTGGCGCGCTACAGGGAGTTTGCCACCCGGCTGGAGCCGTTCATCACGGACACTGTTCACTTCGTGGGCGAGGCGGTGCGCGGCGGGCGGCGGGTGCTGGTGGAGGGCGGGCAGGCGACGATGCTGGACGTGGACTTCGGCACCTACCCCTTTGTCACCTCCTCCAACCCCTCTGTCGGTGGCATCTGCACCGGCCTCGGCATCCCTCCCCGGGCGCTTGGGGACATCATTGGCGTCGTGCGTCCCCCCTGCCCAAATACCCGCATGCCCACACGCCCATACCCGAACGTCCACTCTTAGCCACTTGACATCGCTGCTGCGGCTTTGTTCCTCTTGAACCATTCGTGCGGCCCTCACCCATATCACCCCTCGCTCTCACCCTCACCCCTGAGGTCCTCCTCATCCCACCCGCACCCCCTTCATCTCACCGCTCATCCTTCTCAACCCCTCCCAATCTCACCTCTCCTCCATTTAAACCCCCCACCATTTCATCCCCCCCGGGCTGCTCTTCTCCAGGCGAAGGCGTACACGACTCGGGTGGGCGAGGGGCCGTACCCGACGGAGCTGTTTGGGGAGCTGGGAGAGCAGCTGCGCAAGGCGGGCCACGAGTTTGGCACCACCACGGGGCGCCCGCGGCGCTGTGGGTGGCTGGACATAGTGGCACTGCGGTACGCGTGCCAGGTGAACGGCTTCACCGCTCTCAACCTCACCAAGCTGGACGTGCTGTCGGGCCTGCCAGAGCTGCAGCTGGGCGTGGGCTACCGTGCCCCTGATGGCTCGCTGCTGCCCGCCTTCCCCGCTGACCTGGAGCTGCTGGGACAAGTACAGGTGCGTGCCGCCTGCCCTGCGCTGCCAACATGCCTCACATTCAGTGCCCGTGTGCGTCGATAGTTTCTGTCGTTCTGTATGACTGCACGGGTGGCCTCAATGCCGGGCTGTGTTATCATATTGCGGTGTGTGGGTGCAGGTGGAGTATGAGACGGTGGCGGGGTGGCAAGAGGACATCACAGACGTGCGCACGTTCGAGGAGCTGCCGGCCAACGCACAGGCGTATGTGCGGCGCATAGAGCAGCTGCTGGATGTGCCCGTGCGCTTCATTGGTGTGGGGCCCGGCCGAGATGCCATGATCGTGCGCACGTCAGAGTGACGCCTATTCTAGCGAATAAGATGGCATTGCAGTAGCTACCACTGTCATTATTGTTCGAAAAAAGTAAAAAAATAGAAATATTCAAATCCCTCTTGCAACAGTGTAACTGATGAGGATCACGAGGTTTCAGAATGAAATGGTTGGCTTCGCTGTGATCGAGGCACTACATCACACAGATTCCATCTTGGCGCGTATCAGATATCGCGTATTTTGACTCTCATTCTGTCGTCGTTCCATAAGCTTCGTGCCGACTGGTAACTTATTACGCAACATCCGCGTCGCTCTCACCTCCTCAGACTCGTGAATCGGCGCGCAGTGGGGACTCGGCGGGCAGGATGCAGATCTTCGTGAAGACGCTGACGGGGAAGACCATCACGCTCGAGGTGGAGAGCAGCGACACCATCGACAATGTCAAGGCCAAGATCCAGGTACGCTCCCCCGCTCCCCCGCGCCCCCGCGCCCTTGCGCCCGCCCTCGCGCCCGCGCTCGCTCGCTTGCTCGCTCCCTCCCTCCCTCGCGCCCCCGCGCCCTTGGTTCCCCGCCCTCCTTCCCCCGCGCCCTCGCTCCCCTGCGTCATCGCTTCCTCGCGCTCTTGCCCCCTCGCCACTGCACCGGGCAAGGACTCGCGCTGCCGCCGCCGTGCTAGTAGCTGGAGTGCTATCCTGGTTGCGACGCGTGTTCTGAGGCGGTGCGTGCTGTGTGCGGCGCGCAGGACAAGGAGGGCATTCCGCCGGACCAGCAGCGGCTGATATTCGCGGGGAAGCAGCTGGAGGACGGGCGGACCCTGGCGGACTACAACATCCAGAAGGAGTCGACGCTGCACCTGGTGCTGCGGCTGCGCGGCGGCATGATGATCAAGGTGAAGACGCTGACGGGCAAGGAGATTGAGATCGACATTGAGCCCATGGACACCATCGAGCGCATCAAGGAGCGCGTCGAGGAGAAGGAGGGCATCCCGCCCGTGCAGCAGCGGTGAGCACGGAGGGCAGGTTGCGCCTGGGTGCATGTGTGGTGCTCATGGGTGTGTTGGTGTTGTTGCGTTGCACCAACTCACCACTCAGTGGGTTCTTGTTCATAAGCGTCCCATGCCACCCCATTCCATCCCACCCAATGCCATCCCATCCCATGGCATGGCATGGCAGGTTGATCTTTGCGGGGAAGCAGATGAACGATGAGAAGACGGCCAAGGACTACAACATAGAGGGCGGCTCCGTGCTGCACCTCGTGCTCGCCTTGAGAGGCGGCTCCGCCCCCTGCTAGATGCGCCATGCTCCACACCCCACACCACACTCCTTTTCTAGTTGCTGTAGTTACCATAGTGGTGCAGGCCCTAGGGTAGTGGACGTGGCAAGGCGATTGCCTCGTTGGCTTTCCCTTATCATTGCATTGTGTTGTGAAGGCTCTGAAGTGCATGCATTATTAACCCAGAAGACAACAGCAGGAGCACGGAACCTAGACGGGGTCAATGAGGGTGACGGGCAGGCCGAGGGAGGAGAGCTGCGGCATGACGGCAGCAGCGTCCGCCACCACCACGATGGGCTGCTCCCCCGGGTGCAGGCGGCGCTGCGCCGCTGCCAGCACGGCCTCGGGGGAGAGTGCTTCCACGCGGCGCTTGAACTCAAAGATGAAGTCCTGATCGATGCCAAACAGCTCGTACGTCATTATGCGACTCAGCTGCGCTCCACTGCCAGTGGGCACGTGCATGGGGAGGAGAGGCATGCGGGAATGAGGTTGCAGAGCACATAAGCAGTGGAATAGCTTGGAGTGACGAGACATATGGGAGAGGTGGGTGTGCATGGAGAGGAGAGGTACCTGTCAGCGAAGTTGAAGACGAAGGAGTTGAGCACCCGGTCCTTGGCCTCCTGTAGCTCGCCTGCACTCCACTCCACAGCAGCACCGCCACACACACATGAGGTGACAATGGATGAGTGCCTTTGCCGCACGCAACAGCTGCTGAGGCATGAGGTGCCAGGCAGTGGCAGTGGGGGCCTCACCCGGTGAAGGTGGTAACAGCGTGGCCTCGCCCAGCACGCGCTGCACTGCTGTGACGAACTGCCCCACTGCCTCCGCCCTCGTCTCCCCACCCCCCACAAACGCCCCCTGCACGCATGGGACACACACCGGCACAACTGCTGGTGAGAGAGAGCAGGTGTTGCACTCATGGGCAACGGGAGCTGAGAGAGCAGCGCAGAGCAGGCAAGATAGTTAAGGGCGAGCAGGAGTGAGGTAGGGCAGAGAGAGCAGGCAAGCACAGGCGGGCAGTGGCAGCAGCAGCGGCACGCACCCGGTGGTCAACGCCTGGCGACCACGAACCCGACACCGAGTATGCCAGACCCTCCCTCGACCGCACCTGCGAGGGGAGGGGAGGGACGCATGGGCATTTGCACACACACGAGTCCATTTGGGAGCAGGTTTTACAGCAGCAAAGGGGAAAAGGGAGTGAAAGGAGAAACAAGGAAAGTTGGCGTGAAGGAAGAGGCAGCGAAGGAGGTGGAGAAAGGGGAGAGGTGGAAGAGGGTGTGTGGGTTTGGGAGGTGACCTGGTCGAAGAGGCGGCCACCGAAGCCATTGAGGATGGCGTTGAGCACGTCCAGTGCAAACACGTCCTCGTCGCTGATCGTGATGCCCAGCTCTCCCACGCGCACTATGCTGCCAGGGGGGGAGGAGAGGCAGGTGAGAGGAAGCAGAAGGAGTGCAAGCAAGGCATGAGCTGGGTGGTAAGCATTGCCATGGGGTGAGCTGCGAGCCCGCACTCACATCCACACCTCTGCCTCACTCTGCCCTGCGTGCCCCTTCACTCTGCCCTGCGTGCCCCTTCCCTCTGCCCTGCGTGCCCCTTCCCTCTGCCCTGCGTGCCCCTTCACTCTGCCCTGCGTGCCCCTTCCCTCTGCCCTGCGTGCCCCTTCACTCTGCCCTGCGTGTCCCTTCCCTCTGCCCTGCGTGCCCCTTCCCTCGGCACTGCCCACACCCCTGCCCCACACGCACCTCTGGGTGAGCCCGGGGCGGTCCACCACATACACGCCCGCTGCGCTGGCCGCCACGCCCTCCTCCGGGCCCCAGTACGGCATCGCCCGCCCCTTGGCAGCGCGCCGCGCAGGGGTGGCGGGGGCAGCGGGCCAGGCGAGGAAGGTGTCTTCCAGCAGCGCGCGCATGCTCCGCGCGTCAAAGTCGCCCCACACTCCCAGCACTGCCTGCGATGGGTCGCTGTAGGAAGCTGCGTGGAAGGCGCGCAGGTCGGCGAGGGAGATGCGGGTGACGTCAGCAGCGAGGGGGTAGCGGCCGCGTGGGGAGGCGGGGCTGTAGAGCAGGCGCTGCAGCTCCCTTGATGCCACCCGCCCTGGCTGGCGTGGGGGTGTCAGGGAGTAGGAGGGAGGGGTAGGAGAAATGGATGGAAGGTGGGGAAGGAGGTGGGGGCGTGATGCAATGTCCTTGGCTTGTGGAGGGCTACACAGTGGCTCATTTACGGATGAACGAGCGTGGCATGGGCATGGGCATGGGCATGGGCATATGAGAGGCGTACAATGAGCAGGTCGGGACAGGGGGTGGGTGGGAGTGGGTGGGGGCGTGAACGGGGGCGTGGATGGGGGGAGGGCATGCATGGACGCACATCGTCGTTGCGGCGGGCGATGGAGCCGAGCAGCTGCGTGCGCGAGAAGGCCAGCTTGGATGCTGGTAGCAGCGGTGCCAGCACCACTGGGGGGGGCGGGAGAGGGGAGCCACGGAGTCGGGGGGAGAAAGGAGGACATGAGTGGGGAGGAAAGCGAGGGGGTTGACAGGAAGAGCAGGGTGAGAATGTCTAGAGCCCTCAACACATTTGCATGGAGCAGAGGCAGGCAGGGGCGGGCAAGGGCGGGCAAGGGCGGGGAGGGCGGGCAAGGGCAGGCAAGGGCGGGGAGGGCGGACCATCGCGGAGCAGTGGGAGCAGGGTGGGGGCGTCCTCTTGCAGGCAGCGCAAGGACGCTGAGAGCGATGACGTGCCCGCTGATGTCTCTATTGACGCCGCCATTGCCTGCCCGGGGGGGCATGCACAGGGGTGCACGAAGATTGGCACACGCAGAGGGGCACATGCAGAACGCAGGAGCGATGAGCAAGGATAGATTGAAGGGATGGCGGCTCTGCTGGGATGGGGGCTGTAACGGGATGAAATGAATTCCGCGAAGGTGCGAGAGAAAGAGAGTTGCACTGCACCAATGGGGTGGGCGGTGCATGCTGGGCGGACCTCAAGCGTGTCATCGAGGTGCTCCTCGGGGTACTGCTGCGTGCCCCCACTGCGCTGCACCGCCGCCATCATGCCCGCCACTCCCACCTGTGCACACAGGGGGGGAGAGCACAGAAGCATAAATGCCTACTGCTTGCATACATGCATGGCCATGGACTCATGAGTCATGGGAAAAGCATGGCAAGGATTCACACCCTCCCCTAGCAACCGATAACTGGCCAGGCACATGCATGGTGGGAGGCGCACACATGCATGGTGGGAGGCGCACACATGCATGGTGGGGGGGACACGCATGCATGGTGGGGGGGACACGCATGCATGGTGGGGGGGGCACGCATGGGGACCGGCACATGCACGCATGGGGGACATGGACCCACCTTGTCGGGCGCTTCATACTGCGCCCCGCCCTTCACGAGCAGCTGCCCACCCACCTGTGCGCATGCACATACACGGTTGGACAGACAGACAGTAGAGTGAGCGTCATGTGCGAGTGAGTGGTGGTGTCACAACGAGGCACGGGCGGTATGAGTGCATCAATCTGGCCCCTCTCAACCTCCCGCCTTCACCTCACCAGCCCCACGCAGCGCTCACCAGCCCCAGCTCGTGGTCTTCGAGCAGAAAGACGCGCAGGCCGTTGGGCAGCACGAACTGGCACGCACATAAGGGCAGAGGAGGGGGAAGGCACGACAGAGAAGCGCCATGAGAAGCATGGGTGCGTGTGAGACACGTGGTTCTGAGAGGTGCAGTGGTTCGAACGGCATGAGAGGTGGCGGGCAGAGGGCAGGCGGGCGAGGGGGGAAGTAGAGGGGCATGCGGCATGGGTTACGCAGGTAAGGGCGCGCACCTGTTCGTAGGGCGGCAGGGCGGGGTCAGGCAGGGGCGGGAAGGCCGTGGGGATGGGCGGCAGGTGGCGGGTGGACGCGCGCGCGCTCACACGGGCTGAGGGAGAGGGGGAAGGCCGCAGGGGAAGGAGCGGAATGGAGGTGGCGCACACTCAGCAATGGCAGGTGCGCTACAAGGGGGATGCGGACGAGCGGCGAGAGAGGGTCGTTGGACAGCGGGCCAGTGCGCAGCGATCTGCTGGTCGGAGGGCGGACGGGGAGGGGGGCCAGTTGCGGCGGCTCTTAGTGAGGCAGCGTGCACGCACCCTTTCTGCCCCTGCGCCGCATCGGCGGCACCTCTGGCATCCACCTGGAAAGGCGCCCGCCTCCATTCCGCCATGTCGCGTTGCTGCTGAGAGCGCCGAGCGCGGACGGCGCTGAGCCAGCAGCGCGACGGCCGGTGAGTACAGGCGCCGAGGCGGGCACAGCTGCCATGCCTGGCGTCGCTGTAGGGTGCCTGGCGCCGCTGTAGGGTGCCTGGCCTGAGCGGATGGGCGCCGATTGATGCACAACGAGCGCACACGGCGGCGCGACGTCCCAAGTTACTCGGTACTCGGTAGTGCGTGGGCGTTTCGTGCAGAGATGCACTTGGCAGGGAGAGTAGTGCGCGGCATTGTCTGCTCTCTTGGCGCCATCCTCTCAGATTAAAGCTGATGCGTTATTGAATATAATTTCCCGTGCTACATTGTTTAGCTATTATACAAAAAAGCATGGCTAGAACAGAACAGGTGAGAAAAGCACAGCAAAAAGCTGGCCAAAGGTGCCTTGAAGCAGCAATTACATTCTGCAGTGATCAACAAAGGCCACGTCAGGAGTACAGCAAAAATGGCCGTTTTCTCGAGAGCAAGGGGGCGTCATTGCACAGCGGAGCTGTGGGGCGAGCGATTGAGGGAGGCCCAGGAGGTGTCGGTGACAACCTGGCGCATGTCCTCCCAGTCGGTGTTGGCCAGCGCGTAGTAGCGGTTGTCCCTCACTCCTATGCAGTTGAAATGCGCCATTCGCCAACACGTCCCGTTCTGCCTCACCATCCATGCACACACACGCACCGCACAAGGGGGGGGAAGGCATGTGAGGTGCATGGCTTGGGGCCTCATTGGGTCAGAGACCAAGAAGAGCACGCGCTGAGAGAAGCATCATGACGCCGCTATCCCAATGCAGCACACAGCACCACCACAGAAGCAGCAGTAGCAACCCAGCAATCCAGCAGCTCAGCAGCACCTGGTCCTTGTCGCACCTGGTCCTTGGCGCATGCACACAGCGCACCTGGTCCTTGTCGCGGGCGTTGAGGCCGAGGAAGCGGGGCTTGGAGCAGCCGGAGACGTTCCAGATCTTGGGCAGGGTGCGGCACTTGTCGGGGTTGTTCATGCACATCATGGTGAACACCCACTGGTCGCCCGGCCTGAACCCCCACACCTCCATCGCCTTCTGCTCGCCAAACGCCTCCATCACCAGCTGCCATGCCATGCACACGGACACGCACACACATGCAGGGGGACGCGCACAGGGGGGATGCTCCACGGCTTGGACCACCCCTCAACGCCAACAACCTAGAGCCTAGAGGCCGTGAGCATAGCGACAGTGAGCGAGGGTGTCATCAGGGTGGGGCGGGCGGGCATACGCGGGTGAGGTTGTGCAGGGGCGGGTGGGGAGTGCAGGGGCGGGCGGGGAGTGCAGGGGCGGGTGGGGAGTGCAGGGGCGGGCGGGCATACGCGGGTGAGGTTGTGGCGGCGGAGGCGGTCGAGGTCCATGATGAGCTGGCAGGAGCAGAAGGGGTAGCGCGAGCGCGGGCCGTAGGCGGTGGGGTGGTTGTCGCCCATGAAGAGCAGCAGGTCGGGGTCCGCGTCCATCTCGCGGAAGTACCCCCACAGCGCGCCCAGGTCCTCCGCCGCCACCATGTCCACGTCCAGGTAGATGGCGCGCCGCACGTTCCACAGGATCTCCGGCAGAAACAGCTTTGCAAACCCCGCCTCGCCCGAGTGGTGCGTTATGTTTATCCCCAGCAGCTCCGCCTGACACCCCGCCGCGCGGAAGGACGAGGGGGGGGATGGATGCGCGCATGCAGCTGAGCTGGTGGTGCTACAAGGTACGGTGCGCGCATGGAACGCAAAATGAGGGGTAGCAGTGACGTGTGGTTGAAGGCGGCGCACTTGCCTTATGGCGAACCCAGCAGACAGGGATGGGGTGGATGGTGTAGCCCACTGGAGGATCATCCGCCACCTGCACACACGCACGCACCCACACAGCGCACAGCGCACGCACTCTCACGTCAATACAAAACCTCCAACTTCCTGGACGCCTTGCACTGAATGCGTGGCTCACGGCCCGCCAGGCACGGCACACGGCAGGAGTGACGCAGGGCGGGACGGGCGCGCGGACCTTGTCGTCGTGGTTGGGGTCGTAGCTGATCTGGTCGACGAGCGCGTCGATGTCGTGGCGCACGAGGTTGGGCGACACGGGCCCCACGGCGTCGAAGGGCACGGCGCCGAGCTGCTCCATCATGTCGGAGATGCCCCACTCCTCCGCCTCGCCCGACACCATGAAGTGGAAGAATAGCCGGCACTGCGTCGACATCAGGATCGACTTGAGAATCACCTCCGTCTCGTCGCGCGTGAACGGCTCGCGGTCCCATTGCGCGCTCACCAGCACGATGTGGATGCGCTCGTTCACCGTGCAGTTGCTCACCGGCCGCGGGAGCGAGCACGGGCCCGACGGCCGAAACCCGATGATACGGACTACGCGCTCGGTGTCTGCGAATTCCTCACTGCCGATTAGCCACGCGACGGTGGGAATTAGAAAGATTCGGACGAAATGGACGATCGCAAAGGTGACGAGGAGGACTCGAAACGCGCCCCCTGGCTGACTGAATGCTTGGTTGAAGGCCTTCATGACTAAAGGTTGCTGGACGGAGAAGTTGGTGAATGACTTTGTCAAAACAAAATATTATTTCTTAAACCTTTAGTTACCGTCACACTCGTCCGTTGTCGTCCAGCCTGGTTAGGATACCTGGCTTTCACCCAGGCGACTCGGGTTCAAATCCCGGCAACGGAGCTTTTTTACTTCTGTTGAAGCTGTTATTTCGGCGAGTGTAATGGGAACAGTGTAAACGTGCTTACAAAGTGTTACGGGGTATTTTACTGTTCAAGGGTGGTTTACCCTAAACAGTACCCCAACCTCATCCCAACCTTATCTTCATCCAACTTATCCAAGATTTCCAAGATTTCCTAGTGCCACGTGGAACTCTAGCTTTCTTGCCTCTACTTTCTAATCCCACGAAGTACTTTCCAACAATCGCTCTTGCATGCTACTTAAACCTTGCTTGTACTTGCCATTATCAATCAATTCTTATTCAGCCATTACTCAGTTACTTCTTCGCATCTTTCGCCAATAATTCTTTTGCCAAAGTCTTCCGCTGCGTTTTCATCCTCGACTTAGTCGACCCCGCTATTCTTTAGCGGATTTAGGCCAGCGGGCCTATCACTTGGTATCAGAGCCTTCGCGGGGAGCGACTTCCAACGAGCGACCGTCGACGACGAGACTACGACGCCATCGTCCCGCGGTGCCAACTTGCAGACTTGGATTCGTCGAGCTAACATGGACGAGACCATGAACGCTCTCCCCAACGATATGGGCAACATGCTTGCTCAACTCATGCGCCAACTCGAAACGTTGACGCTGGAAAATCGCCAGGTACGTGCTGAAATGCAACAGCTTCGTGAATTTGCGTCAATTCCTCTTGGTCATCCCGCACCATCTCCTGCACCCAACACGTCAACTGGCGCGGAAGCGCTGCCGGAACGTCGAAGCGCGCTCAAGCCGCAGAAACCCGAGCCGTTCGACCCAAGTCAACGCGACGCAAACGTGCGGACGTGGATCTTCATGCTGAACAACTACTTCGCCACGAGCGGGGTGCAAGAGGCGGACGCGCAGCAGCGGATCGAGTACTCCGTTACGTTGCTGAGGGGCCCGGCCTTGGAGTGGTGGCACCAACTCACACAAACTGCTGTAAGAAGGGCTCATTTGGACGGGCATCAACAGGGCGAGGGGCATGCAGCTGCAACTTAGAGCTTAGGGAGTTTAGCTTTGGGTGTTACCACGGTTCCGACGACATGGGAACGATTTGAAGCAGCGTTGAAAAGTAGGTTCGACTTGGTGAATGCCTCCGAAGTTGCTAGGAAGCGTCTACGTCATTTCCGACAGATAGGAAACGTCCAGGAGTACACACGACGGTTCTTGAGCATCTGCAACGAGATAGACGATATCACGGAAGCAGAGATGCGCGATCGCTACCTCGAAGGGTTGAAGCCGGACATAGCGGAGATCATAGCGATTCACGGGTTGTCCACCTTCGAGTCGGTAGTCGCAGCAGCAGAACGCGTCGACGCAGTACGAAGCCGACGGGGTCGTGACGATCGCGATAGGGGATACAACAAACCGATCAACGACGCTCGATTGAGGGACGGACCGTCGCCCATGGAAATTGGTGCAGTTAACAGTGACGGCTCACAGAAAACAAGTTTTAGGGGGAACTGTCACTACTGCAAAAAGCTGGGACACATGAAGCGGGACTGCCCACAGCTTAAGGAGCGGCAGCAGGGAAACGAAAACCGCTAGTAGGTAGCGGGTAGCTAGCTGGTGTGAGCGCTTCCGAACCCGCCAAGTCTACCAACGTAGAGGAGACGGCCTTAGAGCAGTCATCTACGCCGACCGAGGTAGACACTGTTGATCACCCAGTCGTGCTTCTAGGGAAGCTTCGTGGAGTTCTGGTCAAGATTCTCGTAGATAGCGGAGCTAGCCACTCTTTTGTCTCTTCATCGCTAGTTAGTCGTCTCCATCTCGAAGCAGATTCGGCAGTCAACTTCAAAGACGCACGCATGGTAGATGGCACGTCTCTCCACATAGGACCAGTCATCCGCAAGTTGCGCGTAGTGCTAGGACCAATCACAGTTAGGCGTGTCTTTGACTCTGCGACGCTGGACGGTTATGACTTCATCTTCGGTAGAGATTGGCTACGGACGGTTAGTACTCAGTTCGATTGGGCTCAGGGAAGCTGCAGCGTCAAGGTAGACGGGGAGTTCCGGGAACTGCCACAGTGGAGCGATGGGGCCACATCATCCACAGCTATCATCAATGCTGTTCGTGTGCGGCAGCTGGTGAAGCGTGCGACACGGATCTTTGCGGTTTACCTTGAGGAGGTGGAAGCTGAGGAGGCGAAAGGAGGGAGTGCAGCAGTTGGTGAGAAGGTGACTCTTCCTGCTGAGGTGAGTGCACTGTTAGCAGATTTCGCAGACGTCTTTCCCGGCGAGTTGCCCCCAGGGTTGCCTCCCAGCCGAGCAGTAGACTATCGGATAGAGTTGGAGCCGGGAAGCAGACCAGTAGCGAAGCTGCAGTGGAGGTTGAGTCCAGCAGAGACAGAGGAGATGATGCAGCAGGTTAGGCATTTTCTCGCTCAGGGGTTCATACAACCATCTAGATCGCCTTGGGTGGCACCGATCCTTTTCGCGCCTAAGAAAGTCGGGGGGTTACGGATGTGCATAGACTACCGCGCACTGAACACCGCCACCGTCAAGAACAGATTCCCGGTGCCGAGAGTAGAGGATCTTCTCGATGCAGTGCAGGGCGCTAGAGTCTTTTTAAAGATCGACCTTCGTTCGGGTTACCACCAGATTCGAGTAGTTCCGGAGGATCAGGACAAGACGGCGTTTCGTACGAAGTAGGGGTTGTACGAGTTTAGAGTTCTACCGTTCGGTTTGACCAACGCCCCAGCGACGTTTCAGACGCTCATGAACACCGTCCTCTCCGAGTTCCTAGGTTCGTTCGTCGTAGTTTACATAGACGACATTCTCATCTTCTCCAAGACGAAAGAGGAGCACGTGCAGCACTTGCAGAAGGTCTTCGAGGTCTTGCGTAAGGAGCACCTATACGCTAAGCAGTCGAAGTGCGAGTTCTTCCTCCCCGAGGTCGAGTTTCTAGGTCACGTCGTTTTGGCTAGTGGCATTAGGACCGACCCGAAGAAGATCGCAGCTGTACAGGATTGGGTAGCTCCGACCTCAGTCAAGGAGTTGCAGAGCTTCCTCGATTTCGCGAATTATTACCGTCGTTTCGTTCAGGGTTACGCTTCCATTGCTAGTCCACTCACCGACCTACTTCGGAAGGGATGGATGGAGTTCATGGAGGGGAGTTTCCACTACAGGATAGAGTACAAGCCAGGCGTGGGCAGCCCAGCAGATCCGCTCACTCGCCCTAGTTGCCAGCTCGCCAGCCTCACAGTCACTGCCGGCCATCCAATTCTCACAGCACTCTTCGAGCACGGTTACACAGTAGATCCCGACTTCACACCGCAGCCGCCCGCAGGAGCAGAGGTGCAGGGTAGTGTCTACATTCCGAAGGGGACAACACGGATTTGGGTTCCCGCCTACCGCCCTCTTCGACAGCTTCTTCTCTCCGAGGCGCACGACGTAGTTAGTGCAGGCCACTTCGGAGCAGATAAGACGGCTAAGACGCTTAGTCGCACGTACTTTTGGCCAGGGCTTGCACTAGACGTTGAGGATTACAATCGCTCGTGCGACACGTGTCAGCGTACGAAGTCCTCTCACCAGCGCAAGGCAGGACTTTTGCAGTCGATTCCACCACCCGACCGCCCTTGGCAGGTAGTTACGATGGACTTCATCATGGCTTTACCGCTCACAGTTAGGGGTTACGACGCCATCTTCATGGTAGTGGATAAGTTTTCTCGAGCAGCGCACTTCATCCTCACGCACGGCAAGGTCACAGCAGAGGAAGCCGCGACGCTGTTCGTAGATAACGTAGTCCGACTGCACGGGGTTCCGGATTTCATCATCTCAGACCGCAACCCTCGTTTCACTTCGAAGTTCTGGCAGCAGCTTTTCGCACTGTTCGGGACTCGCTTAGCCATGTCGTCTGCGTACCATCCAGAGACAGACGGACAGACCGAGCGCGTGAACCAGACCTTGGAGCAGATTCTTCGCAGCATAACGATGCACGACGCAACCGCATGGGACAAGAAGCTGAGCATGGCCGAGTTCGCCTACAACAGCACGCATCACTTGTCCACAGGCATGTCACCGTTCTTCGCACTGTACGGTCAGCACCCCAATGTCCCCACACGTGTCAATCTCACACCCACAGTCCCTTGTGCGGACAACTTCCACCAGCATCTCACCTTCATTCATGATCACGTGAGGAAGCACCTTGAGCTTGCAAATGCACGCATGGCACGCACCACCAACCGCAGTTGTCGTGAGGTGTCAGTTTCAGTCGGCGACTGTGTTCTTTTGGATAGCCGCAACCTCAGACTGCCACAGGACAGCAAGCTTCGCCCACGTTTCATTGGTCCATTTGTCATTGAGCGCGCACTTGGTCCAGTCGCATACCGCCTCCGCCTTCCCGCTCATTTCCGCATGCACCCGTCATTCCACGTGTCTCTCCTTCGTCCATACACCGATCCCAATGCCACCTTCTCGGGCCGTGATCACACTCCACTGCCGGTAGCTGTTGACACTGACGAGCCCGACTACCAGATCCAGCGCATCCTCAGGCACCGTCGCCGTCTCCAGGGGGGTGTCTCTTTCATCGACTTCTTGGTTCGTTGGCGTGGTTACGAACGATGCAGCCGACGACAGCTGGGTTCCTTCGTCCTCGCTGTCTCCCGACAACGCTTGCCTTCAAGCGTACCTTCAGTCTGCAGGCGCCGCGGACGTCGCCTCCTTGGGAGGGGGGTAGTGTTACGGGGTATTTTACTGTTCAAGCGTGGTTTACCCTAAACAGTACCCCAACCTCATCCCAACCTTATCTTCATCCAACTTATCCAAGATTTCCTAGTGCCACGTGGCACTCTAGCTTTCTTGCCTTCTACTTTCTAGTCCCACGAAGTACTTTTCAACAATCGCTCTTGCATGCTACTTAAACCTTGCTTGTACTTGCCATTATCAATCAATTCTCATTCAACCATTACTCAGTTACTTCTTCGCCTCTTTCGCCAAAGTCTTCCGCCGAGTTTTCATCCTCGACTTAGTCGACCCCGCTATTCTTTAGCGGATTTAGGCCAGCGGGCCTAACACAAAGACAATGCTTTCATCTAAAGCGGAATTCTTACTAAGTGAGTTCTCAGACTGATGTCAGCTGACCTCGGTGTCGTCTAGGCGGGAACACCGATGCGTCTCTTTGTTCGACCCTTCGCCATGAGGCGGCCTGTCAGTGTGGGAAGGGAACCGAAGCGAACAGATGGGTGGGATGGGAAAGGCAAAGCTGAATCTAACATGGAAGAACCAAGGCTTCTCAGATTCTAACGTCTCCCCTCAACTTCCACAGCATCCATTGTTTTCCATAGCTATGTTGCGGCCCTGGAACAAGCTTACTAGCGTCAAGATTCGCTAATCCATATCTGGCCATGGTGTCGTCAGGCGGAAAGCACCTGGCTCAGGCCAGGCGGACCTCCTTGATGAGGTTACGAACAGGGGGACTGTCCTTATGCAGGAACGCAGTTGTAATATCTGTAGTCGCTCTCGCTAGTGCGTTCGTATTCTTCGGTTATCGCCTGTCTAGCCCGTTGACATCACCCGCTTCATCCACGACGCGTAAGGATCGCTTCTTCACAGTTTTGCACTTGATGACGAACGCATTCCTCACCCAAACGACTCTACACCTGTGCAGGTCGTGACAACTCAGTAGCAACCACAGTAGACCAGGTACGCACGTATACTTCCCCTCAATATCCATCCGTTATATTATAATCAGGACTTACATTCAAGTTTCAAAATATCCAGGTCTTATCCTCCGAGACAAAAAGTCTGGCAGCTCTGGAGCAAATAGAGTCGCTTTTCCCGAAGGAGGTATGCCTGCTAGTGGAGAAGTAAGCATCTACTTTCTCCACGATCTGTTTACTAACTATATCTCCTCGGTTTTCCCCTAGGTACTAGACGTCGTTAATACTAATGCGGCTGATTCGTCCCTCCCGGACTTGCGCTCGCTGTCGGTGGAAGAACCGACATCGATTGCGCTGGAGCGAATTCAGGAGAGGCGACGGAAAGCGCAGTCTGTGAGTATACTGCTCGCTCCGGTATCAGGAATTTGCTGCATAACAGCACAGAGGCACTGACTCATCGCTTTTCAGGTTCCCTCGGAAGACCCGCTCGCCACGTTGGGAGCTTCCACTGCCGATCACGCCAGCCTGCTGGCCAAAGCTGCTGCAGAGGGTAAGTCGCATCGCCAGTTACCTGCGCATGGTGCTGGGTTTTCTTGTCGCGTCCCACTGATGGTCCGCGCTTGGATGCAGGGGAGGACCCGGAGTCGTTGAGGGCGATGGAAGCCCTTCTGAAGCCGGATCCCAATGATCCTGCTCGACGGATAAGACGAGTACGTCGCCGCTCCTCAAATTTGTGTTGTTATTGTACAGCGACTTCGTGCTTATATGTGAATTTCTATTGCAGGAAAACCGAATTCGTCGGCGAGACAAACGGCTTCACGAGCTGGTGGCGCAGGAGTCCATAGAAGACGACGCTGCTGAGGCGGAAGAGAAGAAGAAGAAGGGGGCTGGCACGGAGCCCGCCATCGCTCTGAACAAATACAGCATCTGGCGTAGGGAGGACGAGAAGATAGGCGGGGACCAGATGATTAGACTTATTCAGGATCAGCTGATCATGGCGCGAGCGTACATGGCCATCGCGCAGCAGCATGGGGATTCGAAGCTGTCCAAGGAGCTGAAGAACAGGATGAAGGACAGCACCAAGTCGCTAGGCGAGGCAACCACGGACGCCGAGCTGGCTTCCAAGTAGGTCGTCCCCTTCCACTTACTTTCGTAGTGTAAAACTACTTTTCGTATTCCTGATTCGACAAGAAACCTTGAAGCATTCGTTTTCGTGCTCTGCAGTGCGGTGGAGAAGATGCGCGCCATGGGGCAGTTGCTGGCCAGAGCGAGAGATCAGCACTACGACTGCACCGGAATGGTGAAGAAGCTACGTGCCATGGTGCATTCTGCTGAAGAGCAGGTGAGTCTCAATCTGTTAGTGGCTGCATCTCCATCCTTGCACACGTGGCTGACCGGAATCCTCTTCTGCTAACATTTCAGAATCAAGCTCTGAGGCAGCAAAGTCTTTTCCTGAGTCAACTCGCTGCAAAGACCATACCGAAGGGAATCTTCTGTCTCTCCATGCGACTGACAATAGAATACAGCAACCTTTCTCCAGAGGAGCGGGAATTTCCAGGAAAGGAGAAGCTGGAAGACAATGACTACCATCACTATGCACTCTTTTCTGACAACGTGCTGGCAACAGCCGTGGTCGTAAATTCAACTGTTGTCAATGCAAATGTACGTCTGTCTCCACCGTTGCCACTGCCAATGCACGTCCATTTTCAACGGTTGCTTCTGCACACCCAGACAGTGATCAAGGCCCTCAAGAAACTGCTTCCGTGTTTTCTCCCTGTTCAGGACTCCTCTAGGCACGTGTTCCACATTGTGACTGACAAGCTCAACATAGCGGCCATGAAGGTGAGTTCAATGGTTGGTTCTGTTGAATATCGAAAGTCTGGTGGGAGATAAATTGACATTTGTAATGTCTTTGCAGTCTTGGTTTCTCTTCAACCCTCCCAAGGAGGCAACGATTGAGGTTCAAAGCGTTGATAACTTCACGTGGCTCAACTCGTCCTACTGCCCTGTCCTGAGGCAGTTGGAATCTGCATCAATGAAGGTACAGTACAAGAGCTGATGCAAGATATGCGGTTCTGCTTGGACCACGTGGATAGCATTTGCTGAAACTCATGTATTCTTGTTTTGCAGGACTACTATTTCAAGACAGGGCAACAAACAGAAACAGCGGGAGGTGCAACAGCAAACCTCAAGTATCGCAATCCCAAGTACCTGTCAATGCTGAATCACCTCCGATTCTATCTGCCTGAAGTTTTCCCCAAGCTGGACAAGGTTCTGTTTCTGGATGATGACATCGTGGTTCAAAAGGATCTCACACCACTGTGGGATGTAAGTGCCTGCTCTGCTGCTCCATACAGCTTCTTGCTTGAATGCATTTTTTGTCAATGACTGACATCTCTCCTTGCGTTTGGCAGGTCGACCTGCATGGAAATGTGAATGGTGCGGTGGAGACATGTGGGGCCAGTTTCCACAGATTTGACAAATACCTCAACTTCTCCAATCCATTGATAGCGTCTAACTTTGATCCACAGGTACCATTTGTCCGTTGAGGGTTGCAATAGGGGTTGTCCTGCGGTGAATCTATATGGGCACCAGCAATTCCCCTTGATCTGTCCTCCTGCAGGCTTGTGGCTGGGCATACGGGATGAATGTCTTCGACCTGAAGCAGTGGAAAGTCCAAGACATTACCGGTATCTACCACAGATGGCAAACACAGGTGGGCTTCAAGGTTGAAAGACCTCCGTTTCACTTCAATGCTGTTCATTCCCTGAAATCCCAATGAGGGCTGTCAAGGTGGAGCGACAAAGTCAAGCAGCTTTGATGCTTGAAGATTGTTTACTGCTTACTAACTGAATTGCTGAATCTATGTTTCAGAATGAAGATCGTACTCTATGGAAGCTTGGAACGCTACCGCCTGGTCTGATCACGTTCTACAACAAGACTCAACCAATCGACAAGGGCTGGCATGCCCTTGGACTCGGCTACAATCCAAACCTTGACATGGATGAGCTCAACAAGTAAGCCATACCGTCCACCTGTATGTGTACCTTTTGCATGTGGTGCTTACTAACATCTTTCATTTCCTATCATGCAGTGCTGCAGTGGTGCATTACAATGGCAACATGAAGCCATGGCTTGAGATTTCAATGACTAAGTTCAAGCGGTACTGGACCAAATATGTCAAGATAGACCATCCGCTTATGCAGCAATGCAATGTGAGTCCTTGACTACATGTATCCTAGTGCATTTTACTCACAGCAATGATATTCAACGTGTCTACTCTTATAGGTGTTGTACATGCACCAAGTTACTGAGCATTACATTTTCGGAGGAAGTTACACAACCGGTTGACCATACCGTAGTTCAGGAATCAGGATTCGATAGAAAACCTCCAGCATTAGGAAAAATGAAGTGCGGTACACAGCCTCTCTGCTAAAAGTACTGGGTGAGTTCTTCACCACTGAGCTCCTCCAGTTTCTTCACCAGGCTTTTTGCACTCTCGGCCACATTGGCGTCTGAATCTTCCAGCAGCTCCGCCAAGAAGGGAATAGATTCGGGCAGCAGCACCACGTACTCTTCGCGAACCCGATCCACAATCTCGTTGACAACACGCAGAGACAGCTGACGCGACCGCACCCGCTCACTCCTAGTGCACATCAGAACCTGCCACAAAACAAGAAATGCAGGCGTCCAGATAAAACGTCGACATAATCTCAAGTCGAAGGCACAACTTGCACTCCGTTCTCACAGCACAGTACCTGGTGGTTGAGCTGCTTCCAGAGGATATCAGAACCCCCTGCAATGGTCATTTCACCGAGGCATGTCACGAGCTCATCATCCACGGCGCTGATGCTTGGGACAGACACTGCAATGTAGGGCTCCAGCATTAGGTGTGCCTCTGAAAGCTGAGAAGCCGCTGAGACAGCTTCTGGAGCAGACGGAGCAGAAACAATGGAAGCCACCCCAGCTGGAGGATCTCTGTCGATTTGAGATATGAGGGGCTCCAAGAGAGCCTGAACACATCAAGGGCATTACAGCTGTTAGATAAGAGGACACACACATTCTTGAGTTCCTAACCGTGTGTTGAAATCACTGCAGGACGGCTGCATACCTGGAAGCGTGTTGCATCCAAGAAGGCAGCGTTGGAGTCATAGACGAAGCACTTGTGCAGCGCACACACCACCAGGTGCCTCAGCTGCCACTGTGCAATGCTGTCCTCTGCTGCTGCTGCCACGCTTGCTGACTTGCGCCTCTTCTTCTTCATTCCACCCTTGGCAGCATCAATTGTGCCAACAAGGTGGCGAATAGCAATGTCAAAGAGGTACTGGAAGTATGGCACGAACACCGACCTGAGAGGAGGGGTTGCAAGGAGCACAAAGCCATTCGTGTGAGGCAGAACAAGACAGAACCAGTAAGAATCTGTGTACTCATGCTTATGCACAAGCGATCTTCATCTTCTGAAGCAGCAGCAGCAAGAGCAGCAGCATGAGTACCTGAGCTTGTCAGAGAGCACGTTGACGAGACCGAAGAGAGTGAGGTGTCGCTCCACTCTGCCTGCTGGCGAAATGGCATCACCACTAGCAGCATATTCACTGGCGGCCCACTCAAGCACGCGCACAAACATGGGCTTGAACACACTCTCACTCGTCTTCATCACCAGCCCCACCATTGCCGCCACTGATGCTCCTTCCACATCAGGAGCTGTGACCATCTGTGTGCCACCTGGCAGACGCTGATTGGAGGAGCTGTCAGTGGAGGGGGGAAAGGGAGGGGCGCGGCGGACATCGAAGGTGCGGAGGAGGAGGAAGTCGAAGATGCGGGCGTGGAAGGTGGAGGCAGCAGCCCGGTCCATGTGGGAGGCGGCGCGAGCCAGCATGTGCAGCAGAGCAGCAGAGGGTGCAGGGCCTGCAGCTGTGGCCGTGGACCAGGAGGAGACCAGAGGGTCTAGAAGCAGCCGCATCTGGAGCAGGGAAAGGGCGGCAGGGGAAGGGCGGGACACAATAAGGCAAAATCAGCCCGCGATCACCATATTCCGATCTAGTGTGAAAAAGGGATGCTGGAAGTTGGACCATATCTGCAGATTGTGTGAGAACGAGGCAGTTGACAAAGAGTTGGTTGGTTCAAAAAGTGAGGGGCCTTACAGGAAGCTTCTGAATGAGCAGCTGTCGCACAGCATGGGCATGCTGCATCACCGACGTCGAGGGGCAGCAGAGAAGCACGGGACTGAGACAGGTGCAGGCGAGGATGCGAGGAGTGAAGGGAGAGAGGAGAGGACCCATGGCTGCCAGCATGGCTTCCAGAGCCTGCAGCACAGCAGCCAGCAGGTCATGTGCCACCCCCTCACTCACCACCTCTGCTCTCCCATGCCCCTCACCCTCCTCCATCTGCTCATCCGCATCCTCAGCACCCCCCTCATCTGCCCCAAATTCCTCCACCGCCCCATTTCCTGCCGCAGCAAGGGCCCGGTCAGCTGAGGCAAATAGAGGCGGCATGAGGACAGGCAGGTGGGGCAGCAGCAGATGGTGCAGTGAGGAGGCGAGGGAGGAGATGCAGCGCAATGCAGCAGCATTGAGGAGCGGTGGGGACGAGTGAGCGGAGATGATACGAATAAGAGGGGCCAGTGCCGGAGAGAAATCTTCAGAAGCCAACGACGCGAAGCGCTTGATGATGGCATCGAGTGTCTGAGGAGAGAAAGATGGGGAAACAAGTGAGAGGGGAGGGAGGAGATATAGGTTACGAGATAAGGAGGGTAAGAACGATGGCACAGTGAAGTAACCTGCACAGGATGAAGCAGGAGTGAAGTAAGGAGCTGCGCAGAAGCAAGAACCAGTGGCCCGCCTGCTGCTGCTCTATTTTTCTGACCTGCAGAGCAGCCATTTGTGTTGCCAGGGACCTGTCAGCCCCCTCGAGTGCGCCCATGTGCGCCAGCTGTCCTGCCACCGATGCATACTCCCTCGCTTCTTCTTGAGCTGCCTGCGCCAACCGCTGCTTGCTCCTACCCTTGCCCCGGCCATGCGGCATGAGGGTGTGGGGTGCGGAGGCCCGCACTCGGGCGGCAAGCAGCCGAAGAACCTGCGAAAAGAAGAGGGGAGCAGTAAGGCGGGTGTGGAAATGCCAAAGAAATGCATTGTCCATGTGGTGTATAACAGTATATGTAGTTTGGTTTGGCCCAACATGTGCGACACACTATCAGCAGTACCTTTCGTCGAATATGAGTGCTGGGGTTGGTCAGTAGCGTCTGCACCGCTTGCAGGAACACACCACTAGGAGTGACGTCATCCAGAGTCTGCAGCAGCTCATACGCTGCTGAAGCCACCAAGTCCGCCCTGTCCTTGAGGGCAGGAGGATAAGATGCGGTGGTGAGGGGGGGGGACACAGCAGCACTGGCAGCAGCAGCGGCAGCAGTGGCACGGAGGCGAAGAACCACATGCTCTAGGAGAGACACAAAGAGCTGTCGGTGCTGGGTGTCAACCATTGCAGCGTCACCCTCATTGTTGAGCCCTCCCTCCCCACCCTCTGCTGGATCTGCACTTCCCTCCATCCCCAGCTCCTCCTCCATAGCTGCCACTGCAGCCGGCAACTCAGCACCCACGAAGCTCACCACAACCACATCGTCATTCGGACCCGTCCCACTCCACCAATCACACGCCTCATCTGCTGCCGCACTCGCCTTCCGTCGCGCTATGATTGGAGGGCACGTGGCTTCCAAGAGTTTCACATACGCCTCCAGTCGGATGCTTCCTGGAACCTGCGAACAGAGCTCAAATGCCAGGCTGAGCCCCCACTCGCCTTGCTTCTCATCGCCTGTGCTGTCCCCCCGCCGCCTCCAGTATGCGTGCTGCTGCAGCGCTGCCTGCCTGCGCGCCCGCGCAGAGCGAGGGGTATCTTTGGAATTGTCGGCACGTGCTGTGAGAAGGGAGGGTGTGACGCCTGTGGTGGTTAGCAGTAGCAGCAGAAGCGGAGCTAGGCCCAACGATGGAGAGACACCTCTGTGGTGGCAAGAGGGAGGGAGAGCGTGGGGTGTTGGGAAGTACCAAGAAGACACAGGATTTACAAGGAAAAGAGGAGCAGGAGAGCTGTTCAAGAAAAAGGACTCAGCAAGAGGACGAATGGGGGAGGAAAAGCATTGAACAAGGAAAAGGAAGCGAAGAGATGAAGGCACCTGAGGAGAGCTGTGAGGAGGGCGATGGGGTGGTGATGAAGCATGGAGGGCAGGGATGACACGACCATCTGGAGGGGCACAGAGAGGGGTGGTGTGGGGTGGGGGAGAAACGAGGGTGAAGGGAGGGTTTCCACAATAGGCCCAAGCTGGTGGAGTGATGACAGAGTGAAGGTTCTTCGAATTGTCTAGGCAACTGATATTAGTGGAACTCGAAGCAGCGACGGCAACTGATATCACTAAAAGGTACCATAGGCAGGGAAGTGACATCTGTGCTCACGTAAAGCAGGAAGTGACATCTGCAATCACCTGAAGCAGGGGAGTGGCATCTGAACTCTTCTTAAGCGGGAAAGCGGGATCAGCATTTACCTGAAGCAGGGGAGTGACATCTTGGTTGTGGTGCAGCCATGCAGGAAGCACTGCCTCCACGAGTCGGTGGATGGCGTCGTGTGACTCCCGAATGTCCTGATGGGGATGGGAAACGCGAGATGGGCCCAAAGTGGAGACACAGACACATCCGCTCAGCCACCGGAGCAACCACACAGAGAAAGAGCGAAAACGAAGAGGAGTGCCACAAAAAGGGGAACAAAAGGCAGCAAGGCCAGAAGCAAAGAGGAAGGAGTGCTGATGGGAACAAGGAGGAGCGAGCGAGTGAAGGTGCAGGGGAGGAACACACGAGGGCGAGGGTGGTAGTGGTGGCAACAGAGAGCACTGCCACCACGTGCTCCACCACCTCCTCTGGCTGCCTTTCTGCAGCAGCTGCCAGCACTGCTATGGCTGCACTCGCAGTGGCAGGATCCCTCCGCCCCTTCACCACCTCCACTGCCGCCCCCACCATGTGCACCACACACTCCTCCTCCCCATGCTCCATGCCCTCTTCATCCTCCTCCCCCTCACTCTCCATTGCCTCGTCCTGTCCCTCCTGCATGTGTGTGTGTGAGGAGAGGGCGTTGCGCGCCACCGTCAGCACCAGCTGCAGCACGAATTCAACGGCTCCTAGCATCTGGGCGCTCATTGCAACCTCACTCCCAGCCACATCGCCCTCTCCATCCTCTGCCTGCTGCCCACCCTGCTCTCCCCCCTCTTCCTCTGCATCATTGGAGTTGGGTGCTGGTAGCATCGGCCAGCGGTGGGAGAGAACAGAGCTAATGGTCGTGGCCAGCGACGGGAATAGTTGGATGCTGGGGAATGGGCACAGCGCAAAGGGCATGGGGCAGGGGAGGAGGGAACAATAAACATAGAGTTTTATGATGATTGGATCATGGTGGGATGGAGGGCATAATGTGCGACATTGCAGGGCTACTTGCAACTGTGGTGTGACGTCATAAACTCAGTTCTTCTGTGCAGTGACGTCACCAACTCACGTCTGCTGTGCTGTGACGTCCTCCTTCCACAGCAGCATCTCCAGCAGACCAGTTGCGGCAGCCACACGTCGTTCCACGGGCAGCGAGTCAGACAGTGGCACATAGGCACCTATGTCTGGCGTGTTGGAGCTGGTCGCCTGAGGGGCGCCGTGAGACACCGATGGTGGAGAGAAGAGGGCCGTGACGAGGCGCGCAAGCATGGTTGGGCTCAGCTGAGAGGGGGGACGGAGAGGAGAGGGAAGGAGGGGGAAATATCGGCGTGATAGAGTGAGCTTGAATCAGGGATCAATAATAAAAGCAGTTGGAGGGAGGGAATGAACCGCATGGAGAAACAGGGCCGCATCCACCTCATATTAAAAACCCAGTGGCAGGTGCATGTTGTGCATGGGCCTGTATGTGTGACATGAGCCCTCAGCAGCAGCACACCTTGAGGCGCCGGAGTGCCTCCTTGGCTGCCTGGCGCGCTGCAGGCGAGGCCTCAGATGCTGCCATGAGGAAGAGCAGACTCGCCACGAGCCCATCCTGAGGAGGACGAGGTGAAGCGGCAGAGGTTGGAGGGAGGGAGTGCAGCACAGAACGGAGACGAGTGGTTGATAATGTTGTTGCTCAAAGAGTTAAGGAGAAAAAACGGATGACGGAACAATGGCAAGCCCGGCTCACCTGGTAGGTGTCTGGCAGTGCCTCCAAGAAGTCATCTGTGACCACACCTGCTGCCGTGATGGATGGGGCCTCCACTGCCACGTCATCAGCTGACATGGCACCCTGAACCTGGAGGAGAAGAGAGTGGGAGCAGCAGAAGTGAGCATGTCGGCAGCACATGCTGGTTCCCTGCACCCACATTGCCAGCCTGCATTGCCTTTCCACCCTGCACCCACATTGTCAGCCTTCATCACCAGATCTGAACCTCACCTGCACATTTACACCTTCCCCATCTCCATTGTCCCCTGCACAGCCACACACCTGCTATACCGTACCTGCATTGCCATGAGCAGCAGAGGTGCAACGTCAACAGCGGCAACTCCTTTCCCTGCTGTGTGCTGCGCTTTCTCCTTCCCATGTTTCGCACTCTCCTCTCCTTCACCTCCCTCCTCCCTCATCTCCTCGTCCACATCTGCTTCTGCCAGAACCCCTTCCTGCCCACCTCCTGATGCGGCCGCAGCTACAAGCTGCAAGGTGCAGTGGGAGAGAATACGTTTCGCGCTAGGGAAGCTGAGAATAAACAAGCACATGCCAGCAGCCTCATGGAGACCCAAGCCCGAAACCCACAAGGTGCAACGCTGAGGCAGGGACGTGCTTATGCAAGGCGAGCATGATACATTGCAAACCCCATTGCGAATGCTAGACATAAGAACCCAGGTCAAGGGCATTTGATTCACAGGCGTACCTGCAAGCCCACAGCCAGCAGGTGCACCTCATCCAGTTCCAGCCTTCCCCCCAGCCGTGCTGCTGCGTCCACTGATGCTGGCTTGTGTGGCAGTGGCGGCCCAGCAGCACCTTGCGCCTGCTGCAGGTGGTAATGCAGGCGGCGAGAGAGCAGCTCGTGCAGGCGAGGCAGCAGTAGGCCCAGCGGGAGGAGAGCGGTGGCTGCTGGAATTGCTGCGAGCATGTGGAGAGCCAGGGCCTGCAAGACGTCAAGTGAGGGGTGGGGCAACAGCAAGATCAGTTTAATGCCACGTGCCGGAAACATGGTCACCAATTAAAGGACGGGTGGGTGAGAAACGGAGAAATAGTACCAACGCCAGAAAAATGTTGAACGTGTTTGTGATGGTTGCGGTGGTGTGTCCAAGAGGCAGTTGTGATACCTGAGGCCATGGAGGAAGGCTGATGGCAGCATTGAAGAGAGCTGAGAGCAGGACGGTACGGTCAGAGGGAGTCAAGCTGCGATAGCAGACAGACAAACATGCGGAAGAAAACAGATCTTGAAGCTAGCCGAGCCTAAAAAAGCGCTGCCACACCTGGATGGGAAGCAGACGAGACGCAGCACAACTGGACATGAATGGCACATGGAAGCAACATGCCATGAAAAGAGACAAAGCCGTTTACCTGGAACCAGTGGACGCAGCACATGAGGGGTCCAGCAGACGAATGAGCAGAGCAGCAGCTTGGCAGGGTTTGGAAGGGATGGTGGTAGAGGATGCAGCACGTGTGAAGGCGGGCAGGGAGAGGGCAACAGTGGAGGAGGAGGAGGAGGAGGAGAGGGCAAGCGGTAGGGAGGGGTCCGAGAGGAGAGCATCCTTGGAGGATGAGAAAGTGTATGCAAGGAGCGAAAGAGAGGAGGGAGAGGGCAGGGTGGACGAGGAACTGGGGAGAGTGGCGGTCGCCTGCGTTAGGGTCGCGAATGCGTGGAGAGCTGCCTTGCGAACGGGCTGAAACGCACAACAGCAAAGAAGGAATCTTAAATGGGGCGCGGATGCGTCTGTGATGCCATGGCTTGTGAATAGCCGCTTACAATCATGAGGAAATGCGAGGAGCACAACAGCCACAGATTAAGTAAAAAGCAACAATAGTGGAGCTTGAGCTCCCACGCCCCACGCCTTCAGTCTCACCTTGTGAGGGCTCTGCACCGCCACCATAAGGCGCAACAGCGCTCCCAGAAGCACATGTGGCAGCTCCTCATTGGCCTTGGCGTCCCCTGGCACTGCAGCAGCAGCTACAGCAGGGAGGAGGGAGAGCGCTGCTAGTTGGAGGGAGGGTGAGTGAGACACGCGCGAGGGTGAGGGCAGGAGGAAGGGGTCCAAAAAGGTGAGGAGGGAGGCTCGAGTGGTGAAGCGTGCCAGCAGCAGCTGCAGCAGAGAAGCTATGCCTTGCTGCCCCGTGCTGCCCTCTTCCCCTCCTGCCGTTTCCCCTGCACGTAGACCCATGTCCCTCACAGCCTCCAACATGGCCTCTTGATATTCCACTCGTCGGCCTCCCTCACCATCGCTCTTTCCCCCCTGCGTCTTTGCCCTCCCTTGCACTGCTCCGGCAATGCGTGCTGCAGCCAGAGCAGCTGCCTTGGGACTTGCTGTGCCCATCAACAGCTCAAACACGCGCCCTGCCACAACACCTTGCTGCTTACGTGGTCCTGACACACTATCACTTATCCGGGTGGCTCCTGGAAGCTTCCTCAAAAGGGATGAGAGGCATGAGACGGTAAGGTCGGCTGAAAGGCTGAGGGAGTCGATGGAGGAGGCGGGGAGTGTGGAGAGCAGTGTGAAGATCTTGGCCTGCACGTCCGGAGCTGCTGAGAATGCGGCCTGCAGGCAGGAGAGAAGGAGAAATTAGAAGAGTGTTCTTCAATCCAGGCAAGAAAGCAGGAAAAGGCAACGAGGGGAAGTGAATGGCCAGACACATGAAAAGGCCAAGGCAGCACCTGAGCGAGAGAGGAGAGCAGGGCATCCAGGTGGACAGAGGCAGCACCCTTGCGTCGCTTCTCCCCCTCCCCTCCACTCCCATGCACTGCCTGCGCCACCACTGCCTTCCACGCATCCTGCACCAGCCCCACCGCCTCCTCCGCAAATTCCATAACTCCTCCTTCCTTCGCCTCTTGGAGCTCCGTGCTCCCTGCCACAGCAACATTTTCACGTGATTGCAGTGCTGATTCCAGCGAGGCTGACGTGGCAGGGAGGCTGTGTGCTGCTCCAAGAAGTGCAAGCAGCAACAGCTGTCGCCCAGCAGGAGAGGATGAAGCAAAAGCAGAGCGGCTGAAGCGAATGGCAGTGCGCCACATGTCTTTTGAGGCAGATCGTTGTGCGGAGCAGAGGGAAGGTGGTGTGATGGCAACAGCAAGGGCGAAGGTTACGAGAGAGAGGGCATCGGAGGCGGAGAAAGAGGGCAAGGAGAGGGAAGCGAGTGAAGGGGAGGGGAGGTGGAGGAAGAGGGGGAAGTGAGGCGCGAGCTGCTGTGCCATGAGAAGAGCCTCGTGCAGCATCTGGGGGTTGGCGAGGGGACTGGAAGGACAGTAGGGCTGCACAGAGGGGTGGGGTGGGGATGACAGGGAGGGGGAGGGAATGGGCGAGAGGGTGTCAGCTTGGAAGGCGTTCCGTACAGAAGCAGAGAACATGAGTTGCATGGCAGGGGGACAGAGAGCGGAGTTGTGGCAGGGGAAGGGGATTGTCACCTGAGAGGGCATGAGAGCAGACAGCAGCACATGTGGCATCACCTCCTCCGCCACCCCCTGCACCAAACCTCCCGCTCCCCATTCCTCCTTCTCCTCGCTCCCCTGCCCCTGGCCTTCCCCCGGATGTGTTTTGAGCGCTGGCCCCATGACAGCCGTGCGCACGAGGTGAAGGGCCGTGCTCTGACACTCTGTGAATGGGGGCATGGCGCACACAGGGGCACATGGGATGGGTGGGGCCATGTGGGGCACATGCGGGCAGATGGGGACAAGTGAGGCCATGTGTGTTATGCGGCAGTGGGCTGGACTTTGGAACGTAGAGTGAGTAATAGCAGTGCGGCAGGCAGCCATACATGGGCAAACAAGCTGATAGAGCAGCAACCCCTTACCCTTGATGTGAGCAGGCAGAGGCTCGGAGGCAGGCGGCAGGGGGCGGAGGAGAATGGCTTTGAGAGGTGCGAAGAGGAGAGATGCAGAAAGGGCACGTGGGAGGAGCGGAGAGGTGACAGCAGCGTGCAGCACTTCCCAGCTGTCGTCTGCCAGTCGACGCTGCAGCGCAGATGACACAAATGACTGCACCTGAGAGGGGACAGAGACAGGAAGGGAGGAGGCCAGTGCACAGAAGCGGTGTAAGTGAATGATGGATGGTGAAAGCATCTGAACAGGGGAGAGCGACGCGTGTGGAAGACATCAGATGGATACGATTGCCAAAACAACTCCCCAACCACCACATAATCAACCCCATCTGCTCACACCTTTCCTCACACGCCCACTGCGTTCCCTGGACCCAGCGGCACCCACCTCGCCTTGAGCCGCCTCGTCCGTGTCCGTGTGCTTCCCTGCTGCCGCCATGAGCGCTGGCAGCTGCTCCACTGCTGCCTTCCGCACTTGCCACTGCCACACGCACCCACGACGGGCAGGCGCCACATGGGAGGAGGGAAGACAAGGAGATAAAAGTGCATAGTGATGAAAGACGAGGAGATGAGAGAAAGAGTGAAGGTTTGAGTGCCTCATGTGTCACTTGTGTCACTTGCACATGGTCAACTGCACTCACTTGCGCATGATCAATTGCCAAATGAACTGACAACAGCTGCTGCTGCTGCTGCTGCTGCTGCTGCTTCTGTTGCTGTTGTTGCTGCTGCACGCCTGTCCCCGTGGCAGCAGGAGGGGCATCGACTTGCTGCAGCGCACAGGGGCTGGCAGAGAGGGCCGTACCCAGGAAGGACACGAGCGTGGCGCGCTCGGCAGGAGCGGATGCGAGTGACTGGATGGGGAGGGGGTGGAGAGCATATGGAAGGCGAGGCAGTGAAGGCGAGAATTAAAAGGTAGAGCAGGGGGCAAGGGACAGAGATGCATTGAAGAGAAAGAAATGAGGCAAATGAGTGGGGAAAGAGAGGATGAAAGATGGAGGGGAATGAAGGCATGACCTGAAAGTTGAATTCGATAACTACAACGATTCAAGTGACTCAAAATCTGCACAGCAGCCTGCGGCCTGCCCACCTCAAAGACTGCAGCCACCTACCTCTAAGACTGCAGCGATGGCAGCATCAGTCGGTGAGGTGAACTTGAGAGAGAGGGCCAGCAGTAGCGGCTGGATGCGAGGTTCTGCCAGGGGTTTAAGTTCGAGGAGTGCAGAGGCAGAACAGGATGAATGGCAATTGGAAAATTGGAAAGAATGAGTGTGTGTGGCGGGGGTGGGGGGGGGAAAGGGGGACTTGAGTGATGGGGGGAGACGGATGTTTGGTTGGTACAAGGGTATGCACGGAAGTCAGAGCAGAGGGCTGCAGAATGGCAGAAGGTGAACAGGAGCAGCTGGGTTGGAGGTGTGTGACTGACGCAGGGAGGAGAGCACCACAGGTGCCCCCTGTGGCAGGCCCTTGCCGACGGCAAAGCGCAGCAGGGAGAGGGCGAGGCGAGGCACGAGAGGGGAGAGTGCTGCACGCGGCAGCTGGCGCAGCATGGCCAGCAGCACATCCGCCGCCGCCTGCGATGTTGCACTGTGGCGTTCAGGGGACACCAGGGAGGGAAGGGATGGGAGATACGCACGTGAGGGACGAGATGGCAGCATAGATCATCACTGGCATGGATACATCACTGGCATGCATACATCACTGGCATGGATACATCACTGGCATGCATACATCACTGGCATGGATACATCACTGGCATGCATACATCACTGGCATGGATACATCACTGGCATGGATACATCACTGGCACGCATACATCACTGGCACGCATACATCACTGGCATGGATACATCACTGGCACGCATACATCACTGGCACGCATACATAACTGGCATGCATACATCACTGGCACGCATACATCACTGGCACGCATACGTCACTGGCATGCATACATCACTGGCATGCATACATCACTGGCATGCATACATCACTGGCATGCATACATCACTGGCATGCATACATCACTGGCATGCATACATCACTGGCATGCATACATCACTGGCATGCATACATCACTGGCATGCATACATCACTGGCATGCATACATCACTGGCATGCGTACATCACTGGCATGCATACATCACTGGCATGCGTACATCACTGGCATGCGTACATCACTGGCATGCGTACATCACTGGCATGCGTACATCACTGGCATGCGTACATCTTGGGCAGCAGTGTGTCAGCCAGCAGGTTGAGAATCTTGGCCGTGTTGAACTTGTGTGCCGCCGTGCTCAGCACATCCACAAAGTGCCTGCAGCGTACCCATGGGCGTTGAGGAGGCACAGCGAGGGAGAGCGGCTTCTGAGGAAAGGAAGGATGAAGAGCACTTGACCGGAGCATAGTGGGCCACAGCACGGGCCAAGGGGTGCAGGCAGGGGTGGAGTTGGCACAGCACATGATATGGGGGAGTACAGGAAGCGGCCACTATAAGAAAAGCGGGGGAACCAATCCGTTCGAACCCATGCAAACCCATCCCATTTGAACCAACCTGTCCTATCTGATTCATGCACTGCAATGATGACCCCATCCTCATCCCTCCTTCCCATGCCTGGCACAAAATTTTATGTCATCAAATGCCATTCCACGCACGGCATGACACTCGCGCCATTGGATTGGACGTACTTGTCTGCAAGAATGTTGGTGACTGCCCTGGATGGGAGAGACAGGATTCGTTGCGTCTGTCAGAGACACACGGAAGAACAGAGGACGAGACAGCAGACGGAGCAGTTTGCACGTTAGGCTACACGAATGAGGTTGTTGAATAAGTCGAGCAGACTGAGACAAGAGCCCCGATGGGATGAGGGGCACAGGAGAGGGGATGGGAGAGAAGATGAGCGAGGGCACTGACCGCAGAGAGGTGCACGACCACGAGGAAGGCGTCCATGGAGATGGCGGTCGGTGGTGCTCTCATGCCGCGCGCAGTGGGGGCAGCACAGGCAGCGGCAGCGGTGGGGGAGAGGAGGGCGACGAGGAGGGAGTTGACGACCTGCGTGGAGAGCTGCGAGCGGTTGGCCAGCTGCGACACCAGCATCATGGCCGCCAGCTGATGGGGGGGGGACAGGTGGGTGGGCAGCGGGGTAGGAAGTCATACGGAGGAGAGGAATGGACTGAATAGCTGCCACACCATGCATTTTATGCTGAGCTGAGCTGGCGCACGAGACTTGGCATTCTGGGTTGAGAGCAGCATGGCATGGTGGGGAGAGGAGGTGCACAGTGAGGGGGGACAGAGGCAGCAGGAATACCCTGTGCTCATGCACGGCGGAGGGCTGAAGGCCGTTGAGGATGAAGGGCAGCAGGTGGGAGAGTGCGTCCACGGACACGCGCATGGCAGCCAGCGCCTCCAGCAGCAGCACGCTCGTGAAGGTCAGCAGCCGCATGGCGGGCGCTGCAGGCGCCGTGGGGGGAGACGCGGATGCAGGGCTGTCCCGGACCACACAGGTAGCCGCCTTCTCCGCCTGACGGGGGCGAGTGAATGGCGCACAAGGGAGGGAGCAGGCTTGAGTACAAGGAACGATGATTGGCTTTGCGATGAAGAAGGTGAGTGTGATAGGGTGATTATGTTATGAGGAGCAGAGTGTGAGGGGAAAACGAGAGGGTCGAGCGTCACGGAGTGAAAGCAACAGCAAGCACATGGGGCATGACACATGGCATGGGAGGAGTCATATTGCATGGCACATGGCATGGAGGGAGTCATACCGCATGGCACATGGCATGGAGGGAGGCATACCGCATGGCACATGGCATGGAAGAAGGAGTCATCCTTGACGCATCTCTGCACGAGCTGCGCCCTCGGGATTGCCGCGCCATTGGCCTTGCAGCCGTGCAGCACTGGCGCCCACTTGGAATGCCTGCCGCAGCGGAAGGAAGGGGGCAGACGTTGTGAAGGTGTGGGGGGCGGCAGCTGTTTCTGGCTGCTGTCATGTCCATGCATGTGCACAGCGAACGAGCATAGCGAGCCAATCATCTGTAGGCCTGCCATTCCGGACGGCATTGGCTGCATGGGCCTGGTCAGTGGATTCGTGGAGCACGAGAGCAGCGGGCGTGATGCGGCTTACTTGAGGGGTAGCAGCGGGCGTGATGCGGCTTACTTGAGGGAGAGCAGCGGGCGTGATGCGGCTTACTTGAGGGAGAGCAGCGGGTGTGATGCGGCTTACTTGAGGGAGAGCAGCGGGTGTGATGCGGCTTACTTGAGGGAGAGCAGCGGGTGTGATGCGGCTTACTTGAGGGAGAGCAGCGGGTGTGATGCGGCTTACTTGAGGGAGAGCAGCGGGTGTGATGCGGCTTACTTGAGGGAGAGCAGCGGGTGTGATGCGGCTTACTTGAGGGAGAGCAGCGGGTGTGATGCGGCTTACTTGAGGGATGAAGGAATATATTAGAGAGCGTAGCGATAGCGAGAGAGTCTCTGCTATGGGAATGATGTTGCGCCAGCAACTTGGTAGAGTTTTGGTAGCGTTTGCCTCTAAGGACTTTGTGAGAATTGAAGTAGCATTTGGGCCAAGTAGAATTGCAATATCAATTATCAAACACACAAGCAAACACAAACATATATAGGCAAGCAAGAGTTGCACAATTGTTGCGTGGCGCTGCGAGTAACCCAACCCACACGAAAGTGCTGTGCAGGTGGGTGAACGCGCCCCGCACATTTCCAACCCAACTCGACACCGGAATGTCTTACCGTGCACGCTACTCCTGCCAACACAGCAAGTGAGCAGCGTGCCTCACAAGCAAGGCACCTACGACCCCCAAGACTCGTCATTCCTAGCACCGATTCCGCCGAGTTCGCTGCAGTAGCTCACAGTCACCCGTAGTCACTAATGACCGCCACCGAACTCGTGCGTCGGTGCTGAGTAGACTCAGTCGTTAGGCGCCGACCTGCCAAGTCAAAGGTCATCGAGGGCCCTTGCTGTCGTAGGGCCCTCTAACACTCCCCTGCCATACTACAACAAGGCCCTTTATAATCACAGGGCATGCATACACACATACACACCAAAACAAAGGGATACACACAAACGAAAAACGCTCAAAGTGTAAACACGCACCGCACCAGCCATGGATAGGCCATGGCACCATCCACATCATGGAGTGTCTAGGTCTTCACTCCCCTCACTCGAGAGCCGCACCTGCCCCACAGCCTCGAAGCAACGACTGAAGGCGGGGAAATGCAATGCCTTTGTGAGGTAGTCAGCAGGGTGGAAGACGAAGAGGAGGGTGGAGCAGGTGTAGGAGGGATGGAGGGTGGAAGGGGAGAGGGGATAATAGGAGGAGGAGCAGATTGGGGACCAGCAGATGGTGGACCAGCAGCCAGGGGAGCAGCAGACAGGGGAGCCGCAGACGGGGGAGCAGGAGATGTGGGGAATTAGAGATGGTGGTCGTGTGTTGGTTTCTGGGACGACCACTGCACCACTGCGTCGCTCCACTCGTATCACTCGTGGTGTCCCGCCTGTTCGATACGCTTGGGCTGTAGTGGTTGAGCCAGCGGGCTTGGATGACGAGGAGGAGGACGAGGAGTGGACTGACCTGGACCCGGACGTGGCAGCTGACCCTGAGAGGCAGTGGGACATAGCGAAAATGACAGTGAAGGAGGCCTTGGGCTGCTGGAAGGGAGACAAGGTGAAAGAGGCGATGGATGAGGAGATGCGGAGCTTGATTGAGCAGGGGACGTGGGAGTTGATTCCGCGTCCGCCAGGGGTGAATGTGATGAAGAACCGCTGGATTTTGAACACCAAGTTCCGACCAGATGGGATAGTGGAGCGTGAGAAGGCGAGGCTGGTGGTGAAGGGGTTCACGCAGGTGGCAGGGGTGGACTATGAGGAGACGTACGCCCCTGTGGGAAGCTATGTGACGGCGCGTGTGCTTCTGGCGATTGCAGCTTGATTTGGACCTGATGCAGCTGGATGTGAAAAACGCGTTCCTCCATGGCGTGCTAGACCGAGACCTTTACATGGAGCAGCCGAGCTACTACGAGGATGGGACTCCTTGTGTATGTAAGTTGGTGAAGAGCCTGTATGGGCTCAAGCAGAGCCCGATGTTGTGGTATGAGGCCTTGGATGGGGTGCTGCTTGGGGCTGGATGGAAGAAGAGCCAAGTGGATGAGGCTCTGTACTTCAAGAGTGATGCTGAGGGGGAGATGTGCTGGCCGCTGGTGTATGTGGATGACTTGCTTGCTGCCAGCCGCAGTCAGAGCATGCTGGGGGAGCTGCGTGACCTGCTGCAGGGTGCGTTTCAGCTGCGGGAGATTAGCCCAGTGGAGAAGTATCTGGGGTTGCAGCTGATTCGGGACAGGCCTACGAGGAGGCTGTGGCTGCACCAGGGGGCCTATGTGGACAAGGTCCATAGGCGCTTCTTTGACGGGGAGCAGCCGCTGCGAGTGCCTCGCACCCCTCTTTCCTCTGACCCTTTCAGTGTGCAGACCTTCGAGGATGTGGGATGGCAGTCTCGCCAGGAGGAGGAGTACAGGCAGAAGGTGGGATCCTTGCAGTTCGCGGCCTGTACCACCCGTCCCGACATCTCGTTCGCCTGCAGCAAGCTGGGGTCGGGCCAGACTGTGCGGAGTGATCAGCACTGGAAGGAGTTGGACCGGTGCTTGACGTACTTGGTGGGGAGCAGGGATGTGGCGCTGGAGTTTGGTGGGGGGCCGGAGTCCTTGGAGCTGGTGGGCTACGCCGATGCTGATGATGCAGGGGACAAGCAGAACAGGACCAGCACAGGTGGCTATGTCTTCGTGCTCGGGGGTGCTGCTGTCTCATGGGCGAGCCAGCGGATTCGTTGCGCCACCCTTTCCTCCACTGAGTCTGAGTACGTTGCTGCTGTGGAGGCTGGGAAGGAGGTGCGCAGGCTGCGCTTCCTGCTGGCAGAGTTTCAACTGCTGAGGAGTGAGGAGCCCACGACTCTCTTTGTGGACAACTCCTCCGCCATTTCAGTGGCAGGTGGCATGGGGCTCAAGGGGAGCCTCAAGCACATGGAGCGTCGTCACATGTGGCTGCAGCACATGGTCAAGCGCAGGAAGCTGCAGCTGCAGTACATCCCTACGAGCGAGCAGCCTGCTGACTACCTCACAAAGGCATTGCATTTCCCCGCCTTCAGTCGTTGCTTCGAGGCTGTGGGGCAGGTGCGGCTCTCGAGTGAGGGGAGTGAAGACCTAGACACTCCATGATGTGGATGGTGCCATGGCCTATCCATGGCTGGTGCGGTGCGTGTTTACACTTTGAGCGTGTTTCGTTTGTGTGTATCCCTTTGTTTTGGTGTGTATGTGTGTATGCATGCCCTGTGATTATAAAGGGCCTTGCTGTAGTATGGCAGGGGAGTGTTAGAGGGCCCTACGACAGCAAGGGCCCTCGATGACCTTTGACTTGGCAGGTCGGCGCCTAACGACTGAGTCTACTCGGCACCGACGCACGAGTTCGGTGGCGGTCATTAGTGACTACGGGTGACTGTGAGCTACTGCAGCGAACTCGGCGTAATCGGTGCTAGGAATGACGAGTCTTGGGGGTCGTAGGTGCCTTGCTTGTGAGGCACGCTGCTCACTTGCTGTGTTGGCAGGAGTAGCGTGCACGGTGAGACATTCCGGTGCCGAGTTGGGTTGGAAATGTGCGGGGCGCGTTCACCCACCTGCACAGCACTTTCGTGTGGGTTGCTTGCCTATATATGTTTGTGTTTGCTTGTGTGTTTGATAATTGATATTGCAATTCTACTTGGCCCAAATGCTACTTCAATTCTCACAAAGTCCTTAGAGGCAAACGCTACCAAAACTCTACCAAGTTGCTGGCGCAACATCATTCCCATAGCAGAGACTCTCTCGCTATCGCTACGCTCTCTAATATATTCCTTCATGGTGCGGTGAGCGTGGAACGAACACGCATAGATTTCCGTCGACGTTCGTTAGTATACTCGCCTTGGCGTGCGGCGTTAGTGAAGGGCGCTCATTAATTTAAGTTGAACCTCTCTTAATTTCCCTCCAGTTACGTTCTCGGACCCAAGGATAGGGCGCTTGGTAATTTATTACCATTCGTCTGAGGACCCTTGTGAGGTGACCCCGAGATGAGGGATTCAAGGAAGGGACAATTTATTTTAATTTGTGGTACCTTGTAGAGACGTCGTAGAGGATGAGTACGGAGGAGACGAACGTGGAGGCCGGTAGTCTTCGCGCACTAGAGGAGGATCTCGAGGCCCGTCATTCTCGTGGTGAGCTTAGTGATCTAGAATACGAGCTCATGATGGAGGGATTACGCTCTCGTCAGCGTCGCGACCATCCCTCGCCACGTGTAGAGAACGTTGAGCAAGCTGCGGGAGGTACTAGTGCGTGGGATATGCTTGGCGATGGCGGAAATAGCGATGACGAGGAGCTTGATGGGTTGATGTCGCGTGGGGTCCTGCGAGGACCAACTCGGTTTAGTACGGCTAGCGTCGGCGGTGTACAGGAGCGTGTTCATCGTGCAGCAGCGTCACGAGAGCATGCGAATGTAGGACGGCGGAGCGTTGCTGGAGGAGGAATTGCGGAAGAGTTCGATAGTGAGGCTATGCCGGGCGTTACCCCGATTGGATCGATGTCGAGGGACGAGGGAATAGCCCCCAACTATGGCTACTTCAGATTCACTCCAGACAAGATCGTCGTCACTAGGCCGTTAGAAGGACGTCACGACCTGTCGACGTGGACAGAATCAATCGAGCCGCAGCTTGAGATCGCTCAGCTAAAGCGATTCATAGATGGCACCACTCCCATTCCACCAGCGCGTGCACTTGCACATCTCTCTCAGTTCCGCGCGATGCAGTTGCTAACGTTCACCACCATTTCCCGATGCTGCTCCCCAACCGTACAGATCGCCCTTAAGGCGTGCCGCTTCAAGGTAGATGCCGGCTTTCAGGCATGGCAGTTTATCATGCGCACGTATATGGCGAAGGACGACCTGTACATAGGTCAGCTAGAGCAGGCGCTCACTAACCTCGAGATGGGAGAGCATGAGTCCGCTACGTCCTATTGCAACCGTGCGCAGCAGATCCTAGTGAACCTGAGGATGGCCGGCGTAGATTACTCGCAGGCGTCGTACATTACTCACGTTGTGAAGGGGTTGCCGCAGCAGTACAACCTCTTACGCAGGATGCTGAAGTTGCCGCAGGTGCGCAAGGAGTTGGACGAGGACACCCTCGCTAGCTACATTATCGAGGAGGAATGTACGCTGGCGGCGGAGGGACGAAAGGACCAATTCCTTCCCCAGGCTAACCAGGTCTTTACCAAGAAGGGTAAGCCCCAATTCCAGCAGACTTCATTCCCTTCCCCTCCCACTACGGCACAGCAGCAGCAGCCTAAGACTGGGGGTGGGGTTGGTGGGGGAGGGGAGAAGTGGAAAGGGGGTAAGGATGGCCAGCCGAAGGGGGGGAAAGGGGGCTTCAAGAGGAAGTGCTATGTGTGTGGACAGACAGGGCATGTTGCTAAGTACTGTCAGCAGGGGGCGGATAAGGAGGCAGACACTAGTGGAGAGGGTTCTGGAGGTAGCAGCGGAAAGGGGGGTGATGGCTCTAAGGGGAGCGGGCAGTCATCATGTGCGATGGTGAAGCCCGTTGTGGAGCAGACTCCTCTCGTTGTGCTAGAGCCTGAGGCCGGGGAGGGCTTACAGGCTGTTGCAGCTGCTGTGAAGGCGAACCCGAGCGTCGTGCTGCTTGATAGCGGATGCTCCCACCATCTCATGGGAGATCGTTCTGCCTTTGTGGAGATGAGCAGCGGCGGCAGTATTAAACAGGTTACCGGTTTCAACGGCGCTCTTCAGGAGGTGCAGGGGCGGGGCACAGTCGCTCTTCTTGGAGAGGGGGGCAGGCGTGTCTTGGTGCCGGACGTGCTGTACGTACCAGGAGTGCAGGCGAGTCTTCTCTCTGTTGGGCAGCTGTGTGATAGTGGTGTGCAGCTGCTGGATGCCGGGGATGTGACTTTGCTGCGGGCACCAGATGGATCGCTCCTTGGTCGTGCGGAGTTCAAGGAGCGTGTTCTCTGCACGAACTTCCAGCCGTGTTCGATGCAGCAGCAGGAAGGCGAAACGGTGGCACTTCGTACCTTGGCGACGGGCGTGCGGTCTAAGGGGGACCTGTGGCATGCGCGTATGGCACACGTTGGTATTGATGCCATCGAGCGCACAGCGGCTCACGGGTCAGTGAAGGGCTTGGATTTGGAGAAGGGGGGCAAGTCAGGCATACCTTGTGTCTCCTGTGTTGGGGGAAAGATCACTCGTCATACCTTTCCTTCTGTGGGAGAGGAGGAGGATGAGTTGCTCGGGGTGGTGCATGCTGACCTGTGTGGCCCTTTCCGTGAAGCAACTAAGGACGGCAGCCGCTACTTCTTGGTGCTGAAGGATCGCAAGACGCGATATGTCTGGGCCTACCCTTTGGCCCAGAAGAGTGATGCGCTGGCGGCGTTCCAGAAGTGGCTCCCGATGGCAGAGCGACAGTGCAAGACCACGGTGCAGGCGCTGCGCACTGATCGGGGTGGCGAGTTCCTGGGGCACGACTTCACGCTCTTCCTCGACGAGAAGGGGATCATCCACGACCTTACGTGCCCGTATACGCCGGAGCAGAACGGAATGGCCGAGAGGGAGATGCGCAGCATTGTGGAGGCGGTGCGGACGATGTTGCTGCATATGGGTGTGCAGCATCACTGGTGGCACCTGGCGTTGGCGCAGGCCGTCTGGGTGCGCAACCGCGTGGAGCATGCCTCGCTGCCCTCTGGTGTGACGCCGTACGAGCTCGCCTTTCGACGCAAACCCGATGTCAGTATGGTGCGTGTCTGGGGCTGCATGCTGCAGTACATGGTGCCGCAGTCGCAACGTGGGGGGAAGCTGGCGCCCAAGGCTCGCTGGGCCCTACGACAGCAAGGGCCCTCGATGACTTTTGACTTGGCAGGTCGGCGCCTAACGACTGAGTCTACTCGGCACCGACGCACGAGTTCGGTGGCGGTCATTAGTGACTACGGGTGACTGTGAGCTACTGCAGCGAACTCGGCGGAATCGGTGCTAGGAATGACGAGTCTTGGGGGTCGTAGGTGCCTTGCTTGTGAGGCACGCTGCTCACTTGCTGTGTTGGCAGGAGTAGCGTGCACGGTGAGACATTCCGGTGCCGAGTTGGGTTGGAAATGTGCGGGGCGCGTTCACCCACCTGCACAGCACTTTCGTGTGGGTTGGGTTACTCGCAGCGCCACGCAACAATTGTGCAACTCTTGCTTGCCTATATATGTTTGTGTTTGCTTGTGTGTTTGATAATTGATATTGCAATTCTACTTGGCCCAAATGCTACTTCAATTCTCACAAAATCACACCCGCTGCTCTCCCTTGAAGGAACATAGCAGAGACTCTCTCGCTATCGCTACGCTCTCTAATATATTCCTTCAAGGGAGAGCAGCGGGTGTGATGCGGCTTACTTGAGGGAGAGCAGCTGCACGATGCGCACGAAGAGGCTCGTCTCGTGGTACGGCAGCGACGCCAGCACCAGCGAGTCCACGTTGCACTGCTGCACCCTGCGCGCACCCACACCACAGCGCGTGCGTGGGGAAATGGGAGCGGAGAAGGGAAGGTTTAGAGGAGAGGAGAAGTCAGAGGTGTGCGTAAAGATGGAAAGACAGAGGTATCTGGGGAAAGGTGCAACGGATAGGGCTTGGATGCGCGCACCGGTACTTGCGGATGAGGTATTCGAGCGGCTTGTGGCTGGCGGGCAGCAGCAGCGCGTCGGAGAGCAGCATGAGGAACGCGTCGATCGACCGGTCCAGCGCCGCCACCACGTCGGGCGGCTCGTCGTCGCGATCCGTCTGCAGGGTGGCGGGCGAGAAGAGCGTGCTGAGAAACGGCTTGAAGCGCGCGTCCATCGCCACCAGCTCCGCCAGACCTGCACGCGCGCACGGTGAGACGGGTTGGGCGCAACGGGTGAAGGATATTGGCGTGACAGAGGAGTACGGGGTTCGGAGCCGCGAGGGCAGGCGTGTCGTGTCAGTGTAGAGCACGGGCATCGAGATCTAGGGGCCCGCGAGACTACGCAATTGACGCTAGCAGATTAGGAAAAAGGTATGACGATTTTGCGCCAACCTGCTTGCGCCATGTGTAAGATGGTTTCCGCGTCCACGTCAGCGGCTTCCTTTGCCTCGAAAATAAGGGACGGCCTAATGTGCGCCCCGCGTTTGCCGCTCGACTTGGTGACGACATCAGCTGCAGTTGGGCCCGTCGAGAGGGCGATTTGCCGCAGCTGTCGCGACAGCGCTGTTCCCGCCATGCTGAATGGCAGTTATCGCACTCTAGGCACGATGCGGCTATCGTATGTAACGGACGGACAGACTCGACCTAGAACTCGCAGGCGCCGAGGAAGCTGCGCCCTTGCAGAGTTTTCAAGGTTTTGGGGCCAGCGGGTTTGGGGATAGGTCTGGCCTAGGAGTCGCAGCACGGGCTGCGATGGGACCGCGAAATCCGAAGTGTCGTCATTTCGTCCTCGATATAACACCTGACGATCATCGCTTGTAGACACAACAGAGTGAATTCGGAACTAGCCACCCATCCCGTGTCGAGTCACTCTTTGCCGAATTGGCGGCATTACAGTAGCAAGGCTAGGAGCAGGTTCTTCCTGCCCTTCGTTCCGATTGGTTTGGCCCGCTGTTTGGTTCGTCAGACACAAACAGCAACAGACCAACCTCGGAATCTGTTGAAGCAGAGCAGTGACGGGCACACGCTTCCAACACCAGCCATCCTTCATTGCACTGCCTGCGCTGCGACTCTCCTACTTCCGTCACGGCGTCCTATGGAACGGCGCCGCACCTTGAGCGACTAGCGCGTGCAGTCGCTCGGTTCGCGGGTCGATCGCGCTATGGGAGAAAGATTCAAGCCGTACAATTCTGCGATCTGGCGTTAATTCATTCCTCACGACCCTGTGTCGCGTCACTTAGCCGCGTTCGTACCTCTTATTCGAATTGCTCTGAACCGTACGATCTGGAGCTTCATTCTACCTCGCGTCGAGAATCCATTCGTGTAATGACGAATTCCACATCGTAGCTGTTCCTGTTCGCCGTCATGTCCACCAATGATAGCCAAGAGCTGCTCTCGCCGCGAATTGCCAAAAGCGATGCGTTCCAGGCTGACTCGATCACGGCCGTCTCGCCAAAGGCGGAATCGAGTCGGCTTATAGCGAATGGAGACGACGTCATTGTGCCGGCAGACGAGCTGGAGGATGATCTTGCTGAGTCAGCATCGGCGTTTGGTGGGCGCGTGTCGCCATGGTGCGAGCCGTGGCTGTGGTCGGTGGTTAAGGTGCTGCTGCTCGTGCTGCTCTGGTACACCTTCAGCATGGCGCTCTCCCTGTAAGCATGGCGCTCTCCCTGTAAGCATGGCGCTCTCCCTGTAAGCATGGCGCTCTCCCTGTAAGCATGGCGCTCTCCCTGTAAGCATGGCGCTCTCCCTGTAAGCATGGCGCTCTCCCTGTAAGCATGGCGCTCTCCCTGTAAGCATGGCGCTCTCCCTGTAAGCATGGCGCTCTCCCTGTAAGCATGGCGCTCTCCCTGTAAGCATGGCGCTCTCCCTGTAAGCATGGCGCTCTCCCTGTAAGCATGGCGCTCTCCCTGTAAGCATGGCGCTCTCCCTGTAAGCATGGCGCTCTCCCTGTAAGCATGGCGCTCTCCCTGTAAGCATGGCGCTCTCCCTGTAAGCATGGCGCTCTCCCTGTAAGCATGGCGCTCTCCCTGTAAGCATGCCGCTCTCCCTGTAAGCATGGCGCTCTCCCTGTAAGCATGCCGCTCTCCCTGTAAGCATGCCGCTCTCCCTGTAAGCATGGCGCTCTCCCTGTAAGCATGGCGCTCTCCCTGTAAGCATGGCGCTCTCCCTGTAAGCATGGCGCTCTCCCTGTAAGCATGGCGCTCTCCCTGTAAGCATGGCGCTCTCCCTGTAAGCATGGCGCTCTCCCTGTAAGCATGGCGCTCTCCCTGTAAGCATGGCGCTCTCCCTGTAAGCATGGCGCTCTCCCTGTAAGCATGGCGCTCTCCCTGTAAGCATGGCGCTCTCCCTGTAAGCATGGCGCTCTCCCTGTAAGCATGGCGCTCTCCCTGTAAGCATGGCGCTCTCCCTGTAAGCATGGCGCTCTCCCTGTAAGCATGGCGCTCTCCCTGTAAGCATGGCGCTCTCCCTGTAAGCATGGCGCTCTCCCTGTAAGCATGGCGCTCTCCCTGTAAGCATGGCGCTCTCCCTGTAAGCATGGCGCTCTCCCTGTAAGCATGGCGCTCTCCCTGTAAGCATGGCGCTCTCCCTGTAAGCATGGCGCTCTCCCTGTAAGCATGGCGCTCTCCCTGTAAGCATGGCGCTCTCCCTGTAAGCATGGCGCTCTCCCTGTAAGCATGGCGCTCTCCCTGTAAGCATGGCGCTCTCCCTGTAAGCATGGCGCTCTCCCTGTAAGCATGGCGCTCTCCCTGTAAGCATGGCGCTCTCCCTGTAAGCATGGCGCTCTCCCTGTAAGCATGGCGCTCTCCCTGTAAGCATGGCGCTCTCCCTGTAAGCATGGCGCTCTCCCTGTAAGCATGGCGCTCTCCCTGTAAGCATGGCGCTCTCCCTGTAAGCATGGCGCTCTCCCTGTAAGCATGGCGCTCTCCCTGTAAGCATGGCGCTCTCCCTGTAAGCATGGCGCTCTCCCTGTAAGCATGGCGCTCTCCCTGTAAGCATGGCGCTCTCCCTGTAAGCATGGCGCTCTCCCTGTAAGCATGGCGCTCTCCCTGTAAGCATGGCGCTCTCCCTGTAAGCATGGCGCTCTCCCTGTAAGCATGGCGCTCTCCCTGTAAGCATGGCGCTCTCCCTGTAAGCATGGCGCTCTCCCTGTAAGCATGGCGCTCTCCCTGTAAGCATGGCGCTCTCCCTGTAAGCATGGCGCTCTCCCTGTAAGCATGGCGCTCTCCCTGTAAGCATGGCGCTCTCCCTGTAAGCATGGCGCTCTCCCTGTAAGCATGGCGCTCTCCCTGTAAGCATGGCGCTCTCCCTGTAAGCATGGCGCTCTCCCTGTAAGCATGGCGCTCTCCCTGTAAGCATGGCGCTCTCCCTGTAAGCATGGCGCTCTCCCTGTAAGCATGGCGCTCTCCCTGTAAGCATGGCGCTCTCCCTGTAAGCATGGCGCTCTCCCTGTAAGCATGGCGCTCTCCCTGTAAGCATGGCGCTCTCCCTGTAAGCATGGCGCTCTCCCTGTAAGCATGGCGCTCTCCCTGTAAGCATGGCGCTCTCCCTGTAAGCATGGCGCTCTCCCTGTAAGCATGGCGCTCTCCCTGTAAGCATGGCGCTCTCCCTGTAAGCATGGCCGCTCTCCCTGTAAGCATGGCGCTCTCCCTGTAAGCATGGCGCTCTCCCTGTAAGCATGGCGCTCTCCCTGTAAGCATGGCGCTCTCCCTGTAAGCCTGGCGCTCTCCCTGTAAGCATGGCGCTCTCCCTGTAAGCATGGCGCTCTCCCTGTAAGCATGGCGCTCACCCTGTAAGCATGGCGCTCTCCCTGTAAGCATGGCGCTCTCCCTGTAAGCATGGCGCTCTCCCTGTAAGCATGCCGCTCTCCCTGTAAGCATGCCGCTCTCCCTGTAAGCATGCCGCTCTCCCTGTAAGCATGGCGCTCTCCCTGTAAGCATGGCGCTCTCCCTGTAAGCATGGCGCTCTCCCTGTAAGCATGGCGCTCTCCCTGTAAGCATGGCGCTCTCCCTGTAAGCATGGCGCTCTCCCTGTAAGCATGGCGCTCTCCCTGTAAGCATGGCGCTCTCCCTGTAAGCATGGCGCTCTCCCTGTAAGCATGCCGCTCTCCCTGTAAGCATGCCGCTCTCCCTGTAAGCATGCCGCTCTCCCTGTAAGCATGCCGCTCTCCCTGTAAGCATGGCGCTCTCCCTGTAAGCATGGCGCTCTCCCTGTAAGCATGGCGCTCTCCCTGTAAGCATGGCGCTCTCCCTGTAAGCATGGCGCTCTCCCTGTAAGCATGGCGCTCTCCCTGTAAGCATGGCGCTCTCCCTGTAAGCATGGCGCTCTCCCTGTAAGCATGGCGCTCTCCCTGTAAGCATGGCGCTCTCCCTGTAAGCATGGCGCTCTCCCTGTAAGCATGGCGCTCTCCCTGTAAGCATGGCGCTCTCCCTGTAAGCATGGCGCTCTCCCTGTAAGCATGGCGCTCTCCCTGTAAGCATGGCGCTCTCCCTGTAAGCATGGCGCTCTCCCTGTAAGCATGGCGCTCTCCCTGTAAGCATGGCGCTCTCCCTGTAAGCATGGCGCTCTCCCTGTAAGCATGGCGCTCTCCCTGTAAGCATGGCGCTCTCCCTGTAAGCATGGCGCTCTCCCTGTAAGCATGGCGCTCTCCCTGTAAGCATGGCGCTCTCCCTGTAAGCATGGCGCTCTCCCTGTAAGCATGGCGCTCTCCCTGTAAGCATGGCGCTCTCCCTGTAAGCATGCCGCTCTCCCTGTAAGCATGCCGCTCTCCCTGTAAGCATGCCGCTCTCCCTGTAAGCATGCCGCTCTCCCTGTAAGCATGGCGCTCTCCCTGTAGGCATGCCGCTCTCCTTGTAGCTGCCGCTCTCTCTGGGCGACCATTTTTTCCCTGGGCTGGCCCTTGTACCTATTCCGTCCCTTTCGGCCTTATTGCCCCTTGTCAGGAACCTTTCATTGCCCTTAACTGTACCCATGCACTCCCGCCATGCCATGCACTCTGTACTCTGCACGGGCGGGGCGGTGGGGGGTGGGCAGGTACAACAAGGTGCTCATCGGCGAGAAGCACGGCCGCTTCCCCGCGCCGCTGCTGATGACCACCTTCCACTTCCTGCTGCAGGGCGCCATCGCCTCGCTGCTGCTGCGCTGCTGCTGCCAGTCCTGGCTGCCCGTCACCCCCATCTCCTGGCGCGACTACTTCCTGCGAGGTAAGCCCTTTGGCGAGAAGGGGGGGGCATGTTGGGAGGGGGGGTTGGCCACGCCTGTGGGCTCATGCACGTTTTGAAACTTGTCCATCGAGGGTGCTTCAGGTGACTGTCTGACCAATCCTTACTTGTGCACCATTCACCGTGTCGGCCTGTGCCCCGTGTGCTGTGTGCTGGTGTGCTGGCCACGTGCATGCAGTGGTGCCCACGGCAGTGGCCACATCGCTTGACATCGCCCTCTCTAACCTCTCTCTCGCGCTCATCACCCTCACCTTCTACACCATGGTACGCCTTCCTTCTACACCATGGTACGCCTTCCTTCTACACCATGGTACGCCTTCCTTCTACACCATGGTACGCCTTCCTTCTACACCATGGTACGCCTTCCTTCTACACCATGGTACGCCTTCCTTCTACACCATGGTACGCCTTCCTTCTACACCATGGTACGCCTTCCTTCTACACCATGGTACGCCTTCCTTCTACACCATGGTACGCCTTCCTTCTACACCATGGTACGCCTTCCTTCTACACCATGGTACGCCTTCCTTCTACACCATGGTACGCCTTCCTTCTACACCATGGTACGCCTTCCTTCTACACCATGGTACGCCTTCCTTCTACACCATGGTACGCCTTCCTTCTACACCATGGTACGCCTTCCTTCTACACCATGGTACGCCTTCCTTCTACACCATGGTACGCCTTCCTTCTACACCATGGTACGCCTTCCTGGCCGTTTTCCGCCTCTCCTCTGAGCCAGATCTCATCCGCTTCATTCACTGCAGTCTTTTAGACAAAATTGTCCGCTTATGTGGTCGTTTCACAAAAAAAAAAAGTCTGGCATTCTAAATTAGCCGCTTTCTACGAAGCACCTTGTGATACATATAGAATAATCATCGACTCGTGCATCACAAGTGGCATAAGCCTTCAGCCCTTTACTAACCCTCTCTCCTGCCTGCACATATTGCAGTGCAAGTCCAGCGCGCCTGTTTTCCTCCTCCTCTTCGCCTTCCTCTTCCGGTGAGCCACCACACATGACCACCTTTCCACCACACATGACCGCCTTTCCACCACACATGACCGCCTTTCCACCAAACATGACCGCCTTTCCACCACACATGACCGCCTTTCCACCACACATTACCGCCTTTGCACCACACATGACCGCCTTTCCACCACACATGACCGCCTTTCCACCACACATGACCTCCTTTCCACCACACATGACCACCTTTCCACCACACATGACCACCTTTCCACCACACATGACCGCCTTTCCACCACACATGACCGCCTTTCCACCACACATGACCGCCTTTCCACCACACATGACCGCCTTTCCACCACACGTGACCGCCTTTCCACCACACATGACCGCCTTTCCACCACACATGACCGCCTTTCCACCACACGTGACCGCCTTTCCACCACACATGACCACCTTTCCACCACACATGACCACCTTTCCACCACACATGACCGCCTTTCCACCACACATGACCGCCTTTCCACCACACGTGACCGCCTTTCCACCACACATGACCGCCTTTCCACCACACGTGACCGCCTTTCCACCACACATGACCGCCTTTCCACCACACATGACCGCCTTTCCACCACACGTGACCGCCTTTCCACCACACATGACCGCCTTTCCACCACACATGACCGCCTTTCCACCACACATGACCGCCTTTCCACCACACGTGACCGCCTTTCCACCACACATGACCGCCTTTCCACCACACATGACCGCCTTTCCACCACACGTGACCGCCTTTCCACCACACATGACCACCTTTCCACCACACATGACCACCTTTCCACCACACATGACCGCCTTTCCACCACACATGACCGCCTTTCCACCACACGTGACCGCCTTTCCACCACACATGACCGCCTTTCCACCACACGTGACCGCCTTTCCACCACACATGACCGCCTTTCCACCACACATGACCGCCTTTCCACCACACATGACCGCCTTTCCACCACACGTGACCGCCTTTCCACCACACGTGACCGCCTTTCCACCACACATGACCGCCTTTCCACCACACATGACCGCCTTTCCACCACACATGACCGCCTTTCCACCACACATGACCACCTTTCCACCACACATGACCACCTTTCCACCACACGTGACCGCCTTTCCACCACACGTGACCGCCTTTCCACCACACATGACCGCCTTTCCACCACACATGACCGCCTTTCCACCACACATGACCACCTTTCCACCACACATGACCACCTTTCCACCACACATGACCGCCTTTCCACCACACATGACCGCCTTTCCACCACACGTGACCGCCTTTCCACCACACATGACCACCTTTCCACCACACGTGACCGCCTTTCCACCACACGTGACCGCCTTTCCACCACACGTGACCGCCTTTCCACCACACATGACCGCCTTTCCACCACACATGACCGCCTTTCCACCACACATGACCGCCTTTCCACCACACATGACCGCCTTTCCACCACACATGACCGCCTTTCCACCACACATGACCGCCTTTCCACCACACATGACCGCCTTTCCACCACACGTGACCGCCTTTCCACCACACATGACCGCCTTTCCACCACACATGACCGCCTTTCCACCACACATGACCGCCTTTCCACCACACATGACCGCCTTTCCACCACACGTGACCGCCTTTCCACCACACATGACCGCCTTTCCACCACACATGACCGCCTTTCCACCACACATGACCGCCTTTCCACCACACGTGACCGCCTTTCCACCACACATGACCGCCTTTCCACCACACATGACCGCCTTTCCACCACACATAAATGCCATCTACGGCCGTACCCACGCACCTGACACATTTCACTTCTTCGCCCTCGTTACCAGCAGTGATTCAATTCTCCCCATCGTCATTACCATTGCCAGTACCAATTCAATTCCCCTCTCTCTCAACACTACCCCACCTCTGCTCTCTCTCCCCCCGTCCCTCCCGCACTTCATCCAACCCCCCATGCCTTGTTAAGCCTAGAGACGCCAAGCTTCAAGCTGCTGGGCATCATGCTCGTCATCTCCGTCGGTGTGCTCTTCACAGGTGGGCGAGGGGGGGAGCAGGGGGGACGGGAGGGGGAGGAGGAGGGGGCTAGGAGGCTGTTACGATTATCATCCAGCATTTGTCTTACCATGTTTTAAAATTCCTCTTGCATCACAAAAAAGGCCCTCTACCCCAATTGGCATCGCAAGGCCCTCTACCCCAATTGGCATCACAAGGCCCTCTACCCCAATTGGCATCACAAGGCCCTCTACCCCAATTGGCATCACAAGGCCCTCTACCCCAATTGGCATCACAAGGCCCTCTACCCCAATTGGCATCACAAGGCCCTCTACCCCAATTGGCATCACAAGGCCCGAACCACGCTTCCAACATTCCGTGTGCCATGGGTGGCTTGCAGTGGCGGGGGAGACGGAGTTTCAGCTGCTGGGGTTCATTCTAGTCATGGTGGCAGCATTTGTGTCGGGACTCAGATGGGTGCTGCTGCAAGTGCTCCTGCAGGTGCGCCGCTGCTGTGTACTGCTGTGTGCTGCTGCTTTGCTGCTGCTGTGTACTGCTGCGTACTGCTTTGTGCTGCTGCTGTGCACTGCTATGTATGTAAGCATCAACTGACCATCCCCTTAATTTGTGTCCTATCTCCCCTTGCGTGTTCCCATCATGTGCATTTTCAACCCATGGAATGTCAACTCACCATCTCCCCACCCCCTATTGCCGATTGCACTGGAGGCAGGGGGACAAACTTGGTAAGCATCCGTTACCACGCCCCTTCCTCCTGTCCCACCTCAAGTTGTGCAGCCTCACAGTGCCTGTGTGCTGTGCTTGCTCCTGCCACACGCCAGAATCCTCCTCTTTCCCGCCATGCCACTGTCTACTTCCCAGTCCACCTCGTCCCCCTCAGCTCTCACCACCCCCATCCTGCCCCCTCCCCCACCAGGTCTCACCAACCCGCTGCTCACACTGGCCTATCTGGCGCCCGTGATGGCACTTGTGTGCGGCGTCTTCTCCCTGCTCCACGAGCCGTGGTCCGCGCTCACGTCCTCGCCCTACTTTGACACGTGGCAGCACACCCTCCGGAGCCTCGCCATCATGCTCGTGGGGGGCATCCTCGCCTTCTGCATGGTGCGTGCATGCTTGTGCGTGCATGCTTGTGTGTGCATGCTTGTGTGTGCATGCGTACTTGCATTCGTGTGTGTGTTTTTGTGTGTGTGTGTGCGCGTGCGTGTGTTTCTGTGTGTGTGTGTGTGTGTGTGTGTGTGTTTGTCTGTGTGTGTGTGTGTTTGTGTGTGTGTGTGTGTGTGTGACCGTGTGTGTGTGTGCGCGTGAGTGCATGCGTGTGTGTGTGTGTGTGTGTGTGTCCGTGTGTGTGCGTGCGCGTGAGTTCATGCGTGTGTGTGTGTGTGTGTGTGTGTGTGTGCGTTTCCATATGTGTGTTGATGTGTGTGTGTGCATGTAGCAGCACCCTTGTAAACCACTGCCCCACGCCTACCTGCCCTTCCCTCCCTGGCCCCCACGCCCACAACCCCACCATCCTCCCTGGCCCCCGCGTGGGTGGCTGGCGTGTGTGGATGGCACGGGGCACGGGGGCGGCAGATCATGGCGGAGTTCGTGCTGGTGCTGGAGACGAGCGCCGTCACCTTCTCTGTGGCCGGCACCGTCAAGGAGGCCGCCACCATCCTCGTGAGCCACACGGGGGAGGGGGGGAGCAATGATGCCAGTGAGAATGGGGAGAAAGGAAGCAGAGGTCTGCAAGATGAGTGTTTCATGCAGTGCTCCAATGCACAGGTGGTGCACATGTGGTGCATACATGGGTGCATGGGTGGGTGCATAAGTGGGTGGACGGAATCATGCATCCACGCATGCATGTTGTGGTGGCAGCCAAAAGTGCGAGTAAGAGCTCTGCATCCGCTCATCTCCGCCCATGTCCTTGCAGCGCCTTGCTCTCTCGCCCTCCCTATGCTCCTGCCATCCTGATGCTGAATCACTCGTGTGTGCTGCCATGCCTGTTTCTCTGTGCATGCCTCTGCGTCCTCTGCCGTTGCGGTCCTCAGGTGTCGCATGCGGTGTTTGGCGACCGATTCACGCGCATCAACCTGGTGGGCATTCTCATCATCATGCTTGGTGTCTCCCTCTTCAACCTCTACAAGTGAGGCCCATGCTCCTCCACACACCACCCATGCCAACGCACAGTGCAGTCAGGCAGCAAGGCACAGTGCAGCAAGGCACAGGCGATCAACACTGTCTGGTCAATTCCACCTCCTCCTAATGCAAATTCGTTGCCTGTATATCGTGCTATCCACCAGCACATGTGCCTATGCCAGGTGCTGTGGCGGAGGTTGTGTCTCGTGTAGGCAGCTATAGATGGTACAAACTGCTGATTGTGTGTGGACGTGCATGTGTGCGTGCGTGCGTGTGTGTGTGTGTGTTTGTGTGTTTGTGTGTGGGTATGTGTGCTGTGTGGCAGGGTGTCGCGCAACAAGGCACGTGAGTCTGACGGCCATCTGGTGCACACGCTCAGCGATGCACCCCTTCCTGACCACCCGGGCATGTCCTCCGAGCAACTGCAGCTGCTGCACCACCCGCCCTCGCCCTCCTCCTCCGCCCCCCGAGCATATCCTCTCTCTCCCCGCGGCACCCGGGACTCCACGCACGTGCTGCTGGCCACCAGCATGAGCCCTCGTGCCCACGCCCACACGCGCCTCACCTCCCCCCGCGCCCAGGGTAGCCCAGCGGGCAGTGCAGCATTTGAAATGGCTGGCAGCACCTCTGAATCAAGTGCGGTGACTCGTGCAGGTGACGATGGCAGTGCTGATGGCAGGGGAACGGGGCTGACAACCTATGATGCCGTTGAGTTGGAAGTAATCTCCAAAGCGGAGAAGCAAGCGCAAGTGTAGAGTGATGTGGTAATGCAAGAGACCAGTACTTTGCAAGATTGCATTGATCAATTGAAGTCCACTTGTTTTCTCCTACTGCATCGAGGCCGCGTGGCAGAATCAGTGCTAATTTCACAACATTGCATGCAGTTGGGCGCGGCTGTTCCCTGACTCGTGGAGCCTAACTTCTGTGACACAACTGAGCTATAAGCAATAAAGAACTCTACCTACGCTAGCGAGTACAGAGGCAGCGGCTACGCGGGGGACTTGGAGCCTTGGAGCAGCTTGACGAGGTAGGCGCCGCCCATGTAGAGGCCGATGAGGGGCCCTGCCAGCAGGCACTGCGTGAGCGGGTCCGTGGAGGGCGTGAGCACGGCGGCGGCTGTGACTCCCCCCACCACCACGTAGCGCCAGATGCCCAGCATCTGATCCGCCGTCACCAGCCCCAGCTGCCCCAGCAGCAGCTGAATCACCGGCACCTGCCACACATGCAGGGGGGTTGCGGGGCCCGGCAGGGGGGGACATGGAGGGAGAAACAAGAAGTGATGGTGGGAATCTGGCATGTGTGATGTTGGAGGACGAGAGGGCATATGACTGTGTGGGAATGTGGGTGTGCAATGGTGGAGATGTGCAGATGCATGGTGGTGAGGATGCATGCATGTGGGATAAGAGGCGTTGGCCTGGGAGAGGTACTTGCCTGGAAGGAAGGGAACTTCCTTGGGAGGAAAAACTTCCCTCTGAGATGAGAAACTTGCCTGGAAGGAGAGAAGCTTGCATGGGAAGAGAGAAGCTTGCCTGGAAGGAGAGAAGCTTGCATGGGAAGAGAGGAGCTTGCCTGGAAGGAGAGAAGCTTGCATGGGAAGAGAGGAGCTTGCCTGGAAGGAGAGGAGCTTGCCTGGAAGGAGAGGAGCTTGCCTGGAAGGAGAGGAGCTTGCCTGGAAGGAGAGGAGCTTGCCTGGAAGGAGAGGAGCTTGCCTGGAAGGAGAGGAGCTTGCCTGGAAGGAGAGGAGCTTGCCTGGAAGGAGAGGAGCTTGCCTGGAAGGAGAGGAGCTTGCCTGGAAGGAGAGGAGCTTGCCTGGAAGGAGAGGCCAGTGGAGAACATGAGGAGCAGCACGAACTCGAAGTACTGGTCGATGGACCACAGCGACTCCACCACGCCCTCGGCATACGAGATGAAGAAGTTGAGTGCGGCGGGCGTGAGCACGGAGTAGCTGAAGGCAATGCCCGAGTAGAAGAGCACGGACGACCCAAACACTATGGGCGCCAGGAACCGCCGCTCGCTGGCTGTCAGCCCCGGCACCACAAACGCTATCACCTCGTACAGAATCACCGGCCCGCCCAGCAGCAGCCCGCAGTACCCCGCCACCTGCCAGCCAGGGATGGGAGAGATGATACGGACGCACCGCATGGGGCATGGCGTGGGGCATGGCGTGGGGCATGGCGTGGGGCATGGCGTGGGGCATGGCGTGGGGCATGGCGTGGGGCATGGCGTGGGGCATGGCGTGGGGCATGGCGTGGGGCATGGCGTGGGGCATGGCGTGGGGCATGGCGTGGGGCATGGCGTGGGGCATGGCGTGGGGCATGGCGTGGGGCATGGCGTGGGGCATGGCGTGGGGCATGGCGTGGGGCATGGCGTGGGGCATGGCGTGGGGCATGGCGTGGGGCATGGCGTGGGGCATGGCGTGGGGCATGGCGTGGGGCATGGCGTGGGGCATGGCGTGGGGCATGGCGTGGGGCATGGCGTGGGGCATGGCGTGGGGCATGGCGTGGGGCATGGCGTGGGGCATGACATGGGTCACACCACAAGGAATGGCATGCGATGAATGCTGGCGTGTGTGGTGTGCTTGTGGTACTAAACGCGTCTACCTTGCGTCGCAAGGTGGCACTCACCTTGAGCGTGGTGAAGAAGTATTCCCCTGGCGAGAGCTGCAGGAAGCGCACGCCCTGGGCGTACACGGGGGCCTCGAGGAACACCACGAGGTCGCGGCTGAAGAAGAAGCAGAGCAGGATGGCGGCGCCCACGGCGCCCACGGACACCAGCACGCGCTCACGCAGCTCCTCGAGGTGGTCCCAGATGCTCATGGGCACGTCGTCCGGCAGCTCGTCCTGCCCCGGGTTCAGCCACTTCTGAATCGGCGTCCGCTCCTCCTCGCCCATCTCCTGCAGCAGCGCCGGACTCACCCCTGCAACCCCCGTCATGGGGCGCACGGAGCAGACACGCGGGGGGAACAGCACGTGGGGCGCATGGAACTTGAAAAGAGGGGAAAGGGCAAACAGCGGGAGTGTGATTGCGCCCTCCCCGTGCGCTAGCGTCAACGCCTCTACTGCGCGTCTCTTACGCGGACCACACGTGCCACCCCCACCTCACGGCCTACGACGCTGCGAGGCGATTCACGTGTACACCTGCCCACTCACAGTTATCTGGTCGCCTCTCGAGCGGTTGCGCCTCCACGGCTGTCAACGCCGTCGATGACTCTGCCCCCTCCGCCCCTGCCCCCTCCGCCCCGGCCCCCTCCGCCTCCCCCCCCTTCGCCGCGCCAACAGCCCACCGCCCTCTCCGCGTTTGCCGCATGGGCGAGAGGGCCAGCGGCAGAGGTGCGTGCCACGATTCACGCCATGCCAGCGACTGCGCGTTGCTTGGTTGCAGCCCTGGAGTTGCCGACACTCGCCATGCTCTTACACCTCTTTCGCTTAGTCGCACAGGCGATTGTGCGACTGTTGCAAGCGACAGGTGAGATCGCGTCGCTAGTCGGGCATCCATCGCCAGTCCCGACATCGTCGAACTGAGCGACAGCGACGAAGATGCGGTGCGCTAAGGCAGGCGCGGAATGCGGCGAGGGGCAAGTGGAACGGGGTGAAGGCACTGAAGGAGTGTGTTCGGAATCAGGGTGGGAGCAACTGAGTGCGTGGCGAAGAGTTGGGAGCGACAGCAGGGCGGTTCACGAAACACGATAACGCGCGGGGTGATGGCGACGAGGGCACTGCGGGTGGACCAACTGCGTAGCGCCAAGTCGACACCCACGAAATTCTTTCGCGGAGATGTTGAGGTGCGAGCGACAACTTCCTGACTAAAACCCGAATCTGCCTACTGGTACACCATAATATCTAGTGGACAACACTACAAAAACATACATCAAGCACCCACTTGCTTTTAAACAGCTTGGGTTCCCAAATGCTATTTCTTCTCAATAATGCTTGAATGCTTGCACCGTGCCTCCCACAGGACTCAACGGCCCTGATGCTCCTCCGGGTCCCTTGAAGTTGGGAGATGCGAGCTTCGCCATGCTCGCATGTGCTCCCTGCTCCAACCCGCCAGCCTGTGCTGCGTGTGCTGCTGCAGCAGCAGCAGTGTGGCCATGGGGGGCGTTGGAGCCGGGGGCAGCAGCAGCAGAGGGCGAGGCGTGAGCCTCGTTGGCTGCGATGGCTGCAGAGCGGCGAACCTGGGAGGTGAGGGTGAGCAGCATGCCATGCCATGATGGGCAGGATGAGGCACGTCGGTACAGTTAGTGACACTGTGATTGGGGCAGCACAGTTCGGTTCTTGATACCAATACAATTATGCGCCGGAAAGACATGTGGTGACAGATGGGTATGGTGACAGATGGGTATGCAGCAAGAGATGCAGCAGAGGAGCAACACAGCGAGAAGGCACTCACTGCTGCGAGGCGTTGGCGATGCGCCTCCGTGACAGGCTGCACAGAGCGAGATGGAGGGCAGGGCCCGGCGAGCACAGCCGCAAGGAAGGGTGCAGATGAAGACTGAGAGCATGTGAGGTCCTGGTGCCAAATCACAAGCACACCGTACCATGCCCCATCACTGCCCAAGCCATATACATCGCGCCCGGAAAGCAATCTGAACGGCACCATACGTGCAACACACAGCAAGAGCACTGAGAGGGCGAAGCAAGAGCAGTGAGAGGGTGCAGGAAGAGAACTGACAGGGCGCTTGTAGACGCGGTAATCGTCCCCCGTGAAGCCAGGGATGCGCATGTGCCAGCTGCGCTCTGCCACACACACGCAACACACAGGCAGCAGTGGGTGGCAGCACGGCACGGCACGGCATGGAGGTAACGAAGGACACAGCGGAGGGTGCGGGTGGCGCAAAAGAAACGAGCAGAGTGGAAAGGCAGGGTGGTGGAGGGCGGCAAGTGGGCGCACCGAGGTGCAGCAGGACGTCCTTGGCCTCCAACACCTGCGCCTTGCGATGCCTCGCCAGCTGACACCCAAACGCCGTCACCTGCCCTCACACAGACACGGCACGCACACATGCCATCCATGCACACATGCCATCCATGCAATGCAAGCATGATTAGATGTAGGGATTGCATTGCATCCAATCACATGGAACATAGGCATCGGAACAGCCAACAATATGAGGGAGTGCCAAGTAGGTGGCGGGCTTGCGAGTGCAGTGGGTGCGTGGGAAGTGGGGTGGGCAGGGGGCGGTGGATGGTACGGATTGGATGAAGTCGTCGGCGAGGTCCAGCAGCACCTCCTCCACCTCGGGCTCCAGCTGCATGCACGCATCCACCTGCCCACCCCACCACATGCCACATGCCCCATGCCACATCCCATGTCGTATGCCAGGGGACTGAGTCAAGAAGTAAGCTTTGGGCATGGTGGGTATGCGGGCAGGAGCACTCAGCCACTAATCTGCACATCCCTGACCCACCCGCTGCCCACCTGCTTTGCCAGTTCTTGCAAAGTCCTCTTTCCCAGAAGCTTCTTTCCCTCCACATTGGCGTGAGCAGCATCACCTGCACCAGTTGCAGCCTCCCCCGAGCCGCTGCCTGCAGCAGCAGCACCTGGTCGCCCTGGCACCCTGCCAGACGCCTGCTGTGCTGCCTGTGCCGCCTTCGCCTGTTGTTGCTGCTGCTGCTGATGTTGCTGCTGTTGTTGTTGTTGCTGCTGTTGTTGCTGTTTCTGGTGCTGCTGCTGCTGTTGCTTTAGTTGTTGTTGTTTCTGCTGCTGCTGCAGCTGGTGGTGATGCGGAGAGGGGGCGAAGTGCTGCTGCTTGCCCTGGGTGGGCGACAAGGGAGACATGCCTCCCACCGGCCCATGCTGCCCGTGCTGCTGTGGGATGGGCGGCAGGGGGTGCAAGAGGAGATGAAGGAGTGGGAAGGACGATGTGCAACGCGGACAGGACAGGGAGGGCAAGAAGCAGGGAGTAAGAGCGTCAGGGAGGGAGTGGACGGAAGTAAAACGGGAAAAAGGATGGGGGGGGGCGTGGAGGCACAGGGAGAAGGCGAGACGAGACAGTGAAGGGGGGAGCGTAAAAGGAAAGGGAGATGAGAGTAGGGATGCACGAGATGGGGAGGCGGGCACCCAGCGGTCTGTGAGCATCCGCCTTTGGGGGCGCCCTTGTGGCCTTGCCTCGCTGCCATGCCATGCCACCCACGCCATGCCTCGCACAACCATGCACATCTCATCGCACCACATTGCACCACATCACACCACACCGCACCTGTGCGCCTGCCTGTCCCCTGGCTCCATATCCCATGCCGCTTGACCCCACCACCCCCCTCCATGCTGCTCTGCCTGCTCCGTTCCCCCCTGCCCTCCGCTTCCCCCCACCTGCTGCATTCCGCCCCGCGCGCCTCCCCCTGGGCTGGCGCTGTAGCCTTGCTGCTGCAGGTGCGGCGCAGAGGGGGAATAGGAGGCTCCGCCAGGCGACGCGGATTGCGCCTGTGAGGGGTATTGGGGGGCGGCTGAGGAGGGGGAGAAGTGCGACGACATGGTGGGGGCGGACTGGGGGCCGCGCATGTTGCCAGGGAGGTGCAGGGAGGAGGGCAGGGCGGGCAGCGAAGCAGAGGAGCTTGGGGAAGCGCCGGCCTTCCCCATATTTGGCGGCATGGCGGAGGGGGAAGGCGCACCTTGCGAAGAGGCGTTAGGGTTGTTGGCAAGCGCAGACGAGCGCAGCTGCGCGCTCGCCGTGGGGCTCATCATTCCCCCCATTGCGCCACCTGCCAGTCCGCCCGGCGCGTTAGCGGCAAGTGCGTAAGGGGGAGCGACGCGCGACATGGGGTAGGAGCCGGGCTGCGAGGGGGAGGGCGTGGAGGGCAAGGGGGAGGCGGCGGGGGCCCCTGGTGGAGGCATGAGGGCCGACGGCGAGGAGTGCAGCGCGTGGGTGGCGGGGGAGGCAACGTCGGCGTGCGGCAGGTGGGTGGGCATCGCGAAGAGAGCGCGCGCTCGGAGAGGCGATAGTCGCGAGAGCGGCGGCGAGGTTAACGCGGAGAGCGGGTCGACGCGAAGGATGGCGGTGAAGGCGAGGCGACACGGACACGTGGCCTCGCGACACGAGGACTCGCGAGCCTCGGTGAACACAGCAACGGCTGGCTTGCGACAACGAATGGATGGAGCGACTGGTGGGTGCGACGGGTAGGTAAGGTAGGACGACGACAGTGAGTAGAATCCACGAGGCACGTGCTATGACGGTGAGGTGAGACTCTCGGAGCAGCGCGAGGCGGAGATATGAGTGAAAGTGCGAGAGAGATGGTGGGGTGAACGGACACAGCTTGGGGCAGGAGGTTGTGGGCTATCCGTGCCTACACTATTCTTTTGTCACAGAGGCGTGTAGAGAGGTTGACTTGTATTTCAATATCGAGTATGAGCACCAATCACTGGAGCATGTATGCTTTTGGGTTTGAACTCGAATGACCGAAAGCTGATCCTCGCTTCAATTTGAGGCGACTCACGAACGAAACTCGCATAGCGGCTCCTCGCCAGAAGAATGCATAGAGCACCACTTCCCGTCACACATTAGATTCGCGCGTGACGTTCGTCTTCAGGCACCGCGCGCAACCGCCGTTGCTTTAGACTGGGCGCTCCCACCCCATGCCGTCGCGCACGCTGATTGCACTGTTCCACCTGTGAGGCACGCAGCTGGTATCTGGTAGCTGGTAGGTGACCCGAGCGAGCGGCATCATGGACAGGGCAGAATCGGGAGGCGCGGAAGGGGACGACGACGTGGGCAGTCCGGGGAGGGCGGAGGAGCCGACAGCGGTGGAGGCGGGGAAGCGGTGGGAGCGCATGGGGGCGGAGATGCGCAAGGCGGTGGCGCAGCTGGACAAGGCGGAGCCCGCCGCCGTGATCGACGGGCTGCAGCGCCTGCACGCGCGCATCGTGAAGCACGGCGCGCGGGCCGTCGACGCGTACGTGCGCGTGTCGCCGCCGGACTGGCTGCAGCTGCTCCGCCTGTGGGACGCCTGCCACCGCCGCGGCGCCTCGCACCAGGTGGGCCCGCCGCCCATTCCGCTCCCCGCGTCGCTGCGCACTCAAGTTGCAACGCCCTGATCACGCGCTGCTGAACCCCCAACCTGTAATCCCGCTCGTAAACCCTGCGCCCAGAACCTCTTTCACCTCCCCCGGCTTTCGTGCCCTCACTCACAGTGTCCCTCTCTCCTTCCTCCTCGCGTCCCCCGTCGCGCCCGTGCGCAGATGGCCGTGCCGCTGATGGCGGTGCTGGCGGACATCCTCGCCCTTGCCGCGCACACGCCGCGCCCTCTTCCCCACACACCCGCGCGCGCCCCTCCCTCCGTCCCTCCGCCCGTGCTGGGCGCGCCTCTGTCCCTACCCCGCCGCATAGAGGCGCTGGCGCGCGCCCTGCTGCCGCGGTGCTGCAGGAAGGGCGGCCTCTACGCGCACCTCTCCTCCCCTTCCCACGTGCACGCCACCTCCGCCCTGCGCCTGCTGCTCGCGCTCTCCCTCATCTCCCCTGCCCTCACGCGCTACCTCCTCCTCTCCTTCGACTTCTCCCTCCCCGCCCTCCCCGCCCTCACCCAGCCCCCCGCGCCCTCCCAGGCGCCGGGCAGCGGGGGGAGAGGGAGAGGCGAGAGAGGGAAGCATGTGGGCGCACAAGGGGGGGCAGCAGGCGCCGTGTTCTGGTCTGGCACACCAGCGGTGGTCGTGGGGGGCGAGCAGGGGGAGCAGGCGGAGCAGGCGGAGCAGGGGGAGCAGGGGGAGGAGGGGGAGGAGGGGGTCGAGGGGGCGGTAGGGGTATTGATGGGCAAGCAAGGGGCGGGGGCGTGCGCGGACGTGGGGGAGGTGCCAGCGCGCGTGCTGATGGCGGAGTGGGTGGTGGCGTGCCTGGCTGTGGCGGACGCCGCCACTCTCACCCACGCCATCGTGGCGCACAGACACAACCTGGCCGGCATTCTCTGGCGCCTAGCGGGCGACCACCCCGTGACAGCTGGCAAGGTGTTGTGGGTGCTGCAGACGCGGGTCATGGCGGCCAGTAGCAATGTGCCACGCGGCCTGCAGGGAGCTCTGTTCGGGGATAGTGCGCTGGAGCAGATGGCGCGTGTGGCGGGAAGGGAGGAGGGGGGTGGTGCGGGGGCGGTGGCAGCAGGGATGGCGCTGCAGGTGCTCCTGGCCGTGTGCACGCACCCCCGCCATGGCGTGCTCGTGGGGGGGGGTGGGGGGGGCGCGCTGCAGGGGAGACCACAGGAGGGGATGGATGAAGGGGAGGAGGGGGAGGATATTGTGGAGGAAGGGATGGGAGGAGGGGGCAAGGAAGGGCAGGGGGGAGCGGCGGACACGGAGGGTGCTGGAGGGGAGTGGGAGGGGGAGTCGGGCAAGGGCGGATCGGCCTCCGCCGCTGCTGATTCCCAAGCCTCCTCTCATTGGTCGGCCGGCATGGATCGTCTCATTCGCCTCGCGCGTGGGCTGCATGTGCTGCAGTGTGCGGCGCACCGCTCGCTGCTGCTGGCCATGGCCCAGGCGTGTCCCCCTCTGGCTGCCGCCTACCTGCAGCGCCCTCCCTTCTCCCTGCACCCCACGCCGCACGCCCACTGGTACGACGCTGCCATGTGCCTTGCTTCACTCCAAACACCTTCTTGCACTGATCGTTGTTTCCACTTCTCATCTGCTTCCTCTCATCTTCTTCCTTCTCCTCGCCCCTCTTCTCTCTCAATCTCCATCATCCCGTTATCCAAATCGCCTTGTCAAATGGCCCCTCCACTGCTCGCCCCACACCCGCCCATGCCGCACCCCCCCTCCCCCAGGTTCGCGGGCATGGCCCTGGTGAGCCGCCTCGTGCGCGTCTGCGCCACAATGCCCCTCCTCTCCGCCTCCGCGCCCTTCTCCCTGCGCCTCCCCTCGCCCAACGTCTCCCCCCTCCTAGCCCGCATGCTCCCCCCGTGCCTGCCGCGCCCCGCCCTCACGCGCGCCCTGCTGCACCGCTCGCCCCGTGTGCGCCTGCTGGCGCTCTGCACGCTGCTCGACTGCCTCTCCGCCACCCTGCCCCTCCTCGCCCTCGCGCTCCCCCTCGCCGCCACGCACGCCGGCGCGGGTGCAGCGGGAGAGGCAGGTGAGGCAGGCGAGGGAGGGTTGTGGTGGGCGAGAGGGAATGAGGGTGGGGATGGGGGGGAGAGGAGGAGCGAGGGGAATGTGGAGGCGGTGGAGGAGCGGCAAGTGGCGGGCAGGTATTGGAGCGCGGTGGTGGCGGGGGTGCGGCTGCACGTGGTGGGCGCCGTGCCCGACGTGCAGATCGTGCTGGGCGTGCTGGCTGCCTCCCAGCCCAGCAGCGGCGCGGGGGGCGTGGACGAGGGCGGACACATGGCCCCGCGAGGGGGGGCAGTGTGTGGGGTGAGGCGGGCAGGGGGCGCAGGGGAGGGCGGCAGGCGGAAGAGAGGGCGGGGTGCAGCAGGTGAGTGGCAGGTGATGGAGGAAGGGGGGGGTGAGGGGGAGGAGGGGAAGGAGGAGGAGGGAGAGGGAGAGATGGGAGAAGAAGAGGAAGAGGTGGAGGAAGAGGAGGGGGAGGAGGTGGGGATGGATGATGAGATGGATGACGAGGAGGAGGGAGGGCGCTGGTCGGTTCGCCTGCTGTTGCACTGCAAGGCTCTGCGCCTCCTCGCTCTCTACCAGGTACTCCTCGCTCTCTACCAGGTACTCCTCGCTCTCTACCAGGTCCTCCTCGCTCTCTACCAGGTACTTCTCGCTCTCTACCAGGTCCTCCTCGCTCTCTACCAGGTACTTCTCGCTCTCTACCAGGTCCTCCTCGCTCTCTACCAGGTACTCCTCGCTCTCTACCAATCAAACTGTGTCTTGCCTCGTGTGCACCTACTGCTTCACTTTTCGTCATGCCCGCTTCCCCCGTTCTCCCCGCCTGCTGCATGCAGAGGGTGGTGCCGGCTGCCGTGGCTGCCTGCCACGTGGATCCGCTGCGCTTCCTGCGCGCCGACCTGCCCTCGCTGCCCTCCCCCTTGCTGCGAGCCACTCTGCGCCTCCTCCTTGCCTTCTTCCCGCCGCCTTCTCAACACACCCTTGCATTCCCCGGGGCTGGGACTGGAGGGGCGCACAGCACGCCGGCCCTGCCTGCACCGGCCGAAGCGGCGCCCGCGGGGGGCGAGTTCCTCTGCACCTGTCCGCTGCACAACCATCTGCTGCCGCTGCTGTTGCTGCGCCTCTCCCCGCCGCCCGCCGACCTCGCACCTGACGTTGATTGGCTCTGCACCGCTGCCATGCTCTCCTCGCATGCCTTCCGTGCCCGCCAATCAGAGGCTGCCATGTGGCTGCGCTTCCTGCCCACCATGGCACCTGGCAGTGCTTGCAGCAGTGCGGCGGCAGCACGAGGGGTGGCGGCGTTTCTGGCGGATGCCGTGGCGTGTGTGGCCCGCGCGCCCCTCAAGTACCTCCTCGCCCTCCCTGCCGCCTCACCACCCCCCGCCCATGCATCCCACTGCCCCTCCTGCCGTGCCCGGGGCCACACCCCCATGGCCTCTTTGGGTCCCTTCCCTGCCTGCATTCTCACCAACTGCCTCAAAGTGCTGCATGCCACCTCCCCCTCCTCCTCCTCTTCCTCCTCCTCCTCCTCCTCATCTCCGCCAGTGCAGCTTGCCATCGCCACCTTCACCTGCAACGCCCTGACCCACCTCATCTCCCTTCAGGTGCCTCACCGCTTGCCCCTTTCCTTGTTTTTTCTCCGTTGCTCGATTCTCCACTATCTGCTCAACTCAACCCAGTCTGTTTGTCTTTTCCCCACTTCCCAACTTTCTTCCACCCCCTACATCCTTGTAATGCCCGCTCAAACCAGCGTACGCCGCTGTTGCATCCACACACTCATGCCTGCACCTGTACTGTCCGCCTTTTCCTGCCCGCCTCTTCTCTTCTCTTTGCCTTGGCTATCAACAGGAATGCCCTCTCCCACTCGCTGCTCTCATCACTCACATCCTCCGCCCTGCCCTGTCCTCCTCCTCCTCCTCCACCTCCTCCTCCTCCGCCTCGTCCTCCCCCGCGCCACACGGTCGGCCCCCCCTCTCTGCGCCGCTGCTCTGCCTGCAAGCGCTGCTAGAGTCGGCCACCTCGCTGCTTCCTGTGCCGCCTGAGGAGCAGCAGGGGGGGGGGAAGAGGCTGCACAGTGCGGCTGGGGCGGGTGCTCACAGCTGCGACGCCTGTGATGCTGGTGGGCGCGCAGCAGTGGAGGCAGCAGTGGGGGCGGCAGAGGCGAGCCTGCAAGCGGAGCAAGCGAGTGGCAGGGATGCTGCCCTCTCACACTTCACTCTCTCCCTCTCCTCGGCCCACCCACCCTCGCTCATCGCCCTCCTTCCTCGCCTCGCCTCGCTCGCTGCCTCCCTTCCTCCACCCGCCATGCATCTTCTCTCCTCCACTCTCTGTGCACACGCCCTCCTCCCCTCGCTGCTGCCAGTGCACGCGCCTGTGCTGCTGGAAGCGAGTGTGCTGGCGCAGCAAGCACTGCAGCCTGCCGCCACCTGCCACCACCACCACATGCCCCCCGCAGTGGCCTCACCACTGCCTCTCTTCCTCCCCCCCATGCCCTCTTCTCCCCACCCCTCCACGACTGCTCTCTCCCACCTCCTCCTCTCCTTGCCCTGCGCGCCTCTGCTCTCCCTGTGCGTGCGCGCCCTGCTCTCGCCTCTCAAGCTCCACCGCCGCCTCGCCTCCTGCCTTGCTGCGCTGCTGCTGGCCCGCCTGCGCCTGCTATCGCCCCATGTGCTGCAAGAGAGGGTTGCAGGGGCAAGCCACGCCCGCCCAGGCGAGGGAATTCTGTGGGGGGAGAGGAGGGGGGAGGTGGGGAGGGCTGTTGTGTTTGAACTGGGGCGAGTACTAGGCGTGGGTATGGGGGGGCCCCAGCAGGTGGGGGGGGCGGAATGGAGGCGGCGGCAGCGGTGTGTGCGTGTGTGCATGGCGGCACTGGAGGCCACCCTCATGCCACCACCGCTGCCCTCGCCCTCCCACCCCATGCACGCTGCCAGCGCATGGAATGGGGGGGGGGGCGAGCAGGGGCAGCAGGGCGGCGAGGAGGATGGGAGTGCGTGTGAGTTCATGGTGCAGGCAGCTGACGTCATGTCACACCCTCTGCTCCTCGCAGCATTCACAGGCCACCTCGATGACGTCACCGCCTGGCCCTCTGCACACCTCTCCTCCCTCCTCACCTTCCTCCGCCTGTCCATCTCGCGCCTCCTCCTCCGCCTCCTCTCCTTCTCCCATGCCCTCTACCACTCTCTCCCCGACTCGCCTTCGCCCGCCCCCCCACCAGCCCAGGGCGCCCTTCTCCTGTGGCAGGCCTGCCAGCCATTCCTCTGCGCCGCCCACCACTCCCTTGCTGCCTCCCTCGCGCCCTTCCTCCCTTACTCCCCGTCTCCCCCTGCGTGCCCCTCGCCTGTGCGCACTGCCTCGCATGCGGTGGTGCTGGTGGCGCCAGGGAGGAACGCCGGGGGCGGGGTGGGCAGCAGAGCGCAGGAGCAGAGCAGGGTGTGGCGGCAGGTGGCAGGAGGGGCTCTGGGCGACTGGCACTTCGACTTTGACACCAGCTGTGTCACGTGGAGGGGGGAGGGAGATGGCGGGGGAGGAGGGGAAGGGGCTGGGGAGGAGGCAGTGCAAGAGGAGGCGGTGCAAGGGGTGGCAGTGCCAGTGAGCGTGGTGGTGGCGCTGTGGCTCTCTCGTTTCATTGCCCTGCCGTGCCACTCCTCCCCGTCTCCCCTTGTGCAGCCCGCCCCTCCCTGTGCCTCCGCTATTCAGCCCGCTCTTGCCCCTTCCTGTTCGCACGTCACCCGTGTCCCCTCCTCGCCCCGCCTGGCCAGCCTGGCAGCATGGGCGGGATGGATGGCAGCAGTGGTGCAGGGAATGGCACACGGGCAGATGGCAGATGGGAGCATGGTGATTGGGGGTGGTGCAGCAGGGGGTGGTGAGAGGGAGAGTGTGAGGGGGGCATGTGAGCACATGGCGCTCACAGTTGCATGTGTCACATTCCAACACGCCAAGGCAGCTGTGGGCGAGGGGCATGGTGGGTTGCCGTGGGTGGCCCCACAGCCACTGCCGCAGACACTGCAGCACAGCACTTCACGTGGGGGGGCGAATGTGTGTGCGCGTGGGGCGCTCACAGCGCTGGTGGAGGCGGCCCTGCACGCGCTGCTCACACGGGCCACACGCCTCGCAGAGCACACAGCTGTCGTGGCACTGGAAGCAGCGGTGCGCCTGCCCTGCCTGCACATCTGGCCAAGCCCTGTGGCGTGCCACGCACCGTGCTCGCACGTGCACGTGGCGCGAGTGTGCCCCGCAGCCCTTGAGCGGCGCGTCATTCACTCGTGCGTGCACCACCCCTCATGGCGCCGTGGCAACCTGCTCTCGCTGCTCCTCGCTGCTCACGCACGCTCTGAGGGGCGCACAGGGAGCAGCAGGGTGGCGGGCGAGGTGGTGCAGGCTGTGGCTGAGTGGATGGGTGGCGAGGAGAGGCAGTGGTTGGGCGCACGCTCAGCCAAGGGTGTGGGGGGCAGGGCGGATGCAGGAGGTGGTGAGGGGCACGCGTGGTGGCAGGATGGGGACAGGTGGATACGCATGCTCATGCTGCTGCCTGCAGTGGCTGCTGCTGTGGGTGGGCAGTGGAAGGAGGGCGAGGGTGGAGGGGCAGCAGGTATGAGTATGGTGGCGTGCACGTACAGAGACATGCTCCTCGCCCTGCTCCCTCCATGCACCCCGCCCCATACCGCCACAACCACCCCTCCCTGCCACCTTCCCCTCTCCCATCTTCCTCCTCACATCCTTCCCTCCTTGCTCTTGTATGTCCCCGCTCTTCTCCACTCGCTGCTGCTCGCTCATCCCCTCCCCCGCTTGCGCCTCGCCTCGCTCGTCCACGTGGTGGTGCCACACGAGCAGCAAGAGGGCGGTATGCAGGGGGGAGGCAAGGCCGCACGTGGAAAAGGGAGGGGCAGTGGGAAGGGCAGGGGGGAGGCGGAGGAGGGTAGAGGGGGGATGGTTGGAGGTGGGGGGTGGCGTGTGCAGGGGGGCTGTGTGGCGGCTGCCACGCTGCTGCAGGTGGCACTGGCGCCCCGGCTGGCCTGCACCGGCCCTATGCCCACGGCGCCCTTCAGGACTGCTAGCACTGGTAGCGCTGGCGGTGTTGGCGCTGGCAGGTGCGGCGGTGGGGAGAGCGAGGGCACGAGAAGGGTTTGGGGAACGCCTGCTGCACAGATGAGGGTTCTGGCTGCCCTTCTGAATCTTCTTGGAAGCATCTTCCCTCTCGCACCGGAGGCACAAGTGACTGTGGTGACGGGCAGTGGTGGTGGCAGTGGGTGGGGGCAAAGAGAGCATGTGAGGAGGGAAGGTGAGAGGGCAGTGGGTGGTGGGCGGGTGACAATGGCAGCGAGAGAGCTTCAGCAGGTGGCTGCCGTGCAGCTGGCTCGTGTGGCCACGCACCTGGCACGTACACTCACTGCTGCTCCACCTGCCATGCCGCCACACCCGCCACCATCTCCCACCACCCCGCACGTCCCCCTGCCTCTGCTGCAGCACGGCCTGGCCTCGCTGCGCCTTGCAGCCGTGGCGTGCCTCAAGCACCGCTTCGCCCACCCTCTCGCCTTCCACTCCCTCACCCTCGCCTGCCGTGCCCTGCTCGCCGCCGCCACTGCCCCCTCCGTGCACCCACCGAAGCGTCCCGTGGCAGCAGCAAGAGCACCAGCACAAGCGGCAGACGGCGCGGCAGCAGCGGTGTCCAGCGTGGGGTGCGCCCTCTTGGACCTCCTCCTCGCACACTCTCGCTCTCTGCCTCTCCTCCTCTCCCCCTCCGCTGGCCCCTCCGCCGCCCCCCTGCCTGCAGCGCTGGCCCACCAACTGCACAAGGACAACAGCAGAGCTGTATCGCTCCCATCGCCCCTCTCCCTCATCCCCTCTCCCCTCCTCCCCGATCTCCCCCTCATTGCCGCATCCTGCCCGCCCTCTTCTGCTCGCAGTACTCGCATACACGCCAGCTGGCGGGGGGCAGCGTGGCAGGTGCAAGAGGGGCAGAGAGTTGCAGACAGGGAGGAGTTGGGGGAGGAAGCGGAAGCAGGGGCAGGCGTGGAGGTGAAGGTGCGGGGCAGTGAGCTCCTGCACTCGTGCCTTCACTCCACCATGCTGTGGCCGCTCGCACTGCCATGCCAGGCACCAAGCCATGCAGCGAGGGAGGGGAGAGAGGGTGGAGAGGAGGAGAGGCCTGATGGGGAGGCAGGAAAGCAAAGGAAGAGGAAGAGGCGGAAGGGAGGATCAGAGGGGGGTGAGGAAGGCGCGTGTGCAGGTGAGGGTGCAGCGCGGTTGGAATTGCTGTGGCTGATGACTGCCTTCCTGCGAATGAGGCTGTGCCACGTGTCTGGCCGTGTGTGCTCATCGGCGTGTGGGCGTGCTCTACAGTCGCTCTTTGCGCTGCTGCTCGCCCTCTACGGCGCCACCCTCAGCCCCACCGACCGCGCACTGCTCGCCCTCATGCACCTCCTCACACGCCTTGCACGCCGCGACATGCCACGTGCGGCAGCCCGCATCGAGGGGGGGGACCAGCAAGCTGCGCAGGCAGCAGGGGGTGCTGATGGGGTGAGCACGGTGGTTGCAGAGGAGTTCCTGGGTTTTGAGTGGTTTGACTATCTTTGGGGCCAGGGGGCCGCATCACGCTGGGAGTGGCAGCAGGGAAGGGGACGAGCACCAGCACAGGCAGGGGGTGAGGGCCAGGCAGAAGGTGCTGCACAAGATGGCAGGGAGATGGGGGTAGCGGGGGGGGAGGAGGTGGGTGGGAATGGTGATGGTGTGTTTGAGGGGCGCGAGCAGCGGCAGTGGCGGTTCTGGTGGGAGGAGGCGGCGGTGGACGCCACGCGCTGTGGGCTGCTCGTGCTCGCCTTCCCTGCCCTCCGCCACGCACACTTGGGGGGGGATGCAGGCGAGCAGGGGCGAGACGGAGAGGGAGGGGGAGTGGAGGACGTGGAGCAAGAGGGTGAGGGGGTGAGTGAGTGGATGGGGCACGAAGGCACGCACATGTGCATATGCAGTGCGAGCTGCATGGGAGGGGGGGGCGACCCTTGTGTGCGGCAGCAGGCTGGGCAGGGCCACCCTCTCCCCGGGTCAGCGGCGGCTCAGGACGTGGCGGTGCAGCAGGCAGCCTACGACCCCGCCTTCCTGCTCCCCTTCACCCTGCACGCCCTCTCCCGCCGCCTCCTCTCCCCGCGCATGGCTGCCCGCTGCGGGCTCATGGCGGCTGCCATTGCCAGCCTGGCGTCGGCGCAGCACAGCATGCGGCGCCTGGGCTACGCCACTCTCGCACTCTTTGCTGCTCTGCTCGAGGTATGTGCGCTGCTGCAAGCCACTTTGGGCTCAAGTGGCGCTCTTCAGCTGATGATGCTGGCATGCATGCGAGAGGTGAAACAGTGAACGGCAGGAACGAGTGTGATAAGTGGTAAGAACTAACTTTGTTCCCAGCACTGATGTCTTCCTCTGCATCTCCCCTGCACCTTTCATCCACACGGTGTACATCTGGTCCGCCCCGTTGGTTGTGGAGTGGAGTGGTGCAGGAGCAGGAGGAGGGGTGGAGGGAGCAGCACGCCGTGCAGCATGTGGTGCGCTGTGTGCGGGCCACCGTCACCACCACATGGCAGCGCCTGCCGCGCCTCTCTGTGCTCTTCATGGCGGAAATGCTCCAAGTCATGCATCTGGGGGGAGCCTCCCCTCTCTTTCCTCTCCTCTCCCAATCGCTTCTCTCCCAACCATCCTTCAACCTCACGGTAGGGCTCCCATTCGCTTTTTCTCATTGGGGGGCTCCCATTCGCTTTTTCTCATTGGGGGGCTCCCATTCGCTTTTTCTCATTGGGGGGCTCCCATTCGCTTTTTCTCATTGGGGGGCTCCCATTCGCTTTTTCTCATTGGGGGGCTCCCATTCGCTTTTTCTCATTGGGGGGCTCCCATTCGCTTTTTCTCATTGGGGGGCTCCCATTCGCTTTTTCTCATTGGGGGGCTCCCATTCGCTTTTTCTCATTGGGGGGCTCCCATTCGCTTTTTCTCATTGGGGGGCTCCCATTCGCTTTTTCTCATTGGGGGGCTCCCATTCGCTTTTTCTCATTGGGGGGCTCCCATTCGCTTTTTCTCATTGGGGGGCTCCCATTCGCTTTTTCTCATTGGGGGACTCCCATTCGCTTTTTCTCTGCTGGTCCCCATCATTGTTGGTCCCCATCATTGTTGGTCCCCATCATTGTTGGTCCCCATCATTGTTGGTCCCCATCATTGTTGGTCCCCATCATTGTTGGTCCTCATCATTGTTGGTCCCCATCATTGTTGGTCCTCATCATTGTTGGTCCCCATCATTGTTGGTCCCCATCATTGTTGGTCCCCATCATTGTTGGTCCCCATCATTGTTGGTCCCCATCATTGTTGGTCCCCATCATTGTTGGTCCCCATCATTGTTGGTCCCCATCATTGTTGGTCCCCATCATTGTTGGTCCCCATCATTGTTGGTCCCCATCATTGTTGGTCCCCATCATTGTTGGTCCCCATCGTTGTTGGTCCCCATCGTTGTTGGTCCCCATCATTGTTGGTCCCCATCATTGTTGGTCCCCATCATTGTTGGTCCCCATCATTGTTGGTCCCCATCATTGTTGGTCCCCATCATTGTTGGTCCCCATCATTGTTGGTCCCCATCATTGTTGGTCCCCATCATTGTTGGTCCCCATCATTGTTGGTCCCCATCATTGTTGGTCCCCATCATTGTTGGTCCTCATCATATCATTGTTCCACTCCCCCTTCCCACCGCTGCAGACCGTGCCACTGCTGCTGCCGTGCCTCATGAGCGGCTCGCCCCACCACCGCGCCCAGCGCACGTGGCTGCTGCACCTCCTGGCCGCCCTCGCCCTCCCAGCCGCCGCCCCTTTGATACTTCCCCTTGCCCCACAACTGGCTGCTGGAGGGGAAGGGCAAGAGATGGGTGGTGGCAGGGGGGGCGGTGACAAGGTCGGCGATGGGGATGGGGGCAGTGGCAACGCAGACGAAGGGCACGAGGCTGGCAGTTTTGAGGGGGATGCTGTTCTGCGGCGCCGCTTTGTTGTGGAGCTTCTGGGAAGTTTCTTCGCGTGTGGGGTGAGCGATGTGTTCACCTGCAAGCTGATTCTGCAGGTGCTGCGGCGCGTGTGCTGCCTGCCCTCGTACGCGGGCCACCTGGTGCGGCAAGGCGGGCTGCTGCTGTGGCTCACAGCCGTTGTGCACGCTGCCTCGCACAGCCTCCACCGTGCCCACGCCCACACCGCCCACCTCGCTCTCCTGCTGCCTACCACTCCACGCGCACTGCAGCTCGCTGGATCCCCTGCAGCCACAGAAGGAGCAGCTGCTGCAGGGCGGGCAGAGGGCAGGCAGCCAGAAGTTGATGTTCTAGCGCTCGCGGTGGAGGTTAGTGGCTTTGCAATATGCCGCCAAGCACAGCAGCCTGCAGCGTTGCTGTCAAGTGGTGTTGTCTGTGGATCGCAATGCTGTCATTTTGTTTATTCAATGGGTTTGATGTTCTTGTTCATGCCATTTTTCGTTTCGGCTCCCCTCCCACACCCCTTCTGTGTGCTCCTCCCACCAGGTGCTGCATGGGCTGCTCTCATGCCCATGCATGCATGCAGCACTGCTCTCACATGCCACCTCAACTTCCCATCACCTCCTCCTCCTCACCTGTGCATTGGAACGTGCGTTACACACAGTGTCTCACAGCACCCAGCCCCTCTCGCCCTCTTCCCTTGGGCTCGCAAGGCTCACCCATGCTGCCCTGGTGCAGCTGATTGCGGTGTTGCCAGAAGTCAGAAAGCACTTAGGGAAATAGCAACCGTTAGCAGTGATGCGTGCAAGTTGCGGAGTTGTCTAAAAAGGCTAAACTTTAGAGCAGGATAACAATCATACCCGTAATTCCCCGGTTATAAGACCCCCTTCAATTGTAGACCCCCGGGTCTATAAATACGGAGGGGGGTACGCTAAATGGGTCGTTCGTAGTTAGACTCCCCTTTTGGGGGGCTAACATTATAAGACCCCCTGGCATACTCCGTCTTGAACGGCTTCGGCTTGGCGCGCTCTGCCTCGTCCGCCATGGCGATGGCATGTCTAGTACGCAACGGATGACGGTCTGTCTTATCAGAATCTAACAAGCAGGAATGAATGAACTAGCAGCAAGATGGGTACAACGTAATTGAGCGGGGTGATGGAAAGAGGGAGAATGGGGCGGGGTGATAGAAAGCGGGAGAATGGGGCGGGGTGATGGAAAGAGGGAGAATAAGGCGGGGTGATGGAAAGCGGGAGAATGGGGCGGGGGGGTGATGGAAAGACGGAGAATGGGGCGGGGTGATGGAAAGCGGGAGAATGGGGCGGGGTGATGGAAGGCGGGAGAAAGGGCGGGGTGATGGAAGGCGGGAGAATGGGGCGGGGTGATGGAAGAAGGGAGAATGGGGCGGGGTGATGGAAGGAGGGAGAATGGGGCGGTGTGATGGAAGGAAGGAGAATGGGGCGGGGTGATGGAAAGAGGGAGAATGGGGCGGGGTGATGGAAGGAGGGAGAATGGGGCGGGGTGATGGAAGGAGGGAGAATGGGGCGGGGTGATGGAATGCGGGAGAATGGGGCGGGGTGATGGAAAGCGAGAGAATGGGGCGGGGTGATGGAAAGCGGGAGAATGGGCGGGATGATGGAAGGAGGGAGGATGGGGCGGGGTGATGGAAAGCGGGAGAATGTGGCGGGGTGAAGGAAGGAGGGAGAATGGGGCGGGGTGATGGAAAGCGGGAGAATGGGGCGGTGTGATGGAAGGAGGGAGAATGGGGCGGGGTGATGGAAGGAGGGAGAATGGGGCGGTGTGATGGAAGGAGGGAGAATGGGGCGGGGTGATGGACAGCGGGAGAATGGGGCGGGGTGATAGAAAGCGGGAGAATGGGGCGGGGTGATGGAAAGCGAGAGAATGGGGCGGGGTGATGGAAAGCGGGAGAATGGGGCGGGGTGATGGAGTGCGGGAGAATGGGGCGGGGTGATGGAAAGCGGGAGAATGGGGCGGGGTTATGGAAAGCGGGAGAATGGGGCGGGGTGATGGAAAGCGGGAGAATGAGGCGGGGTGATGGAAAGCGGGAGAATGGGGCGGGATGATGGAAGGAGGGAGAATGGGGCGGGGTGATGGAAAGCGGGAGAATTGGGCGGGGTGATGGAAAGCGGGAGAATGGGGCGGGGTGATAAAAAGCGGGAGAATGGGGCGGGGTGATGGAAAGCGGGAGAATGGGGCGGGGTGATGGAAAGCGGGATAATGGGGCGGGGTGACGGAAAGCGGGAGAATAAGGCGGGGTGATGGAAAGCGGGAGAATGGGGCGGGGTAATGGAAAGCGGGAGAATGGAGCGGGGTGATGGAACGAGGGGGAGAATGGGGCGGGGTGATGGAAAGCGGGAGAATGGGGCGGGGTGATGGAAAGCGGGAGAATGGGGCGGGTTGATAAAAAGCGGGAGAATGTGGCGGGGTGATGGAAACCGGGAGAATGGGGCGGGGTGATGGAAAGCGGGAGAATGGGGCGGGGTGACGGAAAGCGGGAGAATGGGGCGGGGTGATGGAAAGCGGGAGAATGGGGCGGGGTGATGGAAAGCGGGAGAATGGGGCGGGGTGATGGAAAGCGAGAGAATGGGGCGGGGTGATGGAAAGCAGGAGAATGGGGCGGTGTGATGGAAAGCGGGAGAATGGGGTGGGGTGATAGAAGGAGGGAGAATGGAGCGGGGTGATGGAAGGAGGGAGAATGGGGCGGGGTGATGGAAAGCGGGAGAATGGAGAGGGGTGATGGAAAACGGGAGAATGGGGCGGGGTGATGGAAAGCGGGAGAATGGGGCGGGGTGATGGAATGCGGGAGAATGGGGCGGGGTGATGGAAAGCGGGAGAATGGGGCGGGGTGATGGAAAGCGGGAGAATGGGGCGGGGTGATGGAAAGCGGGAGAATGGGGCGGGGTGATGGAAAGCGGGAGAATGGGGCGGGGTGACGGAAAGCGGGAGAATGAGGCGGGGTGATGGAAAGCGGGAGAATGGGGCGGGGTGATGGAAAGCGGGAGAATGGAGCGGGGTGATGGAACGAGGGAGAATGGGGCGGGGTGATGGAAAGCGGGAGAATGGGGCGGGGTGATGGAAAGCGGGAGAATGGGGCGGGTTGATAAAAAGCGGGAGAATGTGGCAGGGTGATGGAAAGCGGGAGAATGGGGCGGGGTGATGGAAAGCGGGAGAATGGGGCGGGGTGACGGAAAGCGGGAGAATGGGGCGGGGTGATGGAAAGCGGGAGAATGGGGCGGGGTGATGGAAAGCGGGAGAATGGGGCGGGGTGATGGAAGGAGGGAGAATGGGGCGGTGTGATGGAAAGCGGGAGAATGGGGCGGGGTGATGGAAGGAGGGAGAATGGGGCGGTGTGATGGAAAGCGGGAGAATGGGGCAGGGTGATGGAAAGCGGGAGAATGGGGCGAGGTGATGGAAAGCGGGAGAATGGGGCGGGGTGATGGAAGGAGGGAGAATGGGGCAGTGTGATGGAAAGCGGGAGAATGGGGTGGGGTGATGGAAGGAGGGAGAATGGAGCGGGGTGATGGAACGAGGGAGAATGGGGCGGGGTGATGGAAAGCGGGAGAATGGGGCGGGGTGATGGAAAACGGGAGAATGGGGCGGGGTGATGGAAAGCAGGAGAATGGGGCGGGGTGATGGAATGCGGGAGAATGGGGCAGGGTGATGGAAAGCGGGAGAATGGGGCGGGGTGATGGAAAGCGGGAGAATGGGGCGGGGTGATGGAAAGCGAGAGAATGGGGCGGGGTGATGGAAAGCGGGAGAATGGGGCGGGGTGATGGAAAGCGGGAGAATGGGGCGGGGTGATGGAAAGCGGGAGAATGGGGCGGGGTGATGGAAGGAGGGAGAATGGGGCGGGGTGATGGAAGGAGGGAGAATGGGGCGGTGTGATGGAAGGAGGGAGAATGGGGCGGGGTGATGGAAAGAGGGAGAATGGGGCGGGGTGATGGAAGGAGGGAGAATGGGGCGGGGTGATGGAAAGCGGGAGAATGGGGCGGGGTGATGGAAGGAGGGAGAAAGGGGCGGGGTGATGGAAAACGGGAGAATAGGGCAGGGTGATGGAAAGGGGGAGAATGGGGCGGGATGATGGAATGCGGGAGAATGGGGCGGGGTGATGGAAAGCGGGAGAATGGGGCGGGGTGATGGAAGGAGGGAGAATGGGGTGGGGTGATGGAAGGAGGGAGAATGGGGTGGGGTGATGGAAAGCGGGAGAATGGGGCGGGGTGATGGAATGCGGGAGAATGGGGCGGGGTGATGGAAAGCGGGAGAATGGGGCGGGGTGATGGAAGGAGGGAGAATGGGGCGGGGTGATGGAAGGAGGGAGAATGGGGCGGGGTGATGGAAAGCGGGAGAATGGGGCAGGGTGATGGAAAGCGGGAGAATGGGGCGGGGTGATGGAAAGCGGGAGAATGGGGCGTGGTGATGGAAAGCGGGAGAGTGGGGCGGGGTGTTTGAAAGCGGGAGAATGGGGCGGGGTGATGGAAAGCGGGAGAATGGGGCGGGGTGATGGAAAGCGAGAATGGGGCGGGGTGATGGAAGGCGGGAGAATGGGGAGGGGTGATGGAAAGCGGGAGAATGGGGCGGGGTGATGGAAAGCGGGAGAATAGGGCGGGGTGATGGAAAGCGGGAGAATGGGGCGGGGTGATGGAAAGCGGGAGAATGGGGCGGGGTGATGGAAAGCGGGAGAATGGGGTGGGGTGATGGAAGGAGGGAGAATGGGGCGGGGTGATGGAAGGAGGGAGAATGGGGCGGGGTGATGGAAGGAGGGAGAATGGGGCGGGGTGATGGAAAGCGGGAGAATGGGGCAGGGTGATGGAAAGCGGGAGAATGGGGCGGGGTGATGGAAAGCGGGAGAATGGGGCGTGGTGATGGAAAGCGGGAGAGTGGGGCGGGGTGTTGGAAAGCGGGAGAATGGGGCGGGGTGATGGAAAGCGGGAGAATGGGGAGGGGTGATGGAAAACGGGAGAATGGGGCGGGGTGATGGAAAGCGGGAGAATGGGGCGGGGTGATGGAATGCGGGAGAATGGGGCGGGGTGATGGAAAGCGGGAGAATGGGGCGGGGTGATGGAAAGCGGGAGAATGGGGCGGGGTGATGGAAAGCGAGAGAATGGGGCGGGGTGATGGAAAGCGGGAGAATGGGGCGGGGTGATGGAAAGCGGGAGAATGGGGCGGGGTGACGGAAAGCGGGAGAATGAGGCGGGGTGATGGAAAGCGGAAGAATGGGGCGGGGTGATGGAAAGCGGGAGAATGGAGCGGGGTGATGG